ACATCTCATTTGGATCTGTAATTAACATTCGCGAACGCATTTATGTGGGCGTGGTCGCACGTGAACTCAAACGCGTGCCATCACGTGCGCAAGTGCAAACACCTCATTTGAATCGGTGAGGCAGGTGGCATATTAAGGCCGGTTCACACATACAGTGGAGCGCTAAGTTAGCGCCTCATGAGCGCTGAAGCGGCCATCATGGGGCACCGACTTGCGCGTGACGTAGCGCTCGGTTAGCGCTTCAGCAGCGCTCGGTTAGCGTTTCAGCAGCGCAGTGTAAGCGCGCTTACGCTCCTTATGCCGAGCTTGCTGCTCCGAAACGCGTGCACGGCAATTCCGTTTTTTTTTTTTTTTTTTTTTTTTTTTTTTTTTTTTTTTTGCGGTAAAGGAGGAGGTGAAGGAGCCGCTCTCCAAGCAAACGGTCGGGCAGGCGATCCAGAGTCAGAGACTTTGAGCGAGTAATTGATTGGGTACGACCTCATCGCTTCCTATTCGATATGCGTGACCCTGGTTTCAAGGAAACGCAGTTAAAAAATAATCACCTTCGAAAGAGCTCTGTGTCTCGATCCCTCAGCCTGGGAACAAGGTTCGCCGGATACCCGTCGGTATCTCGGGTGGCGAAAGATTTCGCGCACCCAAAGGTTATTCTGGGCGTTAAGCCGTCCACACACGTATGCACTAATTGCGTATGAAAGCGCATATGTGGCGTTTATTTCAACGTCCCACATCTCCGCCATGGTTCTGCTGATGCACACTCAACCACAGGGACCGGAACCGCAGTGCACACGCTAATCCGCAGCAGTAACCGCGATACAAGAAGCACTAATAAGGCGATATACTGAAGCGCTAACAAGACGCTACTAAAGCGCTAACAAGGCGCTAGTTCTAATCGCAAGCTATATTCGAACTAAGTCATTTGCTAGGAAGCGCTACATGAGCGCTCTTTCGGGCGCTCACGTGCCGCTGACTTAGTGCTCCGCTGTATGTGTGAACAGGCCTTTATACTTCACATTCGCGTGCTATTACGTCCGCAAGTACAAACACTTCATTTAGATCTGTGAGGCCCATGGCATATTATACTTCACATTCGCGCATCCATTGTATGTGGGCGTGGCTGCACGTGGAGTGAAACCCGTGCCATCACGTCCACAAGTGCAACACGAGGTGAGGAGGGAGTCGCCTCCTCTCCGGCGTTCGCCCTGGTAAGGTGGAAAGAATGGAGCGGTTCGGGGGGGGGGGGGGGGGGGGGGGGGGGGGAGGAAGGAGCATTTTCTTAACCTGCAAGTGGGTTAAACAGTTTGAGGAAAGATGGAAATCCCCCTCCCGTCGCAAGGGTGCATATGCAGGTACTCTAGTCGCCCCCACCTCCCGAATACTTCCAACGAAATTGGATCCACGGATCACGTATTCAATCTTATTTGGACGAGCATTGCATGGGGGCGTGGTTGCGCATGTAATCAAACGCATTAGATTCCGTTCGCAAGCAGGAACATCTCATTATGATATATGAGGGCCATGGCAGATATATCACCATTCCGGTAGCGCTGCTTGTGGGCGTGGTTGCAAGCGGATTTGGGACACACCTGCATGCATTCGTATTGATTAAAGACTCTAAAAAGCTCGTTTCTTTTTCTTTTTTTTTTTTTGGGGGGGGGGGGGGCGTTTTTTTTTTACGTGTAATCAGTAACGCAAGTGCCCCGAAAGTGTTGGACAGATGTTTCATAGAAATATATAAAATTTCTGAAAGGTGACCCCCCCCCCCCCCCCCCCCCTTGTTCTGGCGCCACTGCAGTAGCGGAAATATATCCACATGGAATCCATAAAACAGTGGCTTGCAATGGAAAGGAAGTGTGCCCGAAGCACGTGTTATGCAAGCACTGATTAATTTTGCGCTCATCCGCTTTGAACTTTTTTTTTTTTTTTTGTTAATTTTAAGAAAAGTTTGAAGGGAACAGAAAGAATACCCACGAATTGCACAACGAGGGTCTTCTTTTGTTCAAACTAGCAGGGGTGTAAATTGCACTGCCCGCCGCCACAATTTGACAGGAAAAAAAAAAAAAAAAAAAAAAAAGAGCATTTTTGAAGCCTAGAGCTTGAACCGCGAGGCGTTCTGATCGCCACTCGATTTCCTTTCCTCCGTTTCACATTTCGACCACCCGGCAGCGCCACTTCTCGGCCTCTCTCCTTCTCGTCTTTTCCGCTTGGTGGAGTCACCTACCTTGGAATTGCGAATACCCTGTCGCGGAAGTTTCGCGCTGCGCTGTGGAAGCCAACGGTGAAAGACTTGGAAGCCACGGGCGGGAGGGGCAAAAAAGGACCCATTTTGCACGAATTTTGAAGAGAGTCCCAAAAAAAAAGGCAATGTCTCCCTCTTCCCCTTTCTAACAGCTTCCGTTCGCTCTCGCCCCTGTGCCTCTGACAACAAAGCCGGGGTCGAACAGCTAGCGTCCTCTGGTGGTGGAAGTTGTCATCTGGCACGCTCTCTCGTCGGCCGACGGCTCGGGCCGCCAGAACTAGCGGCCTCACAACTAACGAACGTACCGTTTCATTCACCTGTTGTAAGAAAACATGCCCTAAAATACTTTAGTCGGCGACGGGATTGTAGTACAAGGCCCTTCCACAAAGCCCTTCGCTCTTTCCACTTTAACAGAGTGAACGCTGGATGGGAAGCGAGTCCCTCCAGCGTTCGCAGATTTTTTTTTTTTCCCCTCCTCCGTATTGTTTACAATATTTTTTAATGTTGGGAGGGGATTGGCGATCGGCGATCATTTCCTTGTTCCGACGTCACTGGTGAGGCTCCATAGCGCACAGCACAACTGAAATTACACTATTTGCCTCTGTATTTGTATTCCTTACAAACTTTTCATATTCAGCATAGCATTAGCCCATTTTCCCTCGATTCACCCGAGGCCGAACAACCTTTACAAACACTCATGGACGTAGGCTCGATCGTACGAGATGTTCTTTTCTACACCATTTCCATTTAGACGCACGTGGGATCCCGCATGAAGCGAAAACGGAGCGTCTCGCAATGTCGGCCATGTCTGCGAAATGCATCGTATGCACGAACTGAATCTAAATATATCATCCATTTGCCTCGAAACATTTCGTAAAAACGCGGGGTCCATATCACAAGAGCGAATGACATTTTAGCGAACGGCGACATTTGAGCGAATGATCGTTTTAGCGAATAACGGGGGCGCGCGTTAACCCATCCGTCGCGCTGCGCTTTACGCCGCTTCGCGGCGACAGTCTGCGGCAACTCATTACAAAAATATGAACTCATTTGGCCCACCCGAAAACGCCGCTTCGCGGCGTCCGACTATTCGCTAAAGTGTCATTCGATGAAACGTGGGCGTTCGCTAAAACGTCATTCGATCAAGTGAGTGCCTCCCGTGGGAGAGCACGTATACAAGTACAAGCGAGTAGAAGCCTGCCAAAGTTATCTTCACGTGCACGGTGCACGTGTCTGCTCACCTGTCATTTGTAAATAAGTGAAGCGTGGGTGTGCTAATCTGCGCCCACGTACCTTGCCGCATCAGCCACCATTTTCCCATTGAAAATTTTCAAAAATCACTTATAATTTTTTTTTTTTTTTTTTTTTTTCAATAATACAGCGGTTAGCTCTGAAACTTTGACATCTGGTCCGGACCATTAGCTCAACATTTGGACGGACACTGAGCGCTCGGCAATGCGCAGCTTATTTTTGCAATTAAAAAAAACTGTGCACTTTTTTTTTTTTTTTTCGGGGACATTTTTTTATTTTCGTTTTTATGCGCTTGCGCCCACGAGACCGCACGACTCCTGCGAGTTGAAGTCCTCACGCTTTAGCTGAAACAGGCGGTTGCGCGAGGACTAGAGCTCTTGCCGCACCATTTATTATGAACACGCCATTGTTTGAAGAGGCTTCACGTGTTAGCTCTTGGGTCTGGCGAACCTTGTGGTCGCTGTGTACGGAACGGCGTTCCAACAAACACTCGTTTCACTGAGGAGGAACGAAGGAACGTTGTTGTTGTATCTTCCGCTAGCGGAAGTAAAACGCACACTTTAGTTTGTTTATTTTTTCAGTTCCAGACCGTCTGGAACTAGGCCAAAATTACTTCATTTGAGTATTTGCTACCGTATACTGATATAGCTAGTTCTAAGAGAGTTGAGTAGTTATTCTTTAATCAGTTGCTATGTATCTCTGCTCATTACCTTAGGTTAAATGCACGTATTGAATCTTTCGTACAGTACTGTCGAGACCGGTTATAACGAAGTCGTTTATAACGAAATAGCGGCTACAGCGAAGCGATCACAATTTCGCATTGTCTTTTCCACTTCGTTATAACCGAAGTCTGTTATAACGAAATAGCGGATATAGAGAAGTGATTTCCGATTCCCTTTGACTTCATGAGAAACGGTCTCGACAGTACTGTACCCTGGTTCACAAGTGAAACGGAGTACGACTCACAAGCGCCCCTGCTACGCACGCGCGCTCGTAAAATAAAAGCGTTATTCAATGCCCGTGCTTGCAGCATCGTGCTCGCAGCATCGGCTTCGCTAACATGTATGGTGAAACGGAGAACAGTAGTAAGTGTTAGAAAGGGTAAATCGAAACACGGAACAAGTTTGGTGAGGAGTGCTATAACCTGCGAAGCGCGGTTGGTTTCACCGTAGTACATGCCTGTTGAGTTGCGAAGCCAACTTGGAGAATTGCAGGACTTGGCTTCTCCGCTATTTCTGTCGAAAAAAAAAAAAAAATTCACATGCCTAGATTTATAAAAATAAAGAGGGGGGAGGAGAGAGTCTAGTCGGATGTGCTTCCAGTTAATACAACCTTTATTTTGAGTTCTCGGAAGCGAGGTTTTTGTTGTTTTTTTTTGTTTTTTTGCTTTGCCCTTAAGTTGGGAAAATCAAGGGCTCTTTGATTAGCCCAACTTGTGCGCAGTTGTTCTTTCTGGAGGGGCGACCTGCCCAGCACAGCAACTGACGCACGTGGGCACGCACTACGAACGCAGGTGGACCTGAGCGTGTTCCGCAAGCACCCCAACGGGCGGCCGCTGTCGCCGGCAACGGAGGCGTAGCGCTCGTGTCCGCAGCACGGCGACCTGCACAGCCTGCGTAGCGACAGCGTCACGCCTCCGATCCCGCCCCCGCCGCCGCCGCCTCACAAGGCCCACCCGACGCCACGGGTGGACATCTACCGCTGAGCCGCGCCCACCCACGCGCCCACCGCCAAACGACGACGCGTGCTGCGTCGGGATCCCACGCGAAGACGACCAACAAACGCCTCGCCATCTTGCTCAAAACTAGAGGACCTCGGAATGGCGTGCGTGTTCTTTTACGGCACGCTACGCACGCAGCCTGCGGGAACACGTGCGTCGGAGTTAGGCGCGCCATTTCACTCGGGAACCTCGCAGTGAGACCTTCTGGGACAGCGCGGGGCCGTAGCCCCCGTCCTCTGGCGTCCTTGTGGAAGAGGAAGGTGAGGAGTGTTTTTCTCTGGAAAGCTGGAGCTCACGGCACCACGAAATGATATTTTTTAAAAGGTGTTCCCTCCGGGCTGATCTTTCCTTGCGAGACGCAAGAAACACGCTGGCCAGCAGGCATGATCCGCTCGTCCCTCGAGGTTTTGCGGCTCGACTTTCGAATGGACCTCGAAGGCAGGAGATGTCAGTTTGCACTGCCTCGTTATAAACACTGCTCAAAGTCTTGGGAATCCTTTTTAACTCATGTAGCAACAGCACTCGTTCCAGTTCTCCACAAACTCAACAACAAAAAGAAATAGCTGTGGCCATGGGGCCCATGCGATCTATAAACCGAAAGCGATCAGACGTCAGAGCAGCCACCCAGAAGAGCTCACTGTGAGCACCGCTTAGGACTTTTTTCGAACGCAGCGAGTTGGACACTGAAACGTCGCCGTCTACATGTAGCCTTTCACGTGGACTTAACCCATTGACTCCAAACGCTAAGCAATGGCACCGTCGGACTCAAAGTGTCACAACTGTGGACTCTGCTGTGAACCTTCATTTTAGAACTGACACTGTGGTGTGCGCGTGGACACTCCTGTGTGCAGCGCGAGTGTTACTTTACTAGGAGTACTAATTACTCTCTGCCTGTTTACATATACACACAACGGAAACAACGACAACAAGCTCGGTCCCAGAGGAAGCCAACATGGCGCCCTGGTTTCTGCCATTCAGCAAGCATCTCATGCACTGTCTCATTATAGTATCATATTGAAATTTACGGAAATAGCACTTAACTATGGGATACGTTAACCAACCTCCTTTGTCAATATATTACCTCGGGAACAAGCCCTAATACTAAGTTGGCACTGGTTAGTTTCGGTTTAAGTACGCCCATGGTTGGTGAAAACAAAGCTAGCTTCTATTTCAAACCAATAACGTCCACGGGTTTATGTGGACAGGAATATATTCGAACATGCCAAGGATTTGGACTTAAAAATTATTTCCCAAGATCCATTAACTGAGAAGGATAGCGGACAGGAGATGAGGAAAGGCAAACAAAAAAGGCCTCTCTTGAAAATGAGGGGTTGCCAAGTGTGGCAACATTCGTCTGCCCACAAAAGGGGAGGGTGGGATCCAAGACATTTCATCATGTCATGAGGTGGATGTTGACTAGCGGAAATCATGGTGCCTATATTGCGAAGAGTCCCTTTTCCCCGAACTGGAGTTGGGACGTTCGATGCTAATCTTCCATCTATAACAATTCCACTTCTCAACACCATAGACTCCATCACCGAATTCCCACTTCGCCCACCTTTTGGGTGTTCCCAGAACGATGGGGGAGACAAGAGATGGGGTAAGCATGTGCCGTAACCCCATGTCTCTCCATGCCCTCCCCCACCTCCACCCCACCTTCCATTCTCCCCATTTTTCCAATTTGTTGAACTCCCCCACACAGAACTCTCTCGCTCTCTTCGGAGGCAACCGTTATGTTCCTTGGCGGGGATTATGGTAGCTGGCTCCCTGTATTGCTGGACACTGTAGCAATCGAGACTCCAGTTGAACAGCATTTTTCGCACCATGTTATATGTTGACGACTTTTTATTTTGGGAGTCGACACTCTTGCCACATGAAATTTCAACCAGTTTCTGTAGTTTTCTACGGAAGCACCGTAGGAAAGTGTAGATTATGTAAAGGTATTCTACTAACCATCCCCAGCTTGTAAACTATCACAAACTACAGCTCCGTTTCTAATTGATGCTTGATCATTCAGTGCTTTACCTCCCTTCCTTAAAGAAGTTGCTGGAAACCATAAATCAGATCTGAGACAACACAAAGTATCTTTAGGCTACATACCTTAGTTTTCTTCAGGGCATTTAGGGTTAGTGTCAAGTTTGCTGGGCAGCCAAAAAATGGTTACCAAGGGCCAACTTGTCCAGTCTTCAGAAAAGGAGCCTTTATAAAATGTGAGGATTAAATAATATACCTAAACGTTAAGTCAACAGGGAATCATTGAAGCATTACACTAGAAGAGTAAAAAAAATGGTTTTAAGAGGGTAAAAGTGTGAACCAAAAAGATGCTGCTCAGTGCCTAACACATCAATTAACACTGCTGCTCAATATCAGTGAACATGCTGCAATTGTGAAATACCCAATATTGATGGCAGAAAGCCTCAAGTAGAGAATGATACAGTAAAAGTGTGAACCAAAAAGATGCTGCTCAGTGCCTAACACATCAATCAACACTGCTGCTCAATATCAATGAATATGCTGCAATTGCAAAATACCAAATATTGATGCAGAAAGCCTCAAGTACAGAATGATACAAAAGCAACAGGCAAACTTGAAGCTCTCATAGAAGGTGCACCTCATAGAAAGGCTTCTGTTTATACGAGTTCATTTATAAACTACAGCTGGTAAAAGCGGACACTGCTCGTGAGCAGTTAGCTTGACCTATCCAAGTACACAACTCCAAACACAATATATTTTGATCACATCATTCTGAACAATTCAAAATCCATCCTGCATTTTTAACATATAAATGTTTTGTGCACTCAGTCAATGTGTGCCAGTTCTAGTGCTCACTCTGGCTCAAACTAGTCCAGTTAGCAACTGAATTGTATGTAAAAGCACCACCCTGATGCTGCACAGCTTTTGGGGGTTCCAGAAAGTCCAAAACCGCTGCTGCTTCATGTGAAAGCAGGCCCCAATTCTATTCACCCCTCTCCACAACTGAACACACAACCACAGATGGCTGAAAATTCGGCCACGGTCTGTGCCGGAGCACCGATTAAGTACCACGGGACGCAAAGATTTCATTGCAAACTAATGCTCCCTATTGAGCTGTGCATTTTCTCTGCCACTAGGCCAAGAGACTGCTGTCAACTTTTCACCAATACCCTACTCACTTTAGTAGTCATGGTTCTATACACACCTCCAAAAGCCACTCCATGCTATTTGTTTTGCAAACCATTGCCACTCGGAAACTACACCCAGAACATTTGTGCAGGCAAGTTCAGGCTTCCCTAGTTGTCTGTTCTCGTAACTTCAACCCTGACACACACAAAGGAATTGAGGCTAAAGTAAATAAATGCGAGGCATATATAATTTGTTTAACAAAAGGTTTCTTTTTTTTCTGAGAATTCTTAAAGCAACATGTCTAATGCAAAGCTTTCCTTCAAACTTGTTACAAGGGTTTAAAAAAGTGAGGGTCGAATGCATCGACCTTAGGAAAGAAGCCATTTGCCTCAAGTTTATTACTCAGGGTCATGGAGTGGCTTTCCATTTCAGTCTTCAATCCCATATGTGTGCTATGTGCTATATGCATAGAGTCTTAGAATGTCTTTTGTTGTCGCTAAAAAAATATTGCTACTGCGAACCATGATGCACCATGTGAGGTCAACTGAAAATTCCTGGTCCTGCATAGATATATTCTGAAAAGAGGAGGAACTCAACTCTTCAGAGTATGTTCAACTCCTTAAGCCCCATTTCTATTTCCTTTGTAGACACTTGCAATTGCAACCTCAAATTCTGTGGCTGCAAGAGTGCAGGTTAAAAGCTCAACTCTAAATGTGGTGCAAGAACAATAAAATGTTTGCAAATTGCAAACAATCGACCAAATGCACCCAAGCTTAAACTTCAAATATGTCCAGATTTGTTTTCTCTTTGGAATGTCCCTTAAAAACTTCTGCTTTCTATTCCATGAGTCAAAACTTAAGCTATGTTTAGAATATAGACCTTTTTCGCATGCCCCAGACCGCCAAGTAGGCATATCCGATATGGGCAACAAAAAAATATTAAAACATTTCAATCTGCAAATAGTAAAAAAATAGAGGGGAGACAAAACTAGAATAGGTGATGGTTACGCTTATATCCTTAATGCATTCTATTGGCGTGGCGACAGCAAAGCAATGTTTTCGCCCATACTGGAAGTGACAATATTTCAAGATAGCGGCGCCCTTGTGAAAAAGGTCTATAGAGGCATACATGGTTCAGCAGACAACAGGTCGCAACACGTGGGGAGCAAATAAACTCAGATTAGCTGCTCTAGAGACAGCACACCGTCAGCTGCTGACTTAGCCTTGTAGATAAACTATTAACACTCTTCAGCAGCTCAATATTGGTGAGAAAGCTGAAGCACAAGTCATCTGCATCTGTCTGGAGCTCTATGAAGCTGAATGTATAAATTGCTTCCAACAAGAGGGCAGTATCCTTCCAGCCTAATCATTCCCAGAGTCCTCTGTTGGTCTAAATCAGGTACAGACCTAGACACTATAGTATGGTCTCTTCTTGATCTAATGAACTTGCAGTTTGGATGTACAAGTCACCACACAATGTTCCCTCTCGTAGCACTATAGACATGACTTAATAAGCTAAGAGTTCTCAGACAAGTATTACTGTAGTTTAAAAGTTAGCTTTCACAAAAATATTTCAATAGCTCTCCAGACCACATCTTAATGACATGAACACATAAATACATAGCACGGCACTGTTAGCGTGAACAAGCACTCACTAGTTCTTTTTTTTTTTCACTCTTATAACGAAAAGACTGTCATCAAAATGGTGGGAGGTGCTCAGTTGGGGAGCTAACCTAAGGAGTAAAAATTTGGTGCCTGCCAGTACCCTTTCAAAGTAAAATGTGAAAAAGCACCAATGTTGTGTTTGTGCTAACAGTGTCGTACAGTGTACAAATGTGGGTAGCATGTCATGTTGCCAGAGTAAACCCATTTTTCATAATCCTATAGAGAAGGAGCAGCAGCGGTTTTAGCTACCTGGACCATTATCTGCCTCTTTGAGCTAAGCAGCCCACAGCCTCTATAGTTTGATGCAGTGAACTCATTGCATGCTCGAGAGGCGAGATTTAAAACATAGCTGACTTGGTGCCAAATGTTTGGTCTACGCAAAAAACAATGTCAAAATATTGCTAAAAAAAATTAGACGCAAAGGTATGTAGTGGTTTCTGCAAAAAATTAATCTTACCAACAAACAGTTAATTATATTCATGACATTGTTATATTATGGCCTAAGCTGGTTACTAGGTTGTTTTGCACTTCAAAATTGGCAAACGATTTAGAGAAAAGGCTGTTATGGTAACAGGCTACATTCAAAAACATTTGAAATATTGGAAAAGCAAGTGACTTACCAAAATGTTATACTTTGTAAACAGCTTCTTTTAAAATTTTGTTGAACAGTTCACTCACTCGATCACGCATCAACCACTGGGGGAATATTTCAACCATAATCGTTTCCAACTTGACTAAGTTTCACCTGCAAAACAAGCATTGCAAGCCAGATTACCATGAATACTCACCCAAGATAGCAAACCAAGTGTGTGCTTGTGAAAGCCAAATAGCGATATGAATACTTTGGGCAAAGCCCATATTGGTATTTCCTTCAGTTAATCATGTGCAGTCACGCAGAAACTAAAAATCTCCAAGCGAGCGAGCGTTTTTTTCTGAGGAGCGCTATCCTGGCAGTATTCCTTCGTACTAGTGCCGATGTCAGGACTCATCCACGTGAAGCAGACAGGAGGGAGCCCATCAACGCAAAGAAACTGCTGTTACTATCTGCGTGTTCCCAGCGTGGTATGATTGAAGGGGGAGAATGCCCGCTCGCTTGGAGCTATTTAGTTTCTGCGTGACTCTACAAACCACATAATTCATGAAAGGCCCACAAGCAAATCCTACTGAGTGCCTCCAAAACATCAAACGCTACAAGCAGTATCAATGCTAGATCACCAACTTTATATATTTGTCCTGCATGACTATGAAGTTAACTTGAAGCACCGAAGGCGTGTAATCGGGAGCACTAGTGCCGTATACAGATTGCATGGTTGTTGGCACCAGGAGCTAAAAGGTGTCTATAATGGACAAGCATTAACAGCGATTTTTTTTTTAATAAACTGAGGGAAAATGTTTTTGATGAGGGAGAATGATTGGGGAATAAAATGTGCAAAATACTCTCTTGATCAATGAGAAGAATGAGACTGTAAAAAAATATTACAACAAATGTAGCCAGAATTTGCCCAGTTACACCACCAATGAGTTGAATTCTAATATGTTAATGTCATTTTCTCTTGGGTCCCACACACTGAAAAAAGGAACTGTTTGTTTTCAATTTAGCAATGAATTGGGTGTGCATTTGGCAGCAGCAATGACAAAAGGACTTGCACAAGAGCAGCATCTGAAAGGTTGATATATTTTAAGGTTTACCTCCCAACCTCTTACAAACCTCATCAAATAGCCACACACACTGTTGATGTAAAAGCAACAGGAAAAATGACATTGCAAAAAAGAAGCAAATGCAGACATGGATTGTGATGGTAGATAGCTAGCAACACACTTTTTTTTGTTGACATTTTGTGGCACGTTACGAAATAATCTAGACGTTAATTTCCAAGTAAAGCAATCACTTTAACCAGGAAGTTGAGTGCAAACAAACAGAAAAACTGCCAAACTTGATTTTCTTGTTGACTGCAGGTGCAAAGAGTGATACAGGGGGGAAAGTCTGTTATATGTATTATGAAATGAGTCTCGACATTTTTTGTGATGCTTCACCAAGGAACTGAATTTTCACTTTTAAGTTTGCCAGAACGTTCTCGAAGTAACTTTTTGAGACAGAGCCCTTCCAAATACAGAAAGGCAGTATATGTCGGTGCTTACGGAACCCTTCCCAGCATATCACGAGACAACATGAGGCAAACATGAACGCATTAACCAGCCCCAGTTCTGAAATCCTACCTCGCGTCGTTTTCACTTTCGAAAGCGCACTTTTGAGAGAAAACATTGTAATAAAAGTGTGGCCACCTTGGTATAAAATTCCTTTCCACCCTGACAGAGTAAGGACCTGAGACCGAAGTACAAGGGGCGAAGGACGAGAAATCTGATAAGGATGATTCATAAACATGGTTGACCAATTTATTCCACACAGCCTGCATATGGGCATAACAAAAACTAAATAAAACCAGGTTTATAGTTTCAACTTACTAGATGCATCAGGGTATGCAATCTGTGTGAAACAAGCGGAGAATTGGTATTGGAAATGACATCAGAGGCAACAATTGCACACCCCGAACAAAATGGCCTTGGGAGTATGTTATTCTTTTGTATTTGTTAACAATGTATATATACGTGTGCTGTGTGGAATAAATCTCCCAGCTGTGTTGGAGACCCTGTCCGTGTGGATACTTCGCCTGCTTTTGACCACGGTGTCAGGTTATTTCACAGGATGTTGGACATAAACCAGCTCGCCTGCACCTTGCCCCTCCTACAGATTTTGTTTCTCTACACCTGCCAATTATTTTCAGAGTTCGCTTGCATCCTCTGCTTATTTCATATGCTTTGCCGAAGCAACCGTGCTGCCTTATTTAGAAAATAAAAAAAGAGCCAATGTTCCAATAAAAAGGAGTGTGCAAAGATGAGCACGTAATAGTACTGTCACCACACTCTCCATACTGCCAGACTTTTTGGGGTCATCTGAAGAAAGTTATGTGGCACTCCTCTGCCACTCTTCAAAACACCTCATCCACAAAACCAAAGGTAAGTCTTACTACTAAACTTCGTTTTTTACTGGAACCTGACTTGACTGGTCCCTCCTAAATCCCAGGTGGCATTTCAATAATACTACATGTGAATATGTTCCACCTTGCAGCTAGTGGTATTCCTTGCAAGAACACTCCTGCACCAGACATGGTTCCTTCATACTTGGTGCAGAAGATAACAGCAAGGCTTTGTGGACTGCTTATCTAGATGAGGCCACAGCATCTCTTAACAGATTCCTTCAGTGATGAAAGTTTTCAATAGTATTTAATCAACTTGACCAACAGGTGTGAAGTAAAACTTTGATACCCCATTGGTGAGCAAAGCACTTTCCTTACAAATGATGGCAGGTGCTTCTGGCCTTGGTAAAATTGTGAGGGCGTAGGAGCAGTGAAGTTAACAGAAAACGTAGCATATTTTTTCTAAGCCTTTGCGCGACATGCATTTGTCTGCAAGAGTTGTGGCTTGTTGAAGGAAGCTTTTTACTGCAAGGAGTCTGGAATGTAAGGCTAATTGTTCTGGGTGCATTTTGAATTACTGTTGGAATTCCAGCACATACTCTCAAAAGTACCATTCCCTTATCGGAGGGTTGGAAGAGCAGAATAAAAGGAAGATACACCATCTAGGCAACAAATGAAATGCAAATCTCACCAGTGCGACATCCTGGGATTAAAGGGACACTGACACCTTCTAAAATTTGTTTACATTTTTTGTCAGGTTTTTGTCAATTATGGTTTCAGAAGACTACCCAATCAATATTCTGCTACAGCGTCACATTTATTGTTAAAGTAAAAAAAGGCAACTGCTCGAAACTGAAACCGAAACTGGACTGGGGAGGAAGAAATATAGAGGAGGAGAAAGTTACCAAAAATCATGTGGCTGTGTAACTTTTTCCTTTTTTTAACAATATATTTGCAGTTTTTTAGAAGCCACAAAAAATGGGTGTCTGCCTCCGCGCATTGAGAGAGATCTGTTTCAAACTCTGCAGCGCAAAGTCGAGGGTTTGATCCCTGGGCGGTCCATCCCCAAGGAGTACTTGGGGAGTCGCTCATAGCCGTAGTTGCCTTGCAACGTAAAACCCCAATATTTCCTTTTTGTTTTTGTTTTTTACAAAAAAATGGGAATCATATTTTTTTGCCTATTTTTAGTATTGAGTGTGTGCCTTCGATGACGCACGACTTTGCTTTTCTTTGGTGGCTGTGTCTAAACCATAGAAAATGGCATGTGACCACGAAGAAGAGAGTGAGCGCGATTCAAACTGACCAGTTCTCAATCGGCGGTTTTTGGACGGAAAGAAAACAAATTTTGAGCCGCGAAATGTGTTCTGGGTAGCTGAGCGCTTATATGTCATGTACAAATAAAAACCTTGGCGAGCATAAATACCCTGTCAGTGTCCCTTTAATAACCACTACTTTGATGTTAATACCTGTAAAAAGCTCAGAGATATATATTCCTGGTCACAATATCACATTATATACTTTTTGCAGAAATTCATGTACAGTGCTGGCCATAAAAGTTTGCTTTTGGCACTGTGCCATTCCTGCACTTCCCAGTTGAACTATATGGTGAAGATTTAACTCCGATCACAACCCCACCTGGGGAAGACATTTTTTCCAGCTGCTGCAATGACCAATTTAGTTTTGAGTAACCAGCAATAGATCAATATTTGGTTTACCAAGTGACAACATTAAGTTTGAGGACCACCTTCTTTTTTTCTTAATTTTCCCTCTATAGTTTAAACAGTGTCCCTTCGTTGATACAGACACAGCTTTGTTCCTCTTGAAATACTGGTGCATCATTTGCACCTGTTTAACAGCTTATCAGAATGTTTCTTTTGCTGCTTCCTATGTTTCCCATATTCTGCATGCATGTGTACGCTCTTCAGCAATACAAGCAGAGGCAGGGGTTTCCCCAGGAATTGAAATCAGGGGGGGTGTCTAAATTTTTTTTGGGGGGGTTAAAGGGGGGGGGGGGGGGGCATTGCGAATATAGGAGTCGTTGTGAATTAAGGGGGTGCCTTCGGAAAAACGAGGGGGGGTCCTAACCCCCCCTAGGGGGGTTCTAGGGAAATCCCTGAGCAGAGGTTGGCAAGTATCAGCCAAGAGGAAATAGTGGTGCCTCCAAGTATCGGAGTGAAAATTATTTAAAGTAAATTCATCTGCTACCTATTTAGTCCGTTAAGTCCTTAGGTGACTTGGTATTGAGGAGGACACTAAACGCTACGCCGCCAATGGCATGCTTCAGCTGGGGTGACAACACACAAATTACTTGTTTGTTTTGAATCAGAGCAAAGAAAGACAACAATTTAAGGCCTGTGAGGTGTACAGAATCTTCAATAGAAATCTTTTGTAGAACATATGATGGGTATATTTGTGTTATTGTTACCTATTACCTGCATAGAGGTACAAGTTTAAAGGTGAAAAAGTTTACAAAACACGAATATGAATGACCAAATGGCACCCATAAGCATGTCCTATACCAACCAGGCAATACTGTGTGGTTTAACAGGTAGCGGCATCTTATGTGCAATCCTTGCAACTCTGAGACATGCCACAGCCGCAATCACCTGACTCAATACCAAGCTCGAACGTCCGAGTGCCCTGCTCAACTGTAATGCAGTGCTCGTATCAATTGTTTGGTGGCATGCACTGCCAAAGTTGCCTTTTTTTGGCCACCAGTCACGCCGACTGGCACCCAACTGTAAGAAACAACCACCCCCTTGCTCTTTATGCTGAACTCCTTCGATGCACACTCCCCCTACCCAACGACTTCGGTAACTTGACAAGCTCCATGGAAATTGTTGTTTGAAAACGGTTCCTCTCCGTTGCCTGCGCGCGAGCAAATACAGGCACATAACCTTCCCGGCACCACCAGTTGCAACGCCTTCAGTCAACAAAGAACAACCGTTTTCAAACGACACTCTTTTTGCATGTACTTTAGGTTTACCATAAAAACTAGGATTCCCTCTCCAACACAGGCAATCTGCACCCAACATTTCACCGGTTCTGCCGCACCTCTAGGGCGGGCTAATAGCATAGCAAGTGCTAGTGGGCTGACATGCAAAGAAAAAGGCGCCAGGTGTTCTAAAAAAAAATTGGGGTGTGTGAATGTTTATACAGCCTAGAACTTTGCCTCAATGAGTGACTTGTCTCCCAGCTGTAGATGAGATATTTAACCAGGGCAGTACAACTGCTAGCCTGGAGTCCGTGCATCACACAGTAGTGATACATGACCGCACGCCGGTACGATGCTCATTCAGATCGAAACGGGCAGAGGGGGGGATTGAATCCAGGATCCCTCGGTTCTGCAGCGCGAGCATTTGCTCCACGTACCCCAAGCTGGTGTGCACTAGCCCACTAGGCCACCGATCCCCCCACGTGTTTTAGGAAGCTTGTCAGCCGACTTTGGTCTAGTAGCATTGGGCGCACCGACGTGCTCAAGGAAGCTTATAAAACACACGAAACCTCCGTTCACGCGAATAGCAGTAACTAACCCAGCAAGCTCCTTTCTCAACATGCACATGTCATCTGCTAGATGCCTAGTTTTCCCCCCTAAATATTTGATGAGTGTTCGACCTTTGCCATTTTTTTTTTTTTTAGAATATTGTTTTAAGGATCATATCCTATTTTCAATAGTCTATACTTCGGTGTTCAGTCCCTCTCTGTACATGCTCCTCTGCTGGCCATTCCGCCAACTGGAGCGATCATGGGGCGAAAGAGGCGGAGTGATAGAAGGTCATGTGGCAAATGGATCGAAGCCTTTCTCCACCTTCCAGCAGAGCGGCTTTAGCCGACTAAAGTGCCTCTTGTTCACTGCCCTGGGGCCACATTCAGAATGGTACAACCCAGGAGCACTTGTTTTCTCCCTACAGTTAATTCACCTCTATGTGGCACCACATGTGTAACAGCCTACCATTTCAACTTGCACAAGGTAACACCTGATTAATCATCAATGCTTAAAAACACCTAGATTTGTTTGTAAGCGTAGAAGTATGCAATCTATTAGGCAAGTGTTGCATCGTGAAATCTGCAACTTTTAGGCAAGCACCCACTTGCATAACCACCACTTTGTGGCAACCGTTAGCACAGGCAACTTTGAAGGGTATGAAAGTCAAGCATTTACTCGCACTTGCTAAGTTGGCTTTTTCACCAAGTAACAAAGCAAGGCAGGAAGACATTGTCATGGGAGGCAGAATATGAAAACCTTTGTTTTACTTCTTTGAAGCTGAATCTGTGAAGAAATTTGTGTGCTTAAAAACAAAGAGAGCAATGACACAAGACTTGAACTGTCACAATGCATTACAGAAGATGATTACACAGAGGCGACCCGCGATATACACAAAGACCACTTCTACACGAAAAAAAAACAAAAAAAGAGCTTCATTCTTTCACAGCTGGGTTCTCTGATTTGCATATGAGACATACACAGCACAAACACACACATGCACTTAGAGCAATGCCTGCAATACAACTGTACAGTATGAATGCCTGAACTACTTCACGCTCTTTAAAATATTCCGTTTTGCCTTAATCGGTTTGCCAGCCTCACACTGCTAAACACCATTTCTTCACTATCACATTTTACCCAAGTCATAACCATATTCTAGATTCCAAACGTTAAACAATTTACCCTCTGTGTACTCACTACAGCATGACTTGCACAACTTGCTCACATCTGGTATAAAGGAAGACAACCACATTCACTGCATGCAAGGTATGACGACAAGAACACTCAATTAAAGCGAATTCGTGACCATGGACACTGCTCAGGTAAATATTTACAACATGAGAGAGAGCAGAAGAGACACGTAGCCGCCTCGAAGGGATACTAGCAACATCCGTTAAAATTTATCAAGTTGAATGAGCATGCATACACAAATTAAAACCTAAACACTCTAAGGATAAAAAAAACAAAAAAAAAAACATGGCGAGAAATGGCTTGATGTGCATCAATTAAAATAATGACCAAACTTAAAAACAGAGTAAAACGTGATAAAGAAATTGATGTAAACAGCTGCCTTGTGCATCTCATGCTTCAACACAACTCGTATGTCACCGTGTGGCACCTCTTGCAAACAATTACTGAGATCCAAATGCGTGACTCTGCAACTTCCCCTGAAAGATGTGGGGAAAATAATTAAGCCCCAGAAATTCACTTAAAACATATAAAAAAAGAGTTGCACCTTGATAGCACTAGGGTTTCTGGTTTCCAGTATTTACTGAAAAGCAACAATAAATGTATGGCAAATATTCTTTTGACAATCTGCATCAACAAATCAACAATGAGATAGTGATTTCCTATTTGGTGTTGCTTCCGGTTACAATCCCATACCGCAATGAATTTATGTGAAGACACATCGCAACAAAGGTCGTTTTTCTGATGACACGTCAGTAGGTCAACAAAATGAAGCCGACTGCATTGTCATAGTTCTGTGCTTTTACTCTTCTCTTTGTTATTGTGCACCAGTATTTTTCCATCCAATTAGTTTCACTGCCCATTTACGATAGACACTGATAAATGTCCATTTCTTGTTTAAGTAGATTAACAAATTTATTAGGCCTAATCTTGTCACAAAAACACCGAAAACCAGGAATCCTGGAAATTGCTCAAAACATCCTCCTACAGCCAAAAATCAGCAGCACCGGGGAAACAATTCCATTTAATTTTTTTTGTTTGAAAATGTGTTTAGCTTACATGACCGTGATTCAAACACTGTGGCAAGGGGATGCCGATAGGTGAGAGCCTCACCAAATTGGGCATTCGAAAGCCTCTTGCTGCCAGTAAGCAGAGCTAGCTACAGTATCTAGGAAAAGTCATACTGCCACATTACTTGCTTGCAGTACTGCCATGTGTGAACCATGATCAGTGCTTCTGGTTCTTGGTATAAACCGAAAGAAAGACAACTAAGTCACCACCAATTATGTTTTCAACGGAAAGAAAAAAAAAATTATGCCAAAAAAACACTTTTTTTTTTTTGGGGGGGGGGGGGGGGGGGGGGTCAAGGCAGTATAAGACTTTTCTGCAGTTTCCTCTGAGCAAATTTTGCAGGATCTTGCACAAATCTGTGGCAATCATAATTGTTTTCTCCAGTGGTTATGTAGTTTGCAAGCAATTAAGAGGTAGGCCTATCAAACTCAGTATGGAAGCTCTTTACATAATTTTCAAACCATAGGCTCAGTGTAGCTTGCGAAGCCCAATGAATGCTTTAGAACCTCAGAAGTAAGCAAATCCTTCAATTCTCACAAACTGTTCGACCACCGCCTGTTATTATGAAATAGTCAATCATCAGCTATAAATGTGTATATAATGTTTAAGAGATGAGCTTTAACATATTAGCTGCTATAGTCCGTTGCAACTCAAGAAGGTACGGTGAGGGAAAGGAAGGCCGAGGAGTAGAAAGCAAACGGAACACTGGAGAGAGGAGGTGGTTTCCCCCTCTCCTCTCCAGCGTTCTGTCTGCCTCTTCTTCCCCAGCCTTCCTTTCCCTCGCCCTACCTTCTTGAGCTGTAACTTACTATAGCATGAAAGCAAATTTGTGCGTGACAGTGCAGTTTTAAGCCTTTTCCACTGAAGTAAACGACTTTGTGATTGAGGAGCTTGCATAAACAGTGGCATACTTTTTAGAGCTTCAATAGGTTCAGTAAGACGTGCTAGTAACCTCAAACGAAACTCAGGGGTGTCGACATTGGTCGGCAAAAACTGAACCAACCCACTATAAATCAACATTCCTGAGAAATAACCCAAACATTTTCCCAAGTCTTCCACCGTGCTGAACTGCACTTCTGAAAATAGCAACTATTTAAAAAGAATGTGTCGGTCAAACAAGAGTTGGTGAAAGGGGCCGTGCAACAATATCAAGTTGGAATGTTTCTCTCTTTAGACAGGGATACTGGCACTAGTGTGACCCAATATACTCACATGCCATCCCACTGACCCAAAAGCATCTTTTCAAGACCACTACTTCTTTCTGTCTTGCCTTCGTTAACCTAAATGACATAGTTGCAAAGATCGCAATGTGACATAATTTTATGTGTCAACAGTCGAATGCAGCTGACGGATTAGACTTGCACTGCGTGAGCACTCGCCTTGGGCTGTTATACTTAATGCTTCAACAGACATTCAGGTAGTGCCCATCGCTGAATGGGAACAGTCGAACAGTAACGATGTGCGGAACTGAGCACATGCCCTGTGGTTTTCCAACCCTAGCACGTGGCTATGATTAGGGTTCGGAGTTTTCGGTTTAAACTGATAAAAATCGATAAAAGTACGCCGAATCAATTTTCGGAAATTCGGTTTTAACCAAAAAAGCTCAGTTTTTAGGTTCGGCCTTTTCAATTTAAACCGATAAAAAACAATAAAAGTATGTCAAATCCATCTTCTAAAATTCAGTTTTAACCGGAAAAGGTCACTTTGACCTTCCAGTCGAACCGCAGACCTGTGGGGAAAAAGGTGAACGACAGTGTCTATCGAAACGTGTCCGAATGAATGGGATACACGGATGCCATCACAACGTTTTGGTTAAATAAGTGCATCATCGATCGGAACGTGAAGTCCGAAATACCCCATGACTTCGCCATGTACGAGCGTGTTTTCAAACTCGTTGTTAGGAAGATTGACATGATGCAAGCTCTGCATGTTGTGTTGTGTTTCACAACGTCGCACCGTGTCTCTTTCGGCAGTCACAATTGGTTGATTGGCCGATTTTGGCTCAGGCAGCGCTTCATCTCCTCAGCCGGCCAGTGTCCAGCGTTAGCGTTGAGAGGGCATTCTCGAAGCTCAAGGTCATATTAACAGGAAAGAAAGAGTGCGGATCAACGAGGAGAACCTGGGAAAGCACATGTGTGTGTAATATAATAAGATCACGTAACCCTGATGTACAGAAGGTAAAGTTCCATGTTTTTTGGGCATAAGCTTCATATCTGACTTGTCTGTACTTCTGTGTTTTTTTCTTGTTTCTTTTACAGTTGCACACATTCGCCAAATAAAGTGTCCATTTCTTTTCAATGTATCTGTGCCGTTATTCTTTGAGTGATCACAAATATCAGAGCTACAAGAATAATCTCATCCGGTGTCTGTTGGTGTTTATTTTATATTCACTGAAAAAAAGCCGATAAATGTTTGTGGGCATAAATATACGCCGAAAAAAACAACAATGAAAATTGAATTTTAAAATAAACACCGAAAAAAGTATGCCAAAGTTTGAAAAAATAGAAACCGAAAACGCGGAACCCTAGCTATGATGAACACTGGCACCGTATAACCGGCACCACATCATGTGGTCGCTTGCTCTGACTGCGAGTTGCTCGTTCTTCTCTCGTTTTGAAACTGCCATGGCGTGGAGGCAAAAACTAATGCATGTTTTGCAGGCTATGAATGTCAAGAATGAATTTCAAGTGGTATTTACTGAATGTATAACAGTTGTATGCACAGCCCCTTTAAAGAGACACTGCACTCCCAAACAACATTTTTAACACAGAATGTGTTACATGGCAGGCTCCTAGCAGCTTCTGGTAAGGCACACCTGCAAAAGGGTGTCCTGAAAAGAGAACACAACTCCCTCAGACTTTTGTCGTTCACAATTTGGCACCCCATAGAAATGCGAGCAAAGCTCCCCCCACCCCGGGCTCGCTTTGCCTCTAATCCGCTTTGTGTGCACACCTATGGAATGCTAAATCGTGCACAGCAAGAGTCTGAGGGAGTCATGTTCTGCATGGAAAGCTTTTACAGGAAGAGCGCTACACAAGTACTGCGTGAACATTTGGCTGCAACTCGTATTCCAGCCGAACACTGGCGCAGAACTTGTCTCCTCTCTGTGCACAGCGCTGGCCTCCAATAGGCGACATAGAAATACAATCACTATGGCCTTGCTATCAGGTGTTAGGCAAACATGCTTGCATATATGGTGGGAGAGTGTGCAGAAGGAAAGGGGAGCTTCGAAGAAAACGGGGAGATGCAAAATAGCAGAGTCAAAGCTGGGGTGTGTGATAACAAGAGATGTGAACACCACACTCCACTCCCAGTGCAACGCTAGCCTTGAAAGGGCTTTCCTTGAGAGATGCTATGCATGACCATGTTCGCGCCATCGAGTCACAAAATGTGCATCAAGTTTATATGTGCAACATCACAGCAAAGCAACACATAATACATTCTGTGTTACCAGTGCCCTTTTCACAATAGTGCAGGAAAGGGGCAAATATTTTTTTTAACTGCCTCGATTTTTTAACTGCCTCGATAGGACATGTACAGTCAGAATAAAACTTAAGTGGAGCTCGCTGCCGCAAGTTTTTGCTGAGGGGCGCTAGCCTAGCAGCGATTGGTACAAATGATTGGTTATGTGACGATGGGTTCATCGCAGTGCGCGGGGGGAGTATGGTAGCTCTTCAGATAAGATTCTGTGGAACCATTACTTTTTTAATGTGAAAGCATTAACCGTCCCATGGAGCAAAGCCGGTGTTGTCTGTAGACGTCTGTAGCAGCAAAAAACAGCACCTAAATCCCCATTGGCTGCGACGCGTCATGTGGCTCCATAGCAACGGCGCCATCCTTGCCAAGGGGCCAGCCAAACTGCTGGCGGCGCAGTGGGAGGGGGGGACGAGGGTATGCGCTGGCTTGACGTTAGGCCTAATGTTAGGCGTTTCATTACGCAGCTGTTTGACATGAGAGGGGGACATGGGTATGCGCTGGCCTATTGTTAGGCCTAATACGCTTTGAGGTCTAACGTTGTCAACCGGTACCCGCAGTTGGGGCGATATTGATGATGAGAGGGCGCTGATATCAGCACGCGCCGCGAGCCGCGCCGAGCTTCGCACTTCCGCCACTGCCTCACCCAGCGGCGCAGCAATGACTAGCGAGCCAGTGTGGTCTGCACGGCACACCGCCGTACTCCCTGCCGGCGCTGGAGCAAACGCGCAAACGTAAAGTATGTCTCAAAGTATTTTACTGATTATAAACCTATGCTCGCTGCAATCGACCCCAACCTGCCACCACCAACCCCACCGAGGCCGTTGGGACGCAAACTCTACACACCTGACCTTTACCCGTTGGACGATGAAGACATTGTCAGCTTGGGTCTCCCCATAGACATTAGCGAACGCATTGTGTGAAAATAAATGCACTTGAACTCTCAGCGATATCGTCCGAATGATTCCAGTCTACAGCCAACATGCAAACGTAGAAACTGTACCAAAATAACCTGCAGCAATTTAATTAGAAAACTCTAAAACATACCCAGCAGCAAAACTCGGAAACAATACTCGCAGTGCAAAACTCGAAGGAGCACTCAGCGGCATTCAATTGGACATTAATGCTTTCGGATTCACAACTCGTAAGTGCTTAGGTGTCCTCAGAATTTTTTATGTTTCAGACGGTACGCTGCGCTCTGCATCAACACCACTCGTTTCCAAAACAAAGAAAGAAACTAGAACCATTTTGTGTATTGAATTTTTTAAATTCCAGTGTGTTTTACCTCGTATATCTTGAACTTGGAATGCATTCATAATAACTTTCAAAGACAAAATATCTTGATTCGTCAACACATCCGAAATGACCCTTCAGTTGAGCTGCTATTTATTTTCATATTAAACTAAGGTGAGAAATCTCTTATAAGCATGATGCATCACCACCAAAAAAAAGCTATAGGCGATCGAGTCTTTTCTTATAGTGCCGCGGGGTGAATTTAGTTTTAGATAATGATCTTGATCGTGCCACATGTGCTGAAGGAGACGCGACTGTGGGTCATTGGGATGTCCCAAGCATGGGTGTCTCAACGGAGGATCGGACTATAACAGCAGTTTCAATGGGTTCCATTAATAAGATAATGCTTATCGGGAGAAAGGTCGTGTTGATGACCTCCCATGTGGAACAAGCCCTCCAGCAACGTCCGTGGTTGAGGACCAGTTGATTATAGCGGCCACTGTGGGTGACCCATTCCTTATGGCAAGGGATCTGAAGAACAGCCTCAATTTAGGCGGTATAGTTGCAACAATAAGACAATGTCTATGGAAAGCCAGTTAGCACTGCTGAATCCTCATGCAGAAGCCACGCCTTTCTGACCAGCAACGCCATGCTCGGCTGTCATTTGCCAATAAACCACTCCTTGTGGGGAGGAAACAAGTGGAGCCAAGTCATCTTTTCTGATCAGGCAAGCTACCACAGCCGCTGCGACCAACAGCAATGCATGTGGCGAACCATCAACTGCAGGTTTGTGATTTTTAAGAGATTGTAGATCTTCTCTTGCCAGATGTCACCAGGACATGCGTCATTCGGATGCCTCGTTTTCAATATCAATAGGTAATAATCAAATGTCCAAAGTCAACTGCAATGCATTCAAACGAACAAAGCCTCCCACAATTCAGACGCAGTGAAACGAACGAACAAAGCTTCCCAGAAATCAGATGCAGTGAAACTTAAGATGATTTAAAATTGAAGAAAGCTTGCAGAACTAGTGGCTTTTTTGTCCATCTTCTAAAGACATCCAAGTGCAAAAGAACGACCGGTGAAGAAAGGTTTCTGCCTAAATTTCAGTTGAATAAACTTCCAGCTGTATACAAGTTGCAGGAGTTTCTAATCATATACTAAATAGCCAGTATTTGTTTTTACAGAAGCAAGCTTGTTTCTAGTCTTTATAGACCTTGTTTATTATGTCCTCAGTGCCTACATATTAAAAATAAATATTAACACGTATAACCCTGAATACAGCCAGCAAATTGGATTCGGTGGCCAAACCAGTGCCAGAGTGGGGGAACCATCTCAAAAGAGGAACTTGGACCCCTGCACAAAATAGATGGAAGACTGAATGCAACGTCAAAATTCTTGAAAATGTCATGCTCCCATAAGCCTTAGATGGCCCTTTCCTGAAATTGTTGTACCCATCAGCATGAACACAGCCCAGTACATATGGCCAAAGTCGTGAAAACTCATCAGGAAGATAGCCGCATCAACGAGCTGGCATGGCCGCCAAATGGAGCTGATATGAATATAGTAATAAAAAATGTCTGGGGGCTGCTGAAAAATCAGTTGGTCACCCCAAGTCGCTTTTCTGGACACTGTGGAATGCTAAAAGCACGGAGTGGAGTGGGCTTCAGGGCGTAGGGATAAGAAATCTTGTGTCACCTCTGTCTGACTCAATCAACAGATCGGTGCCTTCACAAATTATTATAAATCTGCCTCTCCATTTTTATTTTTTTATTTTCATCCCATTGTTTTGTTTCAAGGATGTAATGAGTGTTCATGAAACAGGCATCTCATTATATTTGTGTGGTTTAAGCAGATGCTGATGGTTAGGCTATGTGTGCGTCAACGCTTTTACAGAAGGCAACTGAGTAAGCACAATAATAAAATACTCGGCCTAGCTCGCCTTATTTTTCAGGAAACAATACGTAAAACAAAATGTAATATAAACGCAAAAACTTTTTTTTTTTTTTTTTTGTGCGGGCGTTTTTTGAGTTTATACTTAACCCTCGGGAGTTACCACACTCCACCTGCACACTAAGATCGGCCCGTCACCATGTGACAAAGTGGCTGTGTCAAATCCCACCAGGCTAGCGCCCTGTCAAGGAAAAATGTATGGTCGCGCGCTCCAGTTAAATTTGATTTTGCATGTACCTAACAAAGTGCATTTTCACCAAATAAAATAAGCTTAACGCAATATTTACGTTACCAGATGCGCTGCAAAAAGGCAGTTTCGCAGCATGTGAAGGAGTTTGAGTTTGTGGTGGTATGTGCTAACGGGAAAGCTTTTCCTCCGCACTTCTACCGACCAATGGGGAGGTACAAAGCGGCTCCTACTATTCCGACGTCTTTGTGATGTTGACCTCGAATTAGGAACCACTTGTGAGCAAACGGATGCTAGCAGATAAATTTGCGTTGATTTTTTTTTTATTTTTTTTTTGGGGGGGGGGGGGGGGGGGGGGTGAGTGCATTTTGCCACAAATGTATTCTATACAGGCAGTTAAAAAAAAATTGGTTCTTGGGAGTGCAGTGTCCCTTTGATACACAAATTTGTTTTCCCTTCAAGATGTTCAAGATGGAACACAAGATATTCAAGGTGCCATAAGTTGCATTCATCATGTCATTTGCTGCTGCTAAATAATAGCCAAGTTAATTCATCTCTACCCTTCTGATTGATTGCTACAGAGCTGTCCAAACAGTTTTATAGACCTTTTTTTTTTTTTTTTCAAAATGAAAGTAGTAGTACAATTTTGCTACTAATACATGATTAGTCTATGAAAGGGCGTCCATGTTTAGGTGTGAACAAAATTGAAATTTTGTTCTATTTAATGATAACACATTGCTTTCAACACGCACCGCAACATGTTGAGGGAATACTCTCCACATGCTATGATGGATTTAGTGCATGTGCTCCAGGGCAGGATTCAACTGTAACCTAACAAATCTACTGAGCTACGAGACTCGAGATTACGGCGAGCATTTAAAATATGCAGATTGCATAACTCTTTGGAACATTATTCTGTGAATATGCTAATGAAAACGCAGACAAAAATTTTAAAAATTGATATGACAACATCCCTTGTTCTGGTTCTCGACATCAGCTGACCGCAGAAAACCGTAACCAGTAAAATGGCAACTGCATCTTTTACACACTTCCAAAAAGCAATAAAATTACTTTAAAGGGATGGTGAACTGAAATTTGGATTTCAGAAAACAATGCAGGAGCTGTAGGCGGGATGCTATAGTCTCTACAACACTCTTCATAAGGCGACATCTCAAATTGACGGACGTATTTTCGAAAAAAAAAAAAAAAGGTTGAGATTGAAGGAGGCCTACGAGGCGCGTGACGTCAAGATATCTCGTTTCCTCATCTCTTCGTTTAGCCCCCTCAAGGCGGCAAGGCGGACAAAACGCAAGGTCGTTCCCTCTCCTTCTCGGAGAAACAAGACGTGAACGTATCTGTCAAATGCGCCCCCTTTTTTTTTTTTAAAATACGGTCATTCGTTTGATATATCGTTGTATTAGTGATGTTTTGATGTTTGTAGCATCCCGTAGCACGCTTTTGCCGCCGTGCTTTGTGGAATCCAGATTTCGGTTCGCATCCCTTTAAAGGGATGCTGAACTGAAATTTGGATTTCACAAAATAAGGCCGTAGAAGCATTGAACGGAACGCTACGAACTGCAAAACATCACTCATACATCGATATCTCAAACGGATGGCCATGATTTTAGAAAAAAAAGGGCACGATCAAGCGAGGGTTACGATACCATTGTCCTCCTGGAAAAATAGAGAAGGAAGGGAAACGGCCTCGCTTCTTTCCTCCTCGCTTCGGTTCACCAACTCATAGGGACATAGCAAGGACGAGAGGGAACGAGTCGTGGCATGACTTGTATCGTCGGCCTCATCGGCCGTGTTCAAACGCGCACTTCTCTTCCAAAAATACAGCGATCCGTTAGCAATATCACTGTACGAGTGATGTTTTTGGGTTTTGCAGCGTCCCGCCTATCCATCCAGCCTTGTTCTGCGAGCTCAAAATTTCGGTTCAGTATCCTTTTTCAAGAGATGTCCACTTTTATAAGCAGGACACCTCTCAGTATCAACCTTACCAATCCGCAATTGAACAAACAAACAAGGACATCATAAAACATTGGCCTACCAAGACCAGGTAAAAACGAGCGCAAAATTTGTTTCCGGCAAAATGTATTAACTCAAGTCCTCATTAAAGCTTTGCTGGTTTTTTGATCGGGCTTTGCTTTTGGCAACTAGACCGACAAGCCCACTGCCTCTTTCAGAGTTTCCCCCTTTGCCCCGTCGTTGTTCGACAACCAAGCTGGATGCATTTGTAGGCTACTTCTTTTTTGCTGCCATGCGCTGGAGCCAGAAGTCCTCCATCTCCCGGCTGGACCGGTACCACTCATCGCGCCCTTCGCGCATGGCCATAGTGCGCAGGAAGTCAATGGCCTTGAGAGCCTCCTGATCAGTCACCTCGTATTCGTCCTCGTGGGTCTCTGTCGTCCGGTCCACGACTCCTTCCAAGAAGTCGTCGAGGTTGACGAAGCGACAGAACTCGTCGTAAGTGAGACCCGACGGCACCGAGACGTCTTGCATTCCCGTGACGCCTGCGCCACCCCTCGGCAACGGGGTGCCACACAGCGGCAGTCCCACCTGTGCAAAGACGCCAGAGACAGTGTCGCCCTTGACCGAATCCCAAGACTCGCGCACAAGGTAGAGCGCGTCGAGCACCGTTGTCTTGCGGATCAAGTCCGCTGCCCGCGTGTTGCGCTGCACGCTGAGCGACGCTGAAATACGGCCATAGAGCCGCGAGCGGTAGTGAGCTTTGAGGTTGCGCGCCACCCCCTTGAGGATGGGCTGCGGGTGGAAGTAGAGTCGCACATTCTCGAGGTGCGCGCTCGACGTGTGGGCTGGCGTATTTTCGACGAGAAGCAACACGCTGCGCTGGTGCAGCCCGAGCTGCCAGTCCCAGAATGACAACCACTCGGTGAAGATAGCCGCATTCATGCGTGCCTTCTGTGCAAACTTGCAGATGAGAGGCAAGCGCGACGGATCGTCTGGGAATGAGCGAGACGCGCCACTGTCCCCGACGAGCAACAGGGGCCGCTTCTCGGTACCCGTGAGGTTGGCACAGATGAGAAGGGTTATGCGTTCCGTCGCCTTCTTGTCTTTGACAAGCTCCTGCTGGCAGCGATCGGCCGGGTAGGCCGAGTAGTAGAGTGCCGTCTCGGCGGCTGCAAACACATTGTCGGCAGAGTACTGCTTCAGTAGTGCAACCAGCTCGGCGCTCGACACCCAGTGCGGGGGTGCCTGGGCAACGGCGCCGCTCGCGTGTGACGACTGGTTGTGCGAAGACGACTCCTTACGTGGATTAGACAGCCCGTGGCGCTGCTTCCAACGGCTGAGCCAGCCGTCGGACGGCTCGAAGTGGTGCCCCTTCTGGGCTGCCAGCAGACGCGCCTTTTCTTTGATGTCGTTGCCAGAAAGGCGAGAACCTTGTGCCACCTGGTTTTGGAACCAGGCATAGAGCTCCTCACCCACTTGCCGCTCCTTGCCCTCCCGCCGCCGCTTGCGGTCGTGGTTGCTATCTGTCTCAAACTGCAGCAGGATCTCCTCCGACTTCTGCGCAATGCCACAAAGACGCGGGCATGAATGCTGGGCGTCTCTTCCCACGCTCTGCGGCTTTCAGATAAGATATATAATGCACTTGAATGAGCCAAAGATGACAGATATAATGGGGAAAAGAAAGAAAAGAAAAAAAGCACAGCCATGCATTTGTGCAAATACGATAGCTACAAAACGAGTTGAACTAATGAGCACACTGGGGCGGATGCAGGAATTTCCTGGGGGGGGGGGGGGTCAGGTGTTGGTCAGCGTACCATATGTTTAGAAACCCCCCCCCCTCTCCTTCCTTTTACGCCCTAAAATTTACACAAGCAGAAATCAAGAGGGGGGTCAGGACATCCGGACCCCCCCTCTAAATCCGCCCCGGTGAGCACATGCTAAAACATGAAAACTGAGTGTCAGTGTAACTGAAAACAAGACCTTGTCAGAAAAAAAAAAAAAGGGCACTGCACGAATGTGCAAGATCGATCTAAAAAAACTGGATTTCACCAGTTATCAGGTTTTGCTGAGCTGGTGCAGCCTTTAGCGTGCTTACCACAATCCACACGCAACAAACAATGCCGTCTCACGAAAGAGCACCCGAGCAAATGGCTCTCACCTGGCTAATCTTGCAGACGGTCGATCGAGCCACACCGTAAAGTTTCGCTACTGCCCCATGCTTGGCCCCAGGCTCCTTGAGAGAGTAGACGATCTTGACCTTGTCGGCCAGGGACAGATCCATGCGCTTCTTCATGTTGGGGCGCTTGCTCTCCCGCGGTGGCACCAACGGCACCGTGGTCACCTCCTTGGCCTTCTTGTTGGCCGGGGGCTGAGTGGTGTTGCTGCTCTGCTCTTCTTCCTCGGTGCCCTTGCTGGCGTTGTTGCTCGCATTGTCAGGCGAGTTGGTGGCTGTTGTGGCCGCCGTGCCCGTATTCCCCAGCTTCTCCCCAGAAGGAGATGGGTTACCAAGGTTGCTACCGCTGCTTCCGCCGCCTGCAGAGCCAGTGCTGCTCAGGACAGGAGCTGCACAAAAACGGTCAGCTTAGTAAACAAAAGCAGCAGTGGCTTACAGGAGTTAAAGGGATGCTGAACTGAAATGTGCATTCCCCAAAACACGCAGCAAAAGCGTGCAACGGGATGCTACAAACACCAAAACATCACTCATACAGCGATATCTAGAATGGATGACCGTATTTTTCAAAAAAAGAGGCGCATTTCGCAGGAATGTTGACGTCATGTTTCTCCGAGAAGGAGAGGGAACGCCCTTGCGTCTTCTCCGCCCCGCGGCCTTGAGGGAGCGAAGCGAAGAGAGGAGGAAACTAGGTATCTTGACGTCACGCGCCTCGTCGGCCTGGTTCAATCTCGACTTCTTTTTCCAAAAATACGGCCGTCCATTTGAGATATCGCCTTACTAGTAGTTTTGTAGGGATTGTAGTGTCCTGCCTACATCTCCAGCATTGTTTTTTTGAAATCCAAATTTCGGTTCACCATCCCTTTAAGCCTGTTAGCCCCAACTTCGTTATTTGAAGTGTGTCAGTTCTCTTCCGTACAGTGTGCTCATTTGGATCAGAACTGCTTAATCTTTCGGAGCCATTTGTTGGGTCACACTCAATAACTTATCACAATTATGTGAAGGGCTGACCAACGCAGGGATGTGCTCAAGTCTTCTTCGTGTACTCAATGCTTGAGCCTTCCACACAGCTCTGCGGTTCTAACACGCGCAATGACTACAAAAGGTTAACAAACCTGAGGGCTAACAAAGCCTTACTTAAAAAACTATGAGATGCCAACAAAAATGCTCAGTAGACTCGATCAATGTGAAAAACTAGAAGACTGTCACGAAGCTATGCATTAACCACTGTAATTCTGCCACGCAATGTCTTCCCTACTTTTGACAAAGAATAAGGTATATGATTTTAATCTGTAAAGAAATTACTGAGAGTAGAATACCTCAAGATATAGCTTGCCCTAACTTGGGGGAAAATGGTGCAAAAAAAAAATAATTAGAGCGCAGCTCTTGAGGAGGTGGGAAGGGTACTGAGGTTCACGTGTTCTCAGGTGAGGAGGGGGGGGGGGGGGTGGTTGCGTAACCTCGGGTGTGGTCACGCGACTTTGGTGGGGTCACATGACCCCCTCCCAAGGTCACGTGACCACGGGGGTTACATGACCTCGGGGGGTCACGTGACCCCCCAGAGAAATTTTTCCACTAGATTTAGCGGGGAAATTTTTCCGCTAGATTTAGCGGGGAAAATTTTCTGTTAGGTTTAGCGGGTAAATTTTTTCCACTAGATTTAGCGGGGAAATTTTTTCCGCGAGATTTAGCGGGGAAATTTTTCCGCTAAATTTAGCGGGGAAATGTTTTCCGCTAGATTTAGCCGGGAAATCTTTTCGCTAGATTTAGCGGGGAAATCTTTTCGCTAGATTTAGCAGGGAAATTTTTCCGCTAGATTTAGCGGGGAAATTTTTCCGCTAGATTTAGCGGGGAAATTTACCCATAATGCACCGCGCAATTACGCCGACGGCGACGGCGACGCCACTCAAGCCGGAAATGGGCGCCTAAGAGCTGCACTCTAAAAAGAGGGCAGGCTTAACTATTTATGTGAAGAAAAATAAAATAAATCAGCTTTTAAAAAAAAGAGACTATTGGGACAAAATGAGGGTGGTCTACCTTTCAAAGGCGAGTCAGTGGATACCTCTCAAAATATCGCACAACCTCATGGGTAGGTTCTCAACTGATACACTTTTCCGGCTGTTACGTGCACGAACGCCGGTCCCATTGAACCCATATAGAAATATGCAAATGAATTTTCTAAGCATTGCGCTTGCTTTCCCAGTTCTTATGTTCAAAAACTGCCACCCGACACGGCTAATACAACATGTCGACCCACTGGGCCAGTCACCCCTTCCCTTTGCTCCCCATCTTTTTAACCTTGCCTCTCTGGGCCGGTCTTCTTGTTGCTCTTGTTCATGCGGGTATGACCTTAGACTAAGCTTGAAAGCGGTTCAGGCTTTTGCAATAGCCCGTTCGTGCTTCTATCCCTTTCTCTGGCACACTCGCACGCATCCGCTGTGCTCAGCTTCCCTGGCTCTGCTAGACGAATTTCACATTGAGTGCGAAGCACGTAAAAGGCTGTCCAAACAGGAGACTTCAGGATGCGTGAAGCCATACAACTTCGCTATATGACTAGCGGCGGTCTGCTTCCGTCGGTGTTTTTTTCCCAAAGGGACAAGCTTCCCTCCGCCAACGTCCGCTTCTCTCCTTCATGGAGGCCTAGAGCATGCTCATGACGTGGGTCTGGACATCACACTCTCTGTTGGCTGTCAGTCAATCGCTCAAGGCCTCTGCTGCTCTTCAAGTCTAATCCCAAAAACGGGAAAGGGAAGGATACGAGGGCGAGGTGCAGCAGAACGAATGGAAAGGCACACCACTGCAGATTGCGTAACGTCAAGTCTGACGAGCACTAACGTTACAGAAAAGCAGAGCAGGCAAGGAGGAAACCTGTGATGTTTGCCTGGTAGATGTCCAAACAGAAGACGGACTGCCAGACTTCAACTTTCCCTTCATACGGCGGAGGAGATGTGCTTCACGGGTTCTGAAGTACCCTGTTTGGACACCCCTTAACCACGCACTGCTCGGGGTATGTGTGTGTCAAGCTTCACCGCTTTGCACCGGTGTGCTAGAAGCAGTGGCTGCCACAGGAAAGTACCTGGATTAGCTTGATGGGCTCTGAAATTTCGCTCATTCTTTCACATGGCTTGCACTGATGATGCATCCCATACTTTAGACCGTTGTGAAAGCAAGAGAGAGGGAATCTGTTCTTGTAATAATTTTGACTGAAGGGTTAATCTTCTATTTTGAGTGAAGGGTTAATCTAGCAACGTCTGGGCAAATCTAGGACACACAAAAGAGCGTCCTCTCCTGTGGCCATTAGAGCACTCTTTCGGTGACGTCATGTGCAAGCCATATATAGGTTGACAATCTTTAATAACAACTATAGATTGATCCCCAAAAATCAAAGTACAGTTCCTAGAAAAAAAAAAAGACAAAAAGCTAATTGTCTATTTGACTATATATGGCAGTTCTCCAATTATGAAAGTACATGTGAAAAAAAAGTGCTGAGTATGGCTTCCCATCTCATTTATAGTTTGTTTGTTTGTTCCTTCCTTCCTTCCTTCCTTCCTTCCTTCCTTCCTTCCTTCCTTCCTTCCTTCTTCCTCCCCCCTCCCCCCTCCCCCCCTTCCCCTTCCCCTTCCCCCCCCCCCCCCCCCCCCCAAAAAAAGCGTTATTGAATGTTTCTAACAATTTCCTGTCTTGTGCTTTTTAACCACGGTCCCCAGAAAAATGTTACCGTAAAATACCGCGGAAGCGCCCACTTTGTTCAAGCGCCCACTATTAACATTTCCCAAACTTGGGAATTCTGTAAATCATATGTTAAGCGCCTGATTTGACCGGACAAGCGCCCATGTCTAGATTATCCCAGTTTTCAGAGAAAGTTGGGTGGGCACACTTCCGGTATTTCACGGTATCAATGAGATTCTATAAAAAAAAGCAGCAAATAAAAAAAAAAGATCTTTCTGCATCCCACTATCTTATGTTTTTTGTGCTTGTTTTCTCTTGAGTGCTTATTGTTTTGGTGGGGACAAGGAATGTAGGCGGCACTTGCAACTGTTTGGGAGAAAAAAAATTTCTTGCAAAAGCCCAAAGTTACTCATTTTTACAACTGTGAACAACAGAGCTAGAAGCATTGATGTGCAGAGCTAGAAGCAATGAGGGTGAAGAGCCTTTACGTCAATGACAGAGGCTGAGCTAGACTACAGTTAGTGACTTCCCCAGAGTGACCTCATATCACGCTACATAGTAGAGCATGTCTGTCAAATGAAACCAAACTGGTTGCTTTCATTCTACAGTTCAGTGTTCAATAGACCGATCTCACCCGCCAGTTTGACTACGCCACCGCTGCCGCAATACATCAAGCGAAGTCTTTCTGTGCATGCGACAACCTCGCTGGAGCTCTGCGCATGTAGAGCGCGGAACAGCACGAGCCATCTCGTGAACTCCTGCCTGCCCCCTCTGAACTAAAGTTATGGCTGCCCCCGCATGCGCCAAAAGCTTGGTGGGATCGGTCTATTGATGCATGTATTATCCACGTGGCTGAGACAAAGCATAGCTGATGTAACACGCTGTAGTCATGAATGTGAGGTCGTTTGTTGTACCTTGTCTCGAAATTTAATCTCCTATCAGCAATAAACATATCAGTAATTCCTTGTCATCTTTCCAGGCTTCATGAGCATTTTCCTAACTTTCTCACACGGATGTATGCCGAGACGTGTAGAGCATGTGCTACAACCATCGAACACCAGTTCCGTAGTTGCATCATCACGCATCTGTGAGTAGGCATTTGGGAGTGAGACACTCCGTGAATATAGAGCGACTTTGTGCGATGCCTTTGCAGCAACCAATTTGGCCAGTAGCAGTGAAGGTAAATACTGACCATTAAACCTAGAGTAAACCCACAATGAGGGAGAAAACTCTGTGCCACCTTTGTTATGTTCCATGGAAGAGTGCATTCCTCCACTGGTAGACAAGCTGTTGCCTCCCAATCCTGAAAAAGATGAATGTTGGAATAACCTGAACTGCCAGCATTCCAGTGAAAAGAATGTGTTTGGTTCTGGTTTCCTAAAGGTTCTCAAGTTTTATTCAAACAAAAAATAAGGACAATCACTTCAGACTGTAAAGAAATACCACAAAACATTAATCAATTAAATATTGTGCAAAAAGAACAGAGTATGAAATAAAGCATCTTTTCTTTAGCTATTAAGTAGTAATTTGCTAACACTATTTCCAAAAGGGCATTATACACCAATGAAAAAAACTTCAACTGATCTCTCTTGGTCTGAAAGACACCACCAGCTTCTGGCCCTTGGTATCTGGTGCATGCCTTGTTTGCCCAGGAAGAAAACTTGTACAAAACTGAAAACGCCATCAACCAGACTATCGTAATGCCCTTTTCATGGGCATTTTGTGAGTAGCAATTTTAGTTTGCCCTTCTGGCAAGGGCGAACTGGGATGGGGGTGACCAGCTTCAGAAGAGATGTTAAACCAAAACGCATGGTTGTCTTCAAGAACACCTCAACGTGTAACATTCTGTCAACCTAACTAACATGCACACGCGAAAAGTAACGGAGCAATGACTCCTATAAAGGTATACCACAATGCTTGAAAGAATGAAGAAGCAAGTATTGTCAATAAACAAACTGCATAAATAGGAATGATCCTTCAAAGGGACCGAGCCGCAATAAATTGGAGACCTTACTTATAACAGTTACCACGACATCCTTCTTCAAAACACCTAGAGTTAAAGGTCTAGAGTGAAACCTGGTAATCAGCCTGCAAGAGGTCTCCTATGAATGAGGTGAAAACCAGGAGCTGAGTAGGAGGACTTGGGAAAGTGCACGCAAAGGTGACGCTTACCTCTATCGCAGTCCATACTTGAGCGCATTGATCGTATATCTGTGCCTACAAGGTTACTTCCTCCCATGCCTGCAAAAAGTAAAGAAAGCAATATTGCCCTCCAGACTCCAAACAAGCTTCAGTTGTTGGATGCTTAAAGAGACAATGAAGGCGATTTTATTAAATTTTTTTAAATAGTGTTTTTAGGCTTCTTAGGAACCTGGCATACTGCCCAATTTTTTTATAGACATTTGTGACGCGTATTTCTGTACCTACGAAAGAACTGAAGAAACCGAAACTGAACTATCTGCGTTTCTCGTTTTTGGGCCTCCGAAAACGGAGGTGACGTAGGGAGTGACGTCACATGTGAATTGTCCGTACCGGTAGCATTTAGGGCGTCGAGACTCTGGTTACCGCGGTGGGTTATAGCAGCGCGGTGGCGCGGTCGTTTCGTCGGACCAACATGGACGGCAATGCCGCTCTCGCGAGCGAATTTGGGCTCCCGTTCAGTGACCTCACACCAACAGAACGGGAGATGCTCCTAAGGACATGGAACTCTGGAATTCCTCTTTACGAGGACACCCCAGAATTGCCGCCGACCCAGAGTAATTCGCCTCACACCTACGCCCAGACCCCGACTAACCTGAAGGTTCTGTTCAAAGTCTCCTGACCGAAAATGTAGCGAACAAATTCTGACGCCATCGCCGAGACCTCTGCGCAAGACAAAGTCAACCGTTTGAACATCCTTCAACAGCGCACAAATTTGGCATGACTACCGCTTTGCAGAATCCCTCGAGTGCCGTGTTCCTAAAGTAAATACGGCACCGACGTCTGAAACCAGAACCAAAAAACTCCCGCGTGCTCCGCGCTGTGTTCATCATTTTATATATTTTGTTTGCCCATAGTTTCTCGTTGCCCGTTTCGCGTGCAGTGTAGCAAAGAGAAAAATAATTATGGTGTTTTATTTACGGTTTAGTTATCATTTTCGGTTCGGTTTATAGTTTTCATGGTTATTCAAGTGGAATTAGAACAGTGTTCATAAAAACCACGAACCAAAGCGTGACCGAGGGCACGTGTCTCGTTTCAACCAATCGCTGACACGTCTCTTGTGACGTCACGCTTCCAGGCGCCGCAGGGTCACGTGACCTCCGCTTCTGCTGGTTTCTCCCGCAACGCTCGGGGCGTCGCCCCGATCGATTCCGGTACGATTATTACCGTGACTGTTTAATTGATTTGCGCGGCACACAAGCGCCGGTTTTGGCTGAAATTTGGGCAACATGGCCTGAGGCGTGCCGGGAACCCAGATCAATCGCCAAAAAAATATCCGAAATTGCCTTCATTGTCCCTTTAAAGAATCGGGTAACAATTTCTTAAATGTAGCCTTCCTCAAAGTAAATGGCAAGCCCAAACCTTACAAGACGGCGGCAGAGTGTTATCCAAGGTAAGAAGCTTGCACTGAAGGTGGAACAATGAAAAGACTCCCCCCTGCCACTTTTATTATGTCAGTGACTATAACTATACACAATAACTAGGGTAAGATGTTTGCATTTGTTATATTTTTCAAATTCGGTGTACTTTTTTCGGTTTTCATCCACTAATAGGAATTTTTTTTTTTTAAGCGATGGGCAACACTTTGCAAAGATTGCGTCCTTGTTGCGTGTTGTCGCGGCGCGCGTGGGGAAAAAGGAAAAACCCTTCTCTTCCCTCGAGGAGAGAAAGTCTGGACTTCCCGTATGCCGTGCCGCCCGCAGAGAGCAAAGAGAGCAGCCCTGGCATCCTGCCAAGAATTGCACCACAAAGGGAGATTTGTGGTGTCGTGTCGTCTGCTTGAAAGAGTTGTTTTCCAACATTACTCGCGTTATGCGAAATCCCACTTTTGCAGTAACCAGTTGCTATGCCTAATGTTGGATGGTTTTAGAAACTTCCAGCGTGCTTACCCCCTACACCGATCACTGGTGGCAGTCAGTCGTCAATGGCATCCCCGACATCAACCACGTCGCACCTCCGTCCTCAGGTACATGACGGCACCATTCCACCCGTATTGCGCGACCATGCCACAGCTATCGCTTTCGTTTCTTCGCACATTGTGGGCGAACAATATAATTTTTTAGCAAATATTTATGTTTACTAAAGTTTACGGTTTCTTTTCAGTGATATGGGCTGTATCTTAATCCAACCCAAGACTGTATATGGTATTTTGTTTGCTTATCTTTTTGTGAGTGCTGGGTGAACATTAACAAATGGCTGTGTTTAGCAATTCGCTGTCATGGGGAGTTTGTAACTGCCATATGAAAGGGTGACAATCCAAAAGCTATGTCATTTTGCCTAAAATCTAACGAGGTATTGTAAACAATTTAATTTTGTCAAGGACCAAATTTTCGCAAATTTCGTGACTTGAAACAGATCGCAAAAATATAGATCACGTGAAAATATTACCCAATGATAACGAATACACATCAAACCACTCTTAACTGCAAAATTTTGTGCGCACAAAATGTTCCCGAAACTCGCCAGTCACCAAATATGCAAAATATTGAGCCCACGAAAACAAAGTCATTTAAGGTACCGTAATATCCCGAGAGATGGGGCACCCCCGAAAGATAACCCACCCCTATTTTCGGCATTATTCTCTACCTTTTCAAAAGCACCGTAAGAGAGCCCACTTCCAGTAATTACAGTAGCCTGGCCAATGGTGACCTCGTCAGAAATGGTGTTATTTAGTTACGGCGGGAGACAAGTGAACATGGTCGACTTCGAAGGACAGTCATCTTTGCTTTATCGCCCCAGGCTGCGATTTCACAGGCCACCAAATCTTAAACTAACATTTCTTCCATTTTTTTTTTTTTTTATTGCACACCAAAAGTTAGTTTGCTCCTTATTTTCACCCTAACTGCCTTTGATTTGAAGTGGGTTACCTCTTGGGACATTACGGTTTGTTAATAAAATAGCATTTTATTTGTCACAGTAGCGAGTAAAACATTAGAATGATGCCGAAACACGCATGGACAAGTACAGAAAAGACAGATGTCAACAAGCTCTACCCAGCATTAACGTAACCCTTGACATGAAAGGAACCTTGAATTTCGCCGGTTACCGGATCACAATCATTTCATGTGATTGTGATAAAAACATATGTAGTTTCTCAGGTATTCTTGTTTCTATGAATGCACACCCTTTTCTGTTTATAACTGCCAGTTTGGGAAGCGCCTCCTCAACATTAGCCACAGTCGCCTGACACTCCCCTTCCATACAGGTAGCCGTGCATTTACACCTGAAACTGACAAGCTGTCGAGGTGAAATACAGCAATGTCTAAAGTAGGCCAATCAGTGAAATGTGGGTGCCAAAAGACAGGCTTACTATGTTTCATCCACAGTGCATCAAGTCTGCAGTGCTTCATCAATTCATTCATGTTCAGGAGGGGCATTCTCAAACTTTTTAACAGAAATTAATGAATGAAGCACCGCATACTTCATGTATTCAGGATAACCCTCGTTGCAATGCTTGAACGGCTCTGACAGATACTCATAAAATGCCCTCATACATTAAGAAGTTGTGGGACATTTTGGACAATGAAAACAATCCAAACCTTACCTCCAAAGGATAGTGAAGTTGGCGCATAAAGCCATGCACAACAGAGAACAAAAATGTATTCCTCAAAAGATTCTTTGCTCCCCAAGTAAATGTGCCACAAAATTGCACGACAATGAACACCCCCCCCCCCCCCCCCCCCAAATATGCCCATCAGCTGTGGCACACTGCTCTATAACCTTTTCTATTAAAACATAATTATGAAAATTACTTAAAGGGGTCATGAAACTATTTTTCAACTTTTTCCTTCTTAGCTTTCCTCCTCAACTCTCAAATCGCGCATTGTACCAAACACTTCAAGAAGACGAAAAGGAGGGACTCCCCTCTTGCTCGGACCCTTGTTTGTGTACCTGGACACCGCCATTCTCCTCCTAGAAGATTAGACTGTTGCTCAAAACTCTGACAAAAGTTGCTTTCCCCACTCCGTTCACCCCGAAACTGAAAATGCTGTGGAAGCTCAAGCTCGTTGGGCCAGCCACACTTTTGCCACGTAATCACGCTCCCTCACGCATACCCACGAGCAGAGAATGAGGTCAGGTGATGAAAGGGAGGCGGCCGATTGGTCCGGAAAGTGCATACTTCCAATGTACCGTCAGCTTAGGAGTGAAAGGAATAAATCAGGTCCGGTGTCGTGTGACACGTGTTTGGGCTGGGTGATGCGCTTTGGGTACTGCGGATGTATCACAGTGAAAAGGCAGAGAGCTTTCGAAGGAAAGGAGATACGAATTAGTCCACCGTGTTTTCAAATTTTCATACTGAAAATCAGGCTTTCGACTTTCCACTAGGGTTGTGCGAATATTCGAAATTTCATAAAGTTGCTTCGAATATTACGCTATTCGATATTCGCTTCGAGAAGAACTGCACTATTCACGTTTTTCGAAGTGTTGATTGCAGCAGGTTAGCCCCGATGAGTGCGCTTCTTACCGAGCACCGGTGCACTGCGGAGAAGCAATATCTGCGGAAGCAAGTTCCGCGGGTGTTGCTTCTCTGCATTACATCGGTGCTCGGTAAGAAGCACACTCAACGGGGTAACCCATTGCAATAAACTGTTAAAAAGGTATGAATATCGCAATTGCATGCTTGGAAGAAAAGCATACATTCAAGGCGGGATGGTACACGCGTGCTGGCTGTATTTGAAAATAAATGGAAACTTTGTGGAAGTGTATATGGAAACTTTGTGGAAGTGTATACACTTCCACAAAGTTTCCATTTATTTTCAAATACAGCCAGCACGCGTGTACCATCCCGCCTTGAATGTATGCTTTTACATTGTAGTAAAAGTTTCAAAATTAAACTGACTGTTATGCAAGAGTATATGTTAGGAGAGATGCCCTTACAACCTGTGTTTATCATGCGTGATTCTTTCTTTTTTAACTCGAGATTAAAGAAAGAATATTTTATATAGCAAGATTTGTAAATTCACTCAATTGGGTATAGTTGGCCATTTCTATAGGATTCATTTTATGTCAAATCCGTCGTTTACTTGCCATCCCAAGACATCAGACCTACCGAGGTCACAGTTCATAAACATAGGTAGGTTAAACTTTGCTTATAAATGAATAAGTGGAATAACCTTCATGAGTTTAGCTGGGTTTTCATCTAAGCATGATGCAATGGCAGTGAAAGGCATGGAAAACTATTCGATATTCGAATCGAAAATATTCGGCCAAACCACTATTCACTCCGAATTCGCTTTGAACTCAAAATCTACTATTTGCACATGACTACTTTCTACCTTCTTTTTCTTTGGGCCCACTAAACAATAAGCTAATAGTAAGATCCAAATCTAAATTCATTTATCCCAGCTCAAAATTCATTTCATGGGCGCTTTAAGCATCTTTATCAGTTTTACAGGGTTAAAGCGAGAACACCTCAACATATTAAAATAATAATTGAAAAAAAAATGTATTTCCACCCTATAACTTAGGGATGCTGACTGTGCTAAAAACAGTTGTTACCATGACATTAAAAACTGGATGGAGATGACTTTCAAAGGGCTAACAGACAGAAGTGTTGTAGGAAAAAGCCTGAAAATTATAGCATGGTTCAATTCATTTACTAAATATGGCCCTGGTATGGTAGAGTTGCCAAAGGAATAGCATCCCTGGCTCTAACACATTGATAAAGATTTTTTTTTAAAAATGAAGGAAATGGAAAAAAAAAATGTGGATCACTCACACTCACCCCTGTCAGAGTCGATGGCAGGATGCAATGTTCGAATGTCGCTACTCCCCATGGGGCTACAGCCAATGCCTAGCAACAAAATGAGAGAATGCAATTTTAGCAATATCTGGATCCCAAGGTGGACCTTGCACCAACTTACCGAGCGCAGTTGTCGGATTGGCATGCTGATTCGTCTGGTGCATGCCTCTAACATCACCCGGAGACATACTGCTGCAACTCATGCCTGCAAGCATGCCACATTACGTCAGATGGAAAATGAGAGGAGTGTACATCATTATTTTTAGTAATCAGCGCAAGTCTAGGTCTTCTTTGAATAAAATATATCAACAACATAACGTAAAGGCAGTTATATGCCAGTGGGAGATACAACATAAAATGAAGGCCTCTTGGAGACAAGATTAAGGGAAGACGCCGCTCTAATATGCTTTTTAACCGTTAGTCTCATTTGTATGAAATTTGTAGGGCATATTCGTAGCTGTGAAAGAGGATGGCATGCAGAGTTTCAAGTTTATAAATTAATTCTTCGAAAAGTTATATAAAAGCACATCAAATAAACACAGCATCACCCGGCGAAAACCACTGTACGAAAACGGTAATGAAAATGTCCAGTTTTATCAAGTCAGCATACAGTGTAACACCTGTGTCATGCGACTGTGGAAAAAGAAATAAAAGAAATTACTTAATTTTAATTTAAAAAATACAAATGGTGGACGAAAAATTGCAGCTTTTCACAACAAAGGAACGTGAAAATGCAGAATGTAAGTTCACTGCCATGTTCCTTACAATATTTCAGTATATAAACTCCAAAAACTGGCTCCACACAGCATTTTATTATGAAACAATAGCTTTCCTGAACTGAAATTTGACACCAAAAAGTGAAGCTGAGAGAAATCCCATTCGAAGTTCAAAAGGTTCCACTTCAGATGTAACCAGCATGTCAAAAATAGTTTATTCTGGAAAAAATACATCAGCTAGAGGAATTCAACTTTTTGAGCCTCCGTTAAGATGTTCTACAAGCCAAAAAGCTACTAATGAAAAATTAGATTTCGAAAAAAAATTTGTAAATTTGAAAGAGCGCTTTTTTTTTTTTAATGAGTTTTCCAAATTGTACATGTGCTCCCGAATCGAAACACTAGCAAATGAAATGAGCCAGACATGTAGATAAACTTTTCCCTAAAAAGGCAGCACGAACTCACAGAGTCAATATTAAATTGTCATCAAGCAGCACAGAGGAGCCACACACAAAATGTCCTTAAAAATAAAGCCCTTTAGCATGTCGTCAAACTTCTTACGATATTCAAACAGTGAGAAGCAGCCTCTGAACTGGCACTCTTCAAGCATCCCCAGCCTTAAGCTGGAGCTCCTCAACAGGTGCTGCACAGCTGCCTACACTCGCTCAGCCGCGGCAACTCCCAAATGTTCCCTACGTCGGTGTCTTTCACCCCATCTACACACACAGTCAAGCACCAAAGCAATAAATGAAAGAATTGTCAGCCAGTAGGCCGAGAGGCTCTACTTTGCAAGATCAAGTCATTGACCATGCTTCAGAGGAAGAGACTACGTTAACTGAGCATATGCATCACAATAGGTTAAAATAACAGCAGAAAACAGGCCGGACTCACTCCATGGCGCGACTGCAATTCCACTGGCGAGCTATCGTCGGTGCGCACTTGTAATGTAAGCCTCGCTATTGTGCACTTGCTGTTAAAAGTGACCTGCACACCATGCAAAAGGGATGCAAATAGCACTGACATGCTGCTTGGAGAACCATGCAGCCTGAGAAAAGTGCGGTTGGACGACATAATTTATCAATGCCGATAGCGCCTTATCATTTTTTATGAACTGGCAGAACAGAGCTCCACTCAACAAAAACGAATCGGATCAGCAGCTCTTGATAACAACACGTGTGTCAATGCAGCAGAAGAGGACGGCTGGGGAAAAAAAAAAGGAATCATTCATTTTTCAAGCGTTCCTTTTTCAAGTTTTCATAGGTAGGTGACCACAATGTTTTAGATGAGTGAAGCAGTTTTATTCGTGAAGCACCACGAAAAATGCTTTAGGGCAGCCAGTAAACACCCTGTAAGTGTGAATTACCCATGTGACTGGTCGCACTTGACGGATGGAGGCCCCTCACATCACTTCCGTCCATGCTGCTGCAGCCCATGCCTGTGCGAGACAACGGGTCATTTGAATAACAAAATCGCGCCGCACGCGCAGTTAGTGCAACTTTGGTGCTGTGGCATTGTATGCATGCGACTGGGAGGGCCAAATCTGACGAAATAAAGTTACACGCGCATGCAACAGCGGTCTCAGAAAGGACAAGAGTACGTAGATCGGAGGACATGCGATGACTCACCCTGATGCAACCCCAACACCAGGTTGGAATCCATGGCTGCGAAATAAATTTCACAGAATCATAAGCATTTCGCCCCGAGCGGTTATGTGTTGATGCTGAGAAGCGCGCTCAGCTAAACCAACGTACGATATTGGAGTAACAGCGACAAAACAGCCGTCTGAAAATTGCGCGCATCGCGCGGGTTCAAAGGTTAGCTCAATGTATTGCATATGCATCGTGCCGAGCTCAGTGTCTTTCGGCGTGTCGAAACGACTTCTCCACTTCTCCACCCACCGAAACAAGACAGCGTGAGCGCTTTTTAAGCGCGCCAAAGCTCTCCCCGCGGCGGCGAACAATAAGTAACACCGCGCGATAATCATGTTCAGTTTCACCGGCCTTTTACCCCCGCCAGAGCTTTCTCCACTTTCGCGAACGCCACGGCACTTGAGACGGTCGCCTTCGAAATACGAAATGAGTAAAGTGGCGGAGCAAAACGTTTGAATAGAGCCTCTGAGGACGGTTGTTAATGTCACCAAGTCCTCTTATAAGAAACAACATCGTTAATACGGACGCCATGTTTTCATCTTTGTGCGACGAAGCCAACGAAGCCCTAAAACCGGGACCCCGACCACAGCCGCAGTGTGCACTGGCAAACACCGCTCAGACTCGTGGAAGCAAGTTGTTGCTACTATTTCTTGGCGGCGCTGTAAACATGATGCCCCCTAATGGCCTCGATAAAAGCGGGGACTGAGATAAAATATGGGCTTCGTTTAGTGTAAAAAAGCTTACCTTGCTTCGATTGTTGTCCTGTGGGCCTCGCGAGTCAGATGCGCTCAGAAACTGGGTCTGCTTAACAACGCCTCATGTTCCCCTTATGATTTGTCCAGTGGAAACGTGAAATCATGTATTAAATCCCGATAAAGTTCTTGCGTTAAAACGTCAAAGCCCTCCATTTGTTTACTTCACTGTTGCCAGTAACTGGAAGCGCTTTTCAGCTATTCGCGGCCATCTTGTTTTTGCGCATTTCATTATGTAGCGCATATTTTCATTATGGAGGCAGTCCCACTTTCTATGTGAACAGCGCGGCGAGTGGCAGCACGGCTGCTCGTTTTTTATCACGCGGAACGAAAATCAAATCGACGGAGATACTTCGCCGTCTTTAACGCACACCTATTGACGCTGCAGACTGGCTTACTGGATGATTTTGTTTTCGGAATGTGTTTTGCTTAGCTGTTTTTTTGTGTGTTTTTTTTTTTTTTTTTAGTAAAGACCAATAAAACTGCAATGTTTTTTCTTTTTTTTTTTCTTTCTCAAAACTTCATATTTACTTGCCTACACCACCATACAATTGCTCTCTACAAGCACTTATTTCTTACTTATAAATTCCAGTTGTATTCTATTGGTATGAATACCATCAAACCTGAGCATTAATTACTCTCGGGGGTGGCAAATGCCACCCCCGAGAGTAATTAATGTTAAAGTTAGGGAGCCAGAAAAGCAGAAGACATGAATGTGACCTCTTGAAATGATTTACACACAACACACATATATTCAATATGTTCTTTCATAAATTTTCTCAACGTGATACACTTTTTACACAGCACATGCAGCAAAGTCACCTAAGATTCTGTAGACATTTACAAGTAACCTGTCCTAACAGAATAACATATTAGAATTAAAATTCTCTTTACAAAAGCACACTAATCTGAATGCTGCACTGCTGGTGCTTTGCAGATGCAGAAATGTAATTCCCAACACTGTTCCAAATGTTTTGACACACAATATGCAACCAGAAAGTATGCGCGAGAAATTAAGAAAATGGAAGAAAGTCCAGAGGAAGCGAAACAAATCTTACTTCAGCATGCAACTGATAGAAGAGCAACAGCCGAAAAGTACACACCAGAACCTACACAAGCGTAGAGAGCAGCCCTAAAAGCACATATAAAGTATAGCACATCATGAGTCCCTCTAATTCATTATGCTTTTTTTTTCTTTCAAAAAGGCATTAAAAGTTTTTGTCAGAACAGGCGACCTTGAAGCCTAAAAACGTTATGCAAACAGACATCTTACACAGACCAAATAAGGGTCATCAGAAAAACAAGTTTCCAACTGAAGGTTACATGAAAACAAAAACTTTTGACAAGTCACAGTACAATTATTTTGCTAGACTGCCAAATCCAAAGATGAAAGAAAGAAATGTTTTCTTTGACAGGATGACAACTCATCAATCATGTACACATATGCACCAGCCACAGCAATGTGTCCAGTTACTTGCTTCTTGAGGAATTTGAATTTCAAATTTTAAAAAGACTCCATCGCCACTGAAAGCCATCCCACAAAGAAATGCAAAATATGTCTTCCTCTTTTTTTTGCCTGCAATTTTAAGTTTGAAACACTTTCAGACACCCCATACATATTAGAAGAAAAGGCGACTAAGTGGCACCCAAAATAGTAGTCTAATAATAATTTTTTTTTAAATATGACAGCTGATAAAAAAAAATAGTCAGACCCAGAAGTTAAAATCCTTTACCAAAAAGAGCAACGTCCTCCATACTTAAAATAATGGCAAACGCCTACTAAAAGACTTCCACAAATCAAGATTAAAACCAAACCCTATTCTCGCAGCTTGCTAGTGATCCTAGCCACCAGTTCATTAGCATCCTTCTCCTTCACAATCTTCACAAACACTCCCCGCTTAATCGAAAGGACTTTGAACCAATCTGGCATAACTCTCGATGCCAGCTGCACTAAGGCTTCCACTTCATCAACAGCGAGCACACACGAGAAGCTCTCTTTCACCTTGCACACGAGCTCATCCCTCGGAATGGCCGCCTTCTGTTCAGCCAGAAAAAGCGAACGCGTAATTCGGATGAATTCGCGAAGGTTCAATAGCTCGGTTCGCTCTTTCTCATGCTCTGGCCGCAGGGTCATTTTTTGGACGAGCTTGAATGACTCGCGCTCTCTGATGCGGGCAAGCAAGTCCTGAGAGACTCCCTTTAAACACTCGCGGGCACCTCTGTCGACTGAAGAAAGTGGCGTGGCAGCGACGACAGTTCCTTGCTTTTGCACGAGGCTTTCAAGAGCACACTCAATGCGTTTGTTCAGTTTTCCCTTCACCCTGTTCAGAATGTCTTGTGCCGAAGAGCACTTCATTTCCAGAGGCGACTCGGGCAGTGGAGCTGCCTGAATGGCTGCAATGCTGTCTAGGGGAAATCTCGGATGCCAGCGCATAATGTCTTCCGCTGGGATGCCCACGGGTGGATCCAGAGTGGTGAGATACTCGCTATGGTGCTGCTTGACTCGCGACAACAGAAGGGAGTGGAAGTGGTTCCTACGTTGGAGAAGGCAGGCGGCACTCATTGTCCCAGGGGCATCGTCGATGTTTAGCTTGGCGGAAAATTCGGGCGTTATTACCAGTTGGTAGGTCTTGCTGGTGACACCAGGCCGAGACAGTTTCTCTTGGGTCAGAAGGTATGACTCGGGGTAAATGGTCTTTATCTGCCCCAGGACATCCTTGCTGAAGCGCTTCTTGGACATGACCTCGACAGATGGCTTCAGCTTGTCGAAAGTGCATACTTCTTTACGGTTGAACATCATGCTGACAATGGTATCGCAACAACGAAACTGTTCTGCCAGCTGCTTGTAGCTGAAAGGGAGGGTTAGGCTTGGTGTGCAGGGCTCAGTCAAATGATGATAGCGCTCATAGGCAGGCTGTTCCTCCTCGACGGTTTTGAACCCGGTTCCCTTTGCAGTGGACTTCAGTTTGGCCTCGGTTAGGCCCGCCCGAGCTTGGTCAATAGTCTTCAGTTGAGCCTGGACTTCCTTTAGGCGGCTAGAAGTGGTCAGCTTTTTCAAGGCATCAGGGTCGATGAGTTTCATTATATTCCGTGAGTCTTGTGGTGCAACGAAGTTGCCAAAGGTTTCTCCGCGAGTATCTCCAAGCTTCTGAGTACGAGAGGCGTTTGCAGACGAGTTTGAATGCCCTTTAAGTGCATCCTGAAGTCTCAACTGTCTGCGTACAGGACAATGACCGATCTGTCTCGCAGTGCCACGGTACACCAAGGACGAGGTAGGTGTTTTGTTCAGTGAAGAACCATCGCGACGTCGACGCTTTGAAGGCAGAGAAACAAAGCCCTCTGAGCTCACCTCGTCCGAGATCTTGTACCCAGATTTCGGTGTCACGAGCCCTTTGGCGAGAGCGTCCGATCCAAGTTTTCTCGCGTTGTAAAAGCGTGTCAATGGCGTTTGTTTCTTTGCTTCCATCGTATGGCGATATCCTCAACATTCCCGCCACTTCAGCATTTCCTAGCCCGCCAACGAGGAGTTGTTTCCCTCAAGCCACAAAAAGCGCGCAAACACCCGCAAAAACGCGCCAGGACAGTAGTTGCCAGACGCGACACGTGTTGGCGAAAATAACGAAAATCCAAAAACTACCTGAAACCAACTGAAACGCGCGTAGTTTTATGTGAAAACTTTGCTTGAAACCTACAAGACCAACTTCATCAATTTTGATTTACATTTTTTTGCTATCATTAAGGACTTCAAAACAAGCTTTAAACCCTCCAAACGTTCCCAAAGATTGTCTGAAATTGTCTTTAATCGAAAAAATACCCACATGGTGTGCTACTTTCATTGCATGCTACAGGTAATGTTGCATTAAAAAAAAATTGACAAATTAACTACGACAGATTCCAGTCCTGTGGCGCTAGAGTGACATAATTTCTCCAGGCGGCGCTCATGCGAATGGCGCTGCGAGTAGCCGCCAGATTTGAAAGAGTAATGTCGTGTCCACGGCTTTGTTTGGTGTGCGTACAGCGATCTGCATATCGATTTCCTTTAGTGGGGTGGCAAAACCTGTATAGTTACATTTAAAGTAAAAATTGTCGATGTCTATTGTTCGAACACGTTCGATCCACTTGACAGTTGCATCAGGAGCAAAATATGGTATTGTTTTCCTCTTCATTCAAACCAAGGATCGGTGATCTCCCCGGAATCTGCCAGCACCATTTCTGTGCTTGCAGATTCTTCTTCAGTCGGTCACAGTATTGATACCGTGACTGATATTTTCTAAGGTTGGTTTTGGCTTTACTATGATGCTTAAAAAAAATAAGTTACGCTTTGTGCTGTGTTGAATGTAAAGCCCCAAAACCTCTGTCGGGCACCACGCATGCATCTCTGCCCCCACGCAAAAAAAAAAAAAAAAAAAGTCTGAAAGCAAAAGCCTTTTTGTGCTTGCTTGCCTATCCAGCTCGTTCCCGTGTTTTGCGGAGTCGGCGTCGCTGTCGGCGTCGCTGTCGGCGTCGCTGTCGGCGTAACCGCAGGAGGAGGAAGAAGGGAATATATATATATATATATATATATATATATATATATATATATATATATATATACAGCAGCACGAGGTCTATATTTGTACATATAAATATTCCTTCCTCAAATTATTTAGCACTAGCACGGAATATCGCCAAATCAGAACACCTCAAGAGCTGTGCTCTAATTTCGCATTACAGAGATTTGTAAACGTCTCCCATTTTTTTTTTTCTTCTTAATTTAAATAATATGAAATTCGGAATTTTCAGGTTATATTCAGAGATAGTCAAGTATAATTAACAACTGATCGGTTTGAATACAGATATTATTTGTAATAAAGTACTGTACTCAAGATAGCATTGAAATATGGAAAGAGCTCATATGGGCTTTTACAATTTTCATACACCCTTTGCATGCGCAGCACTGAGTCTTTGTTTTTTGAGAGAATGTTCTCTCAGCATTACAGCTTACGTACATTTGAAATTAGTACTTTATTCTCACTCTTCTTTTCCTTTTTTTTTTTTTTTCGTTGGTTGAAACGGAAAAGGGAGAAGGGCAAAGGATACTGCACAATGGACATACAACATTTGCAACATTTGAGGGTTCGATTCATGTCATGCAATTCACTGAATCAAAAAAAAAAAAAAATCTAGGTTTGTTTCCGAGGTTCGAAGCCAGCGCAAATGTGTCTCTACCAACTCTCGTAGAAAATATTTTCGGAGCAGAGTGACTCGGAAGGTGCTGGAATTCAATGCCGCATTCGGGGGAGGGAAGGGGGGAATCGAGTTTAATCCGATTTTTAAGAAACATGTCCGGGGTGTAAACATCGGGTTTTACCCAAGAACGAAGACCCCTATACATATATCTAATCTAAAATGCCACCTACATATATCTTAATTCTTTACATAAAGCGGGACGAGCCGGACTTTTTTTTTACTACGGTTTTTCGGGTGAAAACGAGTATAGATGTAATGGACGTAGCAGCAAAAGCCAACGCCAGAACAGGTGACCTTTTGTTCTTGCCTCGAGTTAATCAGGTTTATAGGCGTTTATAGTCCGTCGCAACTCAAGAAGGTAGGGCGAAGGAAAGAAAGACCGGGGAGGAGGAAACAGACGGAACGCTGGAGAAGAGAGGGGGGAACTTCCTCCTCTCTCTAGCGTTCGGTCTGCTTCCTCTTCCTCGGCCTTCTTTCCCTCGCCCTACCTTCTAGAGTTGCAACGTTTTTGTTGACCCTTCAGTAACCTCAGTCCCGGTCGGTACCTCTCACCTTGTGTAACCTTTACCGGCTACTTACACCCTTACATGTTGTTCGTTAATTCACAACTTTCGCTTTTTGTCCCTTTAATCTGGCCGCCCTCCGTGAAACCCGTATGCTCCGTGGCACCGCGTGCAAAGAAGTCCAAAGACGCGGGCTCGCCTTGTATATCCCCGCAACGGTGGCGATGCTTACTCGACCGTCACTCGGGGAAAGTTTTACAGTTGCGGTACAAGACGGAAAAAAAGGAGCACGGAAATCTTCGGGGGCGACTCGGCCGACAAGTTCTGTCAATCGGCGCAACAAAAGAACCCTAGCTTGGACCGGAAGTAGGGCGGTCCCACTGTCACTGGAAGCTAACTGGAAGCCGCCCAGGTCGCTGCTGCCGACCGCCGACTGCTGAGACCGCCACTAATGCCTGACCAACCAAGCGCGCGTTCGTACGTCGCTTGCCTGAGCATCGCACTGCCCGCGCTCCACTTAGCGTGCACCATGCATGTTCCCGCCTGCGGCGGCCATTCAACGCAGGCGGGAGCCTTCGGTCGTCTCGAACGACAACTTGTCAACCGGAACTTTGGGTCACCCTGTTTTTTTGTGTTTTTTTTTTTTTTCTTTTTTTTTTTTATGCAATTGAAAAAATCTTTTCTCTGAAAAAAAAAAAAAAAAAGAAACGAAACCCTTTTAGAAAGCGGAAATTGCCCTCCGAATGCACAAGAAACGTGCGAACTGGAAAGCGTCGGTTTGGGGACACTAATAACCCGAATGTCATGTATCGTGAATATATCCATAGGGAGCGTGCGACACCTAAAGGGGGCGCGTCGATCCAACTGATCCCGCCAAATGAATCTGCTGGAAGCCGCACCGCGGCGCCACTGTCTTGTCACAGGCTTTTCATTATCACTCCGCAGCCAATCAGAGAGCGGTGTTACTCATTATGAACGCCGAAGAACGAATCACGCAGCGAGAAGGATAATAAGCCACGCCCTGCCGTTCTTACTTTGTCAGTGAGAACGGCAGGGCTTATTATATGTCTATGCTAGCTTCTCCCTGCCTGATTCGTTCTTCTGTGTTTATAGTGAGTAACGCTGATATCTGATTGCCTGCAGAGTGACAATGAAAAGCCGGCGGCCATAGGGCTCTGCCCTCGACAAGACAGTGGCGCCGCGGTGCGGCTCCCAGCAGATTCATTTGGCGGGAACATCAGTTGGATCGGCGATCAATGCTATTTAAAATTAGGTTCTTCCGCCTGAACGTCAATATGACTCGCATGAGTGCACGAGGTTTCAGTCGAAATCAGGCTATCAAATGATGGTTTTGTTATTAGCATCTCCTTTTACACGACGCAGTATATAGGATCAGCATTAACTAAGTATGCATTTAAGCGTATATATTGATTTCCTAGACTCTAGAGGGGGTACTTTCAATTCAGACTTGCTTAATTAATATAAATAGATCATTTTCGTTCAGTGATATTTTAGTAGTAGTAGGTGTGCTTCGAAAGTCAGGCACGCGAAACGCCATTTCTAATCATCCGTCATAAAAAAAAAAAAAAAAAAAAAAAAAATCTTGAGCGGTGACGATTGTAACTGCGTATTCATGTGACATTATCATAAGATACACTCTTTAGGTGAGGACACGGCGGGGCTGAACGCGTGGCGCGAGGAATCAGATAGTGTTCGTTCGACGGGCATTCGAAGAAAGGATGCATTATTCCGCGGCCCGCGGCTGACAGTGTCGCCGGCGGCCAAACGGCGAAACTGTGTGAGAGCGAAAAAAATTATCTCGTTGCCATGACACCCCGGTACACCGTGGTCTTTCTGCACGAGCGACAACCCCGCTGGAGCTCTGCGCGTGTGGAGCATGAGGCGGCACGAGCCGCCTTTGCCGTGCCCACGAGTCGACGAGTCATCTGCCGGCGCCGCTTGAAACCATAGTGAGAGAGAGAAAGAAAGAGAGAGAAAAGCGAACTTTATCTGCACTGCGCGAGGAGCGCGCTGTCCTCACCTGAAGAGTATTATCTTACACCGTGTACATTATGCATGCTCACATTAACCCACTACCGTTTATGCTGGTACTTTGATCAGGTTTTGATGTTCAGCGTACTTCTGCAAGAGTGCAAGTGCAAGAGCCGTAACGGACATAAAAGCAAAGAGCTGAACTGAATGTTTAAATGACTCTTTGAATGCAACCTTGTATAAATACACTCGAAGCTAGTCAGTGGAAATATACTTTTACTGTTTTACAGTTACGTCACTCTTTTTTTTTCTTTTTTTTCAAGCTTATTGGATCAAGGTTGTTTTACGTTTGGGCGTTGATTAGCTTCTTGTGCAAACTTCCAAACTATTACAAACAAACTGCGCGCTCGATGCGCGTGCAACCCTGAAACATTTACGCACAGATCACTAATAGTCATAGAGATCAGCGCCACAGACACAAGCCATATCGCGTTTGTGGACGGACAATTTCACCGAGAGGGCAAGACAATGTCGGAATCGAAAAACAACGATCTGAGATCTGCAGCTCTCGATTTTAGACTTCTGCTGAGCTTCCGGCCCCTGCAAGTTACATTATCTCTCAACTTGTCAGGGAGTTCAGAGACTGGAACTAACTCCTTGCACTCCGGCACTAGTTTGGACCAGGGCTCCTTACAAAACCTAAAAGAAATACGCAAAAAAAAAAAAAGAAAAGCGGGGCGGGCTGCTCGTTGACTGCCCACGCTGATATACACGCTGATACGCTGATATTCTCTGCGATATACATAATGTTTGCATTCCTCTGTATTTGCAGGCGCCCACAATCTCAAATTTCGTTTTGGTGCATAGTAGGCTTAGGTGGACGTCAGCTCATAGACACTTTGTCTTTCTTTTCTACCTTTTGCCCAGGTAACGTCATGTGCTCAAACTTTCGCATTTTATCCCCACCTCTAGCGTCAAATTCTTACGGCATTCCTGCTTTCCGTGATGCGTTTATAGTTTATTTATACGGGTCGAAAAACCGGGTTTCACTTTCTCAATCTAACCCAGTGTTGTAAAAATATAAGGAAAAGCTTGCTAAGCTCTCCTAGCAACCCCCCCCCCCCCCCCTTTCCACCTTTCTTTTCTAAAACGAAAAAGGGGGGGGGGGGGGGGGGGGGGGACTGCAAAAAACATTAAATGTCTCACACACATTTGTGTTCTCGTTTCTGGGAGGCTCTAAATTTATTCATTCTCCGGTTTTTCTGGGTATTGTCGCTTTCGACAGCAAGAACAGCGTCGCACGTCCAAATGCGGCATGAAATAGCGGTCGCGGGAACCGTGCGGGCGCGCGTGGAAATCCGGTCAGAGAGAGAGTCCGCGGATCAACGCCTGACAGGCATCAAGGCCGGCGGCAGTAGCAGGGTGTCCATTCAGACCGAACCGCGGGGAGTACGTGCTGCAGTCTTGACCGGTCAAGCATGGCGGGGAACGACGGACCGAGTCGTCGGACAAAGACGCCAATCGGAGCGGGCCCGCCCAACGCTGTGCGCGGCACCTCTTTCTACCATCAGCGCATTATACACATTATACAGCGGAAAGACGCCGACCCTCTCCGCGGGCTTACGCAACACGAGAATAACGAAGGCCTCCGAACGCCCCACCGTCTTCCTCGATGGAACGTTATCACAGTCAGATGGCGCCAACTCGGCCATTGGACCCGAGCCCGATGCCGAGCGTCCTTCGACGCGTTCATTGGATACGCGAGGCCCAGCCGAGCACCGACGCAGCACTCGTATCCAATCGGTGTCTTCGCTCGTTCCCACTCCGATGACGTCAAAAATTCAAGTGCGCAGGGTTTGCTTATTTTACACCCTTAAAAAGCCCTCGCGTCCACTTTCCCGCACAACAGTCGGAGAGCCAATCATCGTAACTTCCTAAGGCAGCCCAGCGAATGACGATGCCGAAACATATATATTGGTTCAGTCGGTGACAGCAAGGGCGATGAGCGCAGCGACGACGCACTTTTGGCGTAGCTTGATTGGTCCCCGAGGGTCGTAGAGTGCGCTACACTCTAAAGAAAAAGCCCGTGCGTCTACTTTCCCGCACAACACTCGGAGTCTGAGAGCCAATCACCGCAATTTACGAGGCAGCTCAGCGAATGACGATGCCGAAACATATGTTTAGACCAAAAAACACAGTCCGAGTTGTGACATTAAGCAATGCAAGCGTGACGTTTTGCATTGCTTAATGTCACAACTCAGACTGCGTTCTTTGGTCTAAACATATGTTTCGGCATCGTCATAGGCTGAGCTGTCTCCGTAGGTTGCGGTGATTGGCTCTCTGAGTGTTGTGCGGGAAAGAAGACGCACGGGCTTTTTTTAGAGTGTACATAGGAATTAAAGTGAGTCGGTGTCGAATAAAGTCTCTGTCCTTATTCAAATTTCTCTCAACGCCCCAAGTTGAAAGGAAGGGCGAGGAGTGATGAAAGCGCACCAGAAATCATTTCGATCTACGCGCCTAGAAAGTGAGGGAAAGGGGGAGATCACGAGAACGGCTCTGGTTCGAATGATTAGTGGGCATAGACCAATTGTCTCCATGCGCAACACTCGTCGAATGCGTTCGAATTCGAAAGCCAAATACCGGACACCGGCGTTCCGTGTTGAGTGCAGTAGAGACAAGGGCAGCTAAGCTTTAGGTCTACCCACTAATCACTCCAATCAGATCTCGGCCTTCTGGCGTCCCTCTCGTCTCCTCCTTTCCCTCGCTTTCTTGGCGCATAAAAGGACACCAATGAGAACACAGATATTACGTGTATGGGGTACATATAATAGCTATATGTTATGACTGGTGCTCTTCTATAGGTCGAAGTGATTTCTAGTTACACGTAATATCTACGTTCTGACTGGTATTCTTTTCTGGTTCGCTTTCATAACTCACTTGCCCTTCATTTCAACTAGGGACGTTGAGATAAATTTGAATAACGCGATACTTTATTAGGCACAGACGTATCAGGAGGAGACTTCCCTTCTTAAATTTTGACATATACATTTCAAGGAAAGTCTCTTCCCGAAACGTCTGTGAGTAATTAAAGTCTCGCTTCGTTATTAAAGTTTCTCTCAAACGGTATAATTTCTCCATGAACAATATTTTTAAGTACATCCAGTTTCGATTATGGCGAAGCCTGCAAGCTCAAACAGATACTTTTGGTGTTTTGTATCTGAGTAATGAAGTCTGAAACGCTATTAAAAGCAAATAAAGAAAAATGGGTAATCGTAATCATATAGACGACTGATACAAACAGCTGAATCACGGTGTTCGGCTATCGTAACAAACAAAACGGCGCTTCATGCTGTTCCAATGATTCGCCTTGCCGTCAAAACTCCGTCCGTCAGTTGATTCAGTAAAACTAACGTCTCCCGTTGGAATTTTGTGACGGGACACTAAAACGGATTTTGAGATCGCCTCTTTATGGCGCGAAATCGATATACGCACGCATATCTCGGGAAAGGGGTGTCTTGTGGGTGTTTCGTCGCGTTTTTAATAGGGGAAAAAACTCACGAATGGCTGTGAGTTTTCTAGGATGCTTAGGCTGCGTAGTCGACATCACGCCGTAAAGAGACGATCTCAGTATCCACTTTCGTGAACTTGCAGGGCGTGGCACGCCCCGGGGTCCCAATGATCACTCCGTATAGACAACAATACTGCGGGATTAGTGAATAAAAGCGTCCACGACAACGCAATAAGCAAGAAGTTCAGTGACTAGAAGCGCATGTTGTTTAACCGATATTGCAAACATCTGGAAACAAGCTTGAGAGCTACCGATTTTGAAAGGCATTTAAGCATCTTCTTTAAAAGATAATGAAATGTTGTTTTCTTCCTGTGTAATTGCCTCTCACGTGTGTTGTATATACTGTACCCCATCATTAAATCGTTGCCTCTTGAGTTTTTGGTGAACACGCACACGCTCATACACTAGATAACAATAAGGCAAAAAAAGACACCTAAAGGTATTGTGACGGGGAAGCACTAAAGAAAGGACCTGGCCAACACGTCTCCTAAATGCCACGACTCCACAATGCGGAACCGAGGCTGTAGGAGATAATGCCGGGTCACATGCCCCAAAACAAGACCTTCCCGCGTCAAGCCCCCACCATTACGTGTGCGTGGCTCCAGAGCAAAGGCGAGGGAGAGCCACAGACACCGGTGATCGGACACCGGGATACAGCGTAAAGTTCGGATAAAGTAACAGTCACCGCATACAAGGCAGCTTCGGTATTCATAGTAGCTGGAGCGAGGTGAGCGAGTGCCGGCCGACAACTTTCACCGCGACCTCAGGTTCCCGCGTGCGAAAAAGGGGGGGAAAAGACACGAAATCGTAGCGAAGTTGAAGTGAAAGAAAGAAATGGCGGGTTGCGTGCTCCCCTGTGAGAAAGGGGACGCTGCTTAAAGTTCGATTAACGAACTTGTGGGAGGGGGAGCGAGGGGAAGGGGGGGGGGGGGGGGGCGGTCGGAAGTGGGCGCAAGGCGGCGTTGTGGTTCGATATATAAGTCAGGCGCACCAGATCACGGCAACAGTCGGCCATTGCCTTTTAGACGTTTCCTTTCCGTACGTGCTTTCAGACTCTCAGCGTAGAAGCAATGATCGCAAAGGTGAGCGCCTAGTAACTCATTATCGCCAAAATCTTGCTTTTTGCCTTCAGCTGCATATATACAAGGTGTTTCATGAAAAGTGGACAAATTCGATATGGCGAAAACTACGCGTCGCAAAAAAAAAAAATAATAATAATGCTTGTGTTGTTTTGGTCCTGGGCCAGGAGCCTATTTAGAAAAATTATTGAAGTCCCGGATAATTAGGTTGTTAATTATTTTTGCGTAATTAACTTTTTTAATATTGTATTTAAGGGCATAGTTTCAATTAGAAAATTGCTCAGCATCATCAAAAAACAGTAAATGAACAAATTTCAGAACAATAGAAGGCACGCGAAGCATTTTACGGCTTTTTGAAAAACTGCACAAATTCGACGGGTTTTTAAGTTTCGGTTTGCTATCGGAGGGCATATCGGCCCCGAGAAAGAGAGAGAGAGATACGAAGACAGAAAATTGCCATTCTTACAAATTCGGATTTAAATATTCTTCGCGAATGGCGGTCTCGAAGTATCCACGCACTCCGTTGCTCCCGTCGCAGTTGGTCCGTGGGGTTTTGGGGCGGCGGCGCTAGAAGCAGCGCCATGGACGTTCATTTTGTATCTCCTCTATTGATGGCGTGAATGCGCATGATTGATACGGTCAGAGAATAAAAACATCAGTTGCGAACAGAGAGAGAGAGAGGGGGGGGGGGGGGGGCACCTAATAGCTACGGCCATTCAACTGTGTCTTATGTGCCTAAGAGTGAGGGTACGCGTCTATTCGCAGACGTGCATCGTAGTCGTTCTGGCTGCTGCCGCCAGTGCTGGTGGGCTGGGTTACGGCGGGCACGGTGGCCACAGCGTGCAGCACAGAAAACAAGACGTAAGTGTTCGACCCGTCTGCACTGCGACACGGGTTGCTTCTTGCGTCCCCCGGTGCGGAGATCCTGGAGAAACTCATGTGCTTTATTTGGACGCGGTCAGGTAGGACGGTTTCCAACTTGGAGCGAACTCTTGCACGTAGACAGAAGCAAAAGTGCCAAACCCTCTTCAGTGTTAATCGGGTTGAGCAGCTGTCTTTTGTCCAGGCCTTCCTAATGCCGGACGTCCAAGATCACTTTCAGTCTGGCTGAAAATACTTCCCCAGTTTCTTTCTTTCCCTTCCTTATAACGCTCTCATTTGTTCCTCACCTGATGTAGATGACTAGGGGTAACACAGCGTGGTTGAGACATGGTAACGGCTTTGTGCAGTCGCACAATGCATCCGTATGCTGCTCACGCTCAGTTCCCACGTCTTCCCTTCAAGGGCGCCGCCATCTTGAATTGTCGTCACTTCCGGTATGGGTAAAAACATTGTTTTGCCATCGCCACGCCAGTAAAAGGCGCTTGGGATATAAGCGTAGCCGTCACACATTAGGGAGTTTTAGTAAACTGTGTTTTCCCCTCCGCTAACCCCCCGCTACGAAGAAACCGTCACTGCGCCTGCGCGCCGATGGCCTTCGCTGTAGAGTTCCGGGTAGCGGAGGGGCTTAGCGGTGAGGGAAACACGGCCTACTAAAACTCGCTATTATCGTTTTGCCTCCCCCTTATTTTTTTACTAGCTACAGGTTTAAACGTTTTAGTGTTTTTTCGTCGCCCATACCGGATATGCCTATTAGGTGGCTGGCGACGAGACTCCTCCCACAAAGTCCTCCACTCTTTCCACGTTAGCAGAGCGAACGGTGGTGGTGGGGGGTAGGGGGAGGCGAGTGGACTCACCTGCTCTCTCGCCATCCTTCCAGTGTTCGCACTGCTAAAGAGGAAAGAGAGTAGAGTATGTGAATGCAAAGCGCTGACCTGCTAGCAATATGCTAGCTGGCTTGTTGTTCTGTCTCCTTGAAGTTCTCCCATCATGCGCTGAGATTTTCGTCGAAATTACGTCGTCACAAACCACCTTTCAAAACGATCGCCATTGAACTAGCATACTATCGCCGTCGCAGGACCATGGCAACTTTAACTTCGGCTACAACATCGTAAACGGCTACGGTGCCACCAACGGACGCCACGAGTCCGGCTCGGCGTACGGCGGAGTGCGGGGCGCCTACTACCTGGCCGACGTGGACGGACGCAGCCGGCGCGTCGAGTACGTGGCAGACAAGCTTGGCTTCCGAGCCGTCATCAAGACCAACGAGCCCGGCACCAAGAGCAGCCTGCCCGCGGCAGCGCCGTACATCTCGGCCCACGGCAAGGCTGTCGGAGCCTTCGGACACGGTGGTGGCTACGGCCACGGCGGCTATGGCGGACACGGCTTCTACGGCTAACCGCTCGGTCTACCAGGATTGCTTTTTGTGAAAATATGGTAGGCACCGGTCGTTGCTCAGCAGGAGGGGACGCGCGAAGCACTAATAGTAATGGGCGAGCCTCTTACCGCAACCAGGGGCAAATGCAGGCGTTTCCTTGGGGGGGGGGGGGGGGGGGGGGGGGGGGGTCAATGTATCAGGTGTTTGAGAACCTTTCCCCCCTTTTCCCCGCCCTAAAATTTTACGTGCGGAATAGGCCGATCTCACCAAGCGCTCGGCGCATGCGTGGCGCCGCCATCATTTTAGTTCACTGAAAGCAAACGGCAATGTACGAGAGGGCTCGTGCTGTCTCGTGCTCCACACGCGCAGAGCTCCAGCGAAGTTGTCGCACGCGCAGAAGGACTAAAGTTCCCTCGATGCATTGCGGCAGCGGTGGCGTAGTCAAACTGGCTGGTGAGATTGGTCTATTCAAAGGGAAGTCAGGACATCTGACCCCCCCCCCAAAACCTGTTGCAATTCCCGTGAGCTAATCAGCGGGAAGGAGCGAAGCACGTGACAGCTCTCCACGGGATGCGAGCATGCCGCCGACGGTATTCGCTAGCACGTGTTTCGCTGCCACGTTATGAGTGGCTCGCCAGGATTCGTAGCTTTGACCGTTTGCCAACTTATACTCAAATCAAGAAAAGCTGTTTATCTCGATTTGCAATGTTAGTATTTATTTTCTCAAAGGATACACTGCGTCAAAATATTGCTATGACCCTAATGAGGGCCGACAGTACTTGGAATTAAATAAACAGCCGGAGAGGTTCCTGCAGATGGCGCTGCCACTGCATAGCTGCACTCTAAAAAATGTTTGTGCGTCTACTTTCCCGCACAACACTCGGAGAGCCAATCGCCGCAACTTACGGAGGCAGCTCAGCGAATGACGATGCGGAAACATACGTTTAGACCAAAAAACGCAGTCTGAGTTGTGACATTAAGCAATGCAAAACGTCACGCTCGCATTGCTTATTGTCACAACTCAGACTGCGTTTTCTGGTCTAAGCTTATGTTTCGGCATCGTCATTCGCTGAGCTGCCTCCGTAAGTTGCGCTGATTGGCTGTCCGAGCGTTGTGCGGGAAAGCAGACGCACGGGCTTTTTTTAGAGTGTGGTTGACTTCATAATGTTTGGTTTAAAAAGTACGTACTCATGAGATTGCGAGGGTTAGAAGAGCCGGTCACAAATATTATCGATGAGCTACGTTCACTGTCCGGGTTTTAACTGGAACGCCGCGTGCCCGCAGTCGGGTAGCAATAGTTTTTCCTCAATAGAAAATTATTAACGTGACTCGTACACGAAACCGGGAAAGTGTTTTGTATTCCTCCAAAAAGCATAATAATAATAATATAATAATAATAATAATTTTTATTTGCACGCCCTTCCAACATGTTCTCAGAGCGCAGGTGACTGGCAAGGGGGCTTCAGGACAGCTCTGCTTCCTCGTCTTACTCGTCCTCTGCATTGCCTACCCAGGCTGCTCTCCGTCGCCCAAGTGTGCCATCTGTCTTCGTGCTGTGTCGTCAGCTATGCGTAATCTTTGAGCATTAAAACTCGTTGCCGAAACGTCTCGTGATCCTTCTCAACTACCTCTTACATTGATCATACGGATTCGTGCAAACTGCACGGAAGTCGAAACTTGACTTCCTTGTCTTGCGTTTGTTTAGTCCGTTCGATGTACGTTAATTTCGTTTTCGTGAACTACGCTGCGTCATTTTTGGCCTATTTCAGAAATGACATAGATTGACGCCCTACAAATGGCAGTCGATCTGTCGAAGCTTTCTCGTAAAATAGCAAGGTGCAGAACCATCCCTTCCCAAAAAGGTTGGCTTATAGTTATCGAGCAATAAAACTTACCAATTTGTGGGACGGACAGGCTGGAGACCGGGTTTCGGCTTTAAGAATGACGATATTTAATGAGACATGATTAGTTGATGGAAGCATTGGTCAGTTCCATTCTGCCTTCGCCGCGCTGGTCCCGCTTATATGCCAGTGGTGACGTGACGATATTGCGTCACAGGCGGGATCCTCGTGCGTCTGGAGGTGGCTGTCGGCATCGATGAAAATGAAGTCTTACAGCACCTGTCATTGGCCCGAAGGTTTATGGCTTCGCGGCAGCAGCTTTTCTCGATGTTAGAAGAAGACGAAGACCCGCTGACGTTAATTATTTCGACACAAGTTTAAAAAAAAAAATATCCTGGTTTTGGGTTTTCGAGAGTTACTTCAAATATTACAATATTAAGATAAATACAGTTAAAAAAAATTACAAGCTGAAACAGCTATTATCACGAGAAACCTTGCACGCACCTTGCGAGCGTACCCCATGTTCATCGGTGATACAGCGTTCGTTGCGCGCTCCATGCATTCACAAGATGTTCCCAGCACAGTCGAGAGGATGGCGTTGGGGAAAAGTCTTTCCTGTTTACGGACGCAACCCACTGCAGCCGGAGATGGAGGTCATGTGCTCGCCTTGCCGGATTCCGTACAAGCTACATAGGTCCTCGGACAGTATTCGACGCTTTCTGCCGTTATTCGTGCACCCAGTGGTGCTCCGATGACCGGGGAAGGGGTACCGCGGAGTGAGAATCGCGCTCTCTAGCTCTTGGATTACTGGCCTCATAAAAACTGGCTTGCCCACACCTTCCTGGCGTGAAAAAATAAAGTAAGGCTCTAATAGTGTTCATATATAGCAGCGGTCTCAGACACGCGGCCCGCGCCCGCTGGCAAGCGGCTACGTTTCCCGGTTCTCATGTCTCGGGTGCTAGAAATGGCATGCGTCATTGTGATCTCATCTCGTCGATAACTTTTCGCTCGAAAAGTAGCTTTGCTCTTTTAACGTTTCACATAAATTATACTTATCTATGTTCATTTGCCCTTTCCTTCGCTTTATATTTCGCTTCCCGGTTTTTTGTGATATACAACAATTCCGCTACTAGGCTGCAAGCACAAGCTATTCGTTAAAGGGACACTGACAGCCCCCAATTTTTATTTTATATTTTGCCAGGTGAATCATTATGGTGTGAGAAGACTACCCAATCAATTTGTTGCTACAGCGTCACGCATATTTTTAATAAAGTCAAAAGACGCAACAGCCCGAAACCAAAACCGAAACTGGACTGGGGAGGAAGAAATATAGAGGAGGAGAGAAATGGCGGAAGTCACGTGACTGGGATACTTTTCCTTCCCAAAAAAAACGTATTTGCAGCTTTTTAGAAGCCGCAAAAATGGGTATCGTGTTTATTTTCTATTTTTAATATTGTGCGAGTGCCTTCGATGACCTACGACTTTGATTAAATTTGGTGGTTGTCATGCACAACTAAAAACCTCGGCGAGCATAAATACCCTGTCAGTGTCCCTTTAATAACCACTACTTTGATGTAAATACCTGTAAAAAGCTCAGAGATATATATTCCTGGTCACAATATCCATTATATAGTTTTTGCAGACATTCATGTACAGTGCTGTCATGAAAGTTTGTTTTTGGCACTGTGCCATTCCTGCACTTCCCAGTTGAACTATCTGGTAAAGATTTAACTCCGATCACAATCCCACTTAGGGAAGACATTTTTTCCAGCTGCTGCAGTGACCAATTTAGTTCTGAGTAACCAGCAATAGATCAATATTTGGTTTACCGAGTGACAACATTAAGTTTGAGGAGCACCTTCTTTTTTCTCTTTTTCTTCTCATTTTTCCTCTATAGTTTAAACAGTGTCCCTTCGTTAATACAGACACAGCTTTGTTCCTCTTGAAATACTGATGCATCATTTGCACCTGTTTAACAGCTTATCGGAATGTTTTTCGATCAGCAGGGCCAACTGCCAGAGATAAAGCTACAAGCTCCGGAATTTCGCCTTTTGTTCGAGTGTTGTAGTAAAAGTCGTCAGAAAGCAACAACTGTCAGATTAACTGATTGTTTTTTTTTTTAGAGACATGTCGAGCTTGGTTAATTCCTGGGTGAATTGAACAACGGCAACAACAGTGTACTCGTTCTATTAAAATGCTCTACTTGTTCTATTAAAAATGTTGTACTTGTTGTATTAAAATACGAGCACGTTGGTGGAGCGGTGTCATCTTAATTTTTATCAAATCAGGTCAGGGCCCAAAGTAGTCTTAGTAAACAAAGTAGTAAACAAATCAAATCTAAAGATGTCACTGGCAAACTGTGAGTTTACAAAAAGCATAAAGCACGAAGTCTCTTCCCCCCTCCCCCCGTCTTTCGCTGACCCTCGATCCTTCCCCCCCCCCCCCTTCCCCCGCATTACGCTGGCCCTCGATCCTCTCCCCCCCCCCCCCCCCCCCCCCTCCTTCCGTCTTACGCTGACCCTCGAGCCTTCCGGTGTGGGATGTCCGGCCCCCACAATCAAATGAGTTTGAGACCACTGATATATAGCAAAACTATAATTACTTACGCGTCGCAAACCCAGCCTCGTACTGCTGTTTTATGACGATCATCCAGATGACAGCCATTTTGATACGCGCCAGTGCGCCCCCTATAGGTCGTGAAAGTTGCGAATTAAGTTTGGGAGTTTCAAACAGAGAAGGAAGCGCAAACGAAATTCGGGCAATGCATACACCCAATACCGGCGAAGCCTTTCATCCGAGACTTTCACTCTTTCCAACGCACCAGCAAGGGGGAAGCGCCGGTAGTTTTTTCCACTGTTCTCTCTCGCCCCCTTTCAGTAAAACGGTTTATACACCCCAAGCGGCGGCGGGGCCGTGCGTTCTATATTTTGTCGAATCATGAAAAGCACATAGGGCAACTGCGGCGAAAAGTGTTAACCAACCCCTCCCGCCCCCTCCCCCCCCAAAAAAAAAAAAAAAAAAAAAATCCCCCTAGAAAAACGAATGCCACCCCCCCCCCCCCCCTCCCCCCTCCCCCCGGGAAACGCTTGGGACGTCTCTTTCAAGAGACGTCCCAAACGTTTCCCGGGAGAGGGGGGGGGTATGGGGAAATGAACTTTTCGCCTATGGGCCCTAGGGGTGGGCGACATGGGCTGCCGCCCAGGGCGCCAAATGGGAAGCGCCGTCGCGCCCCCTTTCTGAATTTTTTTTTTTATTTAGGTTTTTGATTTATTTGAACACAGCGTCCGACACGATCGCCGTTCGTTTTTGGAATGCGGTTCTCGTCTGACAAAACGCTCGTGTTGGGCCACTACTGACATGTTTACTACCAACGTGATGTCGCGCGCGCGCGCACACACACACACACACCCTACCCACACTCACACACACACAACGCACGCACGCACACAGACAGACAGACACACCCACACCCACACACACTGCGTTGGGCGGTTACATTTGGATTCAGGCAACGAGGTCTAATCGTATTTTTTATTTTGCTTCAAATTTTTATTTCTCGTGGCGCATGTTCCAAGAAGAACAATCCTTTTTATTTTAATCTCCTGACATGTTTGGTTTCTGAGAAGAAAAAAAAAAAAAAATCTCAAAGAAGCAGGAAAGAACGACGAGGTTTCGACGATTGAAGTATTCAAAACAGAGCTTCTATATTTGTTTTTTATTGTGATACATATACATGTATATGCAAGTATAGGTAAAACGACATTGCGACTACTGTTTATTATTCGTCGCTCCAATAATTGTAAAACTCCCCAAACAAGCCTCCGCGAACAGCTGTGACCTAAACTGCGGATTTTTTTTTTTAGTAGACTGCGTTTAGTATCGCTTTTAAAATAATACCGCGTGTAGAACCTTTCATTGCCTTCCACATTACGCAAAGTTTGTGTCTTAGTCATGTACGAATATTGAAAAATAAATTGTGAAACAGCGGTTTTTATTTTTTTCTGCAATTTCAGCACATTGCATAAAAAAACATTTTCAATTTTTAAAAACCAAGCAGCAGTTGTTTGCGGAGTAAAATAAAAACGTAAAAAAATGAGTGACAAAAACAACTAAAAATGTTTATGTTGTGTTATCAACATGAATTTCGCATTTAAAAATTTAGGCTTCCAATAGGAAGTGTATTTTACTCTAATGTTTTACAATATTAAACTTTGAAATTTCTAACATAGTACAGATTATGTAGCGCATAGGGTTTAGGCTTGAGGCCTCTTCAATCATGGCACCGGCGGAAATTTTCTCAAGACCCGCTTTCGGCAGTTGCGATTTTATAGTGTTTAGACATTTGGAATTGCAAACTTGTTATTATACGCCTAACGACATTAATGTCTTCTATATGATTACATTTTAAACGTCCCTTGGATTCTTATAATAAAGAATAAAATATACAGCTATAACCCATAAACTCACCATCGGCATTTGCTCTTTTTTTAGCATATTTTTAGAGACTTGAAACTCAAGTAGGCTGGCTAAACAAAACGTGTTAAAAAAAACGCGACGCAATTTTTTTTTTTTTTTTTATACAGCGTGCTGAAATTGAACCAAAAGCGAAAACCTTCTCTATTTCATAATTTATTTCTTAGTATTTGTACATGATAAAGACACAAACTTTGCTTAATTTGGAAGGCAATGAAAGGTTCTACACGTGGTATTATTTTAAAAACAATACTAAACAGCAATTTAGGTCACAGTTGTTCGCGGAGGCAGGCGCATGTAGCCAGGATTTTGATTTTTTTTTTTTTTGGGGGGGGGGGGGGAGAGGAGGCCCCAGCAAAATGGAAGATTTCGGGGGGGGGGGGGGGCCCATAGCGCCCCCCCCCCCCCCCTGGCTACTTGCCTGCGCGGAGACATGTGTGGGGATTTTTACAAAAATTGGAACGACGAAAAATAAATAGTAGTTATAATGTCGTTTTACCTACTTGCATATATTTCTCAATAAAAAATATAGAAGCTCTCTTTTGAATACTTTAAGATTGAGAGTGATTCAATACGCCACAGACGACAATCGTCAATATGACCCATAAAAACCCATCACCGGCATTTGCTCTTTTTTAGCATATTTAGAGGCTTAAAACTCGAAACTGGTGCATATACCTCTAACGAAATGTATGCTGGCAAAAACAAAAAACAAAAAAAAAAACGCAACGCAATAATTTTTTTTTTTTTTACAGCGTGCTGAAATTGAACAAAAAGTGAAAACCTTTTCTATTTCATAATTTATTTCTCAGTACTCATACATGATTAACCGCCGAATTCAGAAACCTCACTCAAACTACACTAAAACTTAAGGGCCCCTCCACTTCCTCGAGGAAGTGGATGGGCCCTTCGGTTTGAGTGTAGTTTGAGTGAGGTTTCTGGAATTCGGCGGTAAGACACAAACTTTGCACAATGAGGAAGGCAATGAAAGGCTCTACACGTGGCTCCAATTTCCGTAAAAATCCCCAAACATGCCTCCGCGAACAACTGCAATACTAAACATCTGCAATACTAAACATAATCGACCCTTCCCCCCCCCCCCCCCCCCCCCTCCAAAAAAAAAAAAAAAAAAAGAAGAAAATTACAGTTTACGTCACAGTTGTTCGCGGAGGCATGTTAGGGGATTTTTACAAAGATTGAAGTCACGAATAATAAATAGTAGCTATAATGTCCTTTTACTTACTTGCATACATATCACAATAATAAAAAAAAAATATAGAAGCTCTCCTTTGAATACTTTGAGATTGAGAGTGATTAAAAAACGCCACACACGACAATCGACGAAACCTCGTCGTTCTTTCCTGCTTCTTTGAATTTTTTTTTTCTCGGAAACTATACTCCGTTTCACCTTATGTTGTACCGCAGCGAAGGCTAGAAGCGCGAGCTCATAGCTTTGACAGGAGATCTTGTGCCGTCGACATCTGCCCAAGAGCAAGAAGCTCGCGCTTGTAGCCTTTTCAGCGGTACATCATAAGGTGAAAGACGGTCAAGACATTAAAATAAAAAAAAAATTGTTCTTCTTGGAACATGCGCTATGAAATATACAAATTTGAATAAAAAATAATACGACTGCACCTCGTTGCCTGACTCCAAATGAATGACCCTACCTCGTTGGGGGTGCCACTTCCAAACTTCCGGTTTATCACTCTAACCCCCCATTCACACTGGAAGCGGATCCGCGTTCGCGAAGCGGTTGCGAAAGCGGTTGTATAAAGATCCAGTGCAATTGCACGCGCATTTGATGTCATCGTGTGCGCGTGCAATTGTACTGAATCCTTATACAACCGCGTTCGCAACCGCTTTGCGAACGCGGATCCGCTTCCAGTGTGAATGAGCCCTAAGCCCCTCTATCTCGTTGAAAAGACCCCACCCCGTCTAAGCGTCGAAGCTACGGGCCGCCAGGTCCAATAATGAGTCAGATAGAAACCACGTGTTATATTGCTCCAAGTGCCGAAAATATTGAGTTTGATAATCGAAAATTCGCGGTTCAGGCGGTTCAGGTACAGTAGTTCAGGCGTATTCCAGCCTCCAGGTGTTTTTTACTCTACCATATTTATACGATTCTATGACGGGAACATCGGCGACGTACCACTGTGCAGTAACGCAGCGGGGTTATCGATGGAAGTGACGAGTTTGCGGCGAAGGTAGCTTGGCAATGCACTCAGCTTTGGAGATCCCAAAACCACCTGTGTTTGACGGGCTACATGCTACCGCTCGCATCGATCGGTATTACAAATGGAGACTTGGGCAAAGTTACTTTGCCTGGGGTAGGTCTATATAGCATCTAAATCAAACGGCCTCGGTGTTTCTTAAACGCACAATGCGTCACATGATCGTCGTTGTCGCTCCTGCCCAAACTCGACGTCGGACATTCGTTGTGCCGGAAGAAACTGTGCAGGATTTGCCGGAGTGCTTGGTGGTGAAACGAATCGAGCAAACTCGGTGTGGCGGGAGGCCTCTCTCGCTTGGTGCGTACAGGTGAAAATACTGACGGTGCGTTGAGAACATTGAGAATAACATGGTGTGCTTGGCTCCTTAAAGGCATTCTTCTTAAAAAATTTTTTTTTGAAAGCGATATGGCGAAGGCATCTCACGATCACATGCGCTCGCCATCGCGGAACCGAAACACGAAAATAGTCGACACAGAAAGAGATTGGATTGGATTGTAATGGCTCGACATAAAAAAAAAAAAACACCAATGTCGTCAGCGCGCGCTCTAATATAGGTGTGACTTTTTTTAACAAAAATACTTTTTTTTAAAAATATCAATATAAGACAGCATAAAATAAAAATTGAAAACAAAACAATACCAGTGGGATTAGTACTTTTCGCATGATTGAAACCGCTGAGACATCTATCGCCTGCATTCAGAACCACACAAGTTCCAACTTCCAGGCGACAGACCGTGTTTTATACCACAGAAAATAGGTAGCGCAAGCGAGCATACAATATTTTATTATTACAAAAAATAATTTTTTGATTTTCACCTCCATCCACTCTGCTTCCGGTCGGTCCTATCCATCAATTTCCGTTGTCATGCGATGGACGTGTGAGTAGCGAAGACGTTCGGGTGCGTATTCTTTCGAAGATTATGTAGTTAATGTGTACGTAAACATGATTTCGACTGATTACTGTTGATCAGTAGCCACTATCCTGCTCTATAAGACATGGCGAGAGCTCATATGCGTAGTACGATCAGCACGTGTGTCGCAGTAGCGGTGGTGGCCGGCGGCGTTCTACCAAAAAGGCGGTTATACGAGAATACAGCATTTCGTTCCAAATCGAACATGAAATTGAAGTGCTTTAGCGATTCACTAACCCCCTAAGTTTTGAATAGCTTGGAAAATATATTGGGACAGCGATAAAAAGTAATCTTGAGGCTGGTGGAAAATGTGGTTGCCGCTTGCCGCCTTGCGCGCCATTCATTTTGGTGCAGTTAGGCATAAAGGCGACGGTGTGTCGTTTTGTGGCGTCCAGTTGAGTTTCAGAGCTTGAGCCCTGCGTTGAACGTGCAGCGACCCGAGAAAATGTCGTCGAAGAATTCTTTGGCCCCGCCGCTCAAGGCGATGCCCATGAAGGATCTGAAAGCGTTAGCCACCAAGAAACTGGGGGTCTTTGCAACCAAGCACCTACCCAAAGATACGAGCTACGTCGTGGGACTTAGGTAATTTTCTGCATCGTTCTTTTTATGTTCGCGTTTTGTAGCAGTCTTGTTGTCGTGTGGTGCGCGCTCATCCCTTGCTACAAAACTAGAGAGAGCAAGAGAACAGCTCTAATTTTTCGAGTATCCCATTCGATCGCGCTGTGCTATCACAAAATAGTAGTGGAACGCGATTTCGAGATTGCAGTGGGACGCCGAATGTTTCGATGCAGGCGATGTGCAGTTTCTCTTCAAATCGTTTCAGTCCACGATTTTCGGAATTCATGGTCCGAGAGCTTTTGTCCACAAACTCGCGAGCGACCACGCTAAGCTTTAAGCGAGAGGCTCGTGCCTGCGTTCGCGATCTTGTTCCCAAAACCTCGCGAACCGGCGAGTTCTGAAAATGGTGGATTCGTACCGAACGCGATCTCGGGCCTTGCCTTTTTCTTCGTGTTTTGTGCACGGAATTCCAATATCCGGCGCACTTGATACGTTGGCGTGGATTGTGACAGCAGCATTGTAGGCTAGGGTTTCCGGTTCTGATGATCGCAGGTTGGTTGTTTCGAAGAGATCACGCAGCGCTTGCTTGCGGTCAGTAAGGCACCAAGAAAACCATTCGTTTTGGGTATCTGGAATTGTACGATCATGTTTATGGCACTCCTTATTAAGCATAGCTCGTGGCGTTTATAAACTGCTGCTGCCTTTCTAAATGATCTGTTGCAAAAAGCCGGTTCCCTGCGTTAGTTATTACGTAATGATATGTGTCGCTCCTCAATATTTGTTTTCTGGCACACCCTTGTTAGGTATCAAGCTAGCTTGGAAACTGCTTTACCATTTTTTTTTTTAAACTTTGGTGTAAATGTAAAGCTTGTAAAAACTGACATTTTTTTTTTTTTTTTTCATTATTTATGCAGGTAGGAGTTAAGGGAGAGAGGAGATTCATTTTAGCTCTTGCTGGAATGAATAGTGGGTAGACCTAAAGCTAGCTGCCTTTTTCTTGACTGCACTCGTCGAATGCATTGGAATGCAGAACTCCAGCATCTGGCGTTTAGCTTTCAAATTTGAATATGTTCAACGAGTGCAGTGAAGACAAAGGCGGCTAGCTTTAGTTCTTCCCACTTATCATTCCAACCAGAGCTCGGTGTTCTGACGTCCCCACACACACTCGTCTCCTCCTCGTCCTCAGTCTCTGTCCGTATAGGCTGTGCTACTTCTCTTTGTGTGATTTTATCTGCTTATTTGTTACTGTGGACAGGCTGAAGTTCTGCTTGTCTTGGGTGACAGTAGTGTCTGTTAACACTGGATTCGCTTGGATCCTCTGTAATTCAAATTCAGTTTATTTTCTCTGTATATATGTGTACAGTGCACACAACTGTTAAATTGGATGCGCAAATGGTGGCTGAAACTGGTCAAAGCCGTTGGCGCAAAAACTGGGAGTGGAGCATCCACAAGAAACAGTGGCATGGGATTGCCATGTCACACCAGCAAGTTATTTCTTTGGCGGCTGCTGGCGTGTTATATTTAACAGTTGCACTTTTGTGCAGGCAAAAAGCTAACACTTTGATTTGATCAGGACCACCCCTGTTTTTTTGGCAGAGGCGCAAACAGACAATCATAAAAGATTAAGAAAAAAAACACATCCATGCAACAAAAGAAGGAATCGCGCTGTGGAAATTGTTTGTAAATACACTCACTGTGATTCAGATGCACTCAGTCTGGATCAGTTGGTTTGCAAAACATTTTGGGTGCAATGTGTTTTTTTTTTTTATTGTATTGTTTAGATGGGAGGTTTTGTCATCTGTGTTACATGCTTGTGGTGTGCAAGGCATGCGCATAGTTCTGTCTCATGTTCTGAATTTTTCTTTTGGTGTTCGTCTGTGGTACCTATTATTAGAAGCCGACAAAAGAAGGCTGAAATTAATGCAAATCACTTGATATGTAGTCCTTACAATGATTCAAGGAGAAACGGCACTAATGCAACATATATACGAGGGATGCACCATATTGGGGACTCCAGCGACCTATAGGGGCACCCACCACCAAACAAACATGGCGGCTGAGAACAGGTCGCGTCGGCTCGGCCGGGCCGGACCGGGCCGCCTGAACGGGTGGCGCGTTCAATTTAACAGATTTTCTTTTGTTTAATGCCCTACTTTATAGGTATTTGAACTGCGACGGTTAAGTGTAGCCGGTGCACATAAACTTGCAGAGCATAGTTTTGTTTTCCCAGCGCTTTATGTTCTTTTCATGTCAAACTTTTGTTTCAGAGATTTCGTTCAAAATCGAAACTATGGGCTCCGGAGAGACGGTAATAGACTCCAACCAGTTTCGATCAGCTAAGGAAAGCGGCGATGACTACAAGATTGTTCCACCGAGAGTAATTTACAGCTAACTCACATGTCTCGACCATGCGACTTATCTGTCCGCGAAATCGAGCTTTTGTATGTATCCGCATTTAAGAAACAGTTCCAGTCGTCTATCCGGTCAACAAGACAGGCTGGAGGAAAATTACGAAAATTAAGCAAGCACTTCTTGAGCCAAGGGGCATGTTAACCCACTGGCGCCCCACTAAGCACCTGATAGTCGTATTTCATTTCAGGTTTTAGTAGCAATCGAGAAGTCATTTTGTTGAATATGCGGGTTATGTATTATATTTCTTACTATGTCCCACTAAAGCGATATTAGTATATTCTTCGGGTTGAGATATTAGTTTAGTTGGCTAGGTATTATAGGTGAGTTGCTGACTAAAAGTATATTTGACGGACAGAGAGATACTACTTAAACTCAGCCAAATGGATTTAGCCGGCAGCACGGAGACAAATGCGTACAAGCTGAAGAGAGTCTTCATCAGAGATTCACGCGGAACCTTTCTGGGCATTGAACTTGACTTCGAATCTTGAACGGAGAAATCGAGTATTTTTTTGTGGCCGGACAACCTGAGCAATGTAGACGTATATTGATGGTGGCTTCGACGGGGGTATAATTATTGGAGGCGTGATAGATCATAATGTTGTGACAGCATCTAACTTGGCAAGATGCGTCCCCCACCTTATGAAAGCAGACAATTTCCCTCATTAATCGTATGCAGCGAGCAGGTTTTCCGGAATCAAGTAATTGCAAAATCAGCCCAACTCCTTCGGTGTGGTCCAGAGGCTTTTTCGGTGAAAAGCAGCCAAGATGAATAGCCAACGCACCGACCGGCGTGGGTGGCTCAATCTTCAAGCTAGTTGAACGCAACTAAACTCAAGAAAAGCAGCTGTCGAGTCTTCCAATTCACTTGACTGCAACATTGGTGTTCCCTCCAGTGAAACACCTCGTTTGTCGTCCTCAGTCCACTGTTCTACATCCTTATAAAGAAACCACTTATCAGTTACCAAGTAGTCGTCACTTTGAATGTGATTCGAGACCGACAAGCAATCAAAAGCTTTTTTTCGTGATTCCTCCCCATCGAAGAAACCGAAAGCACGCTACCGTGTGTTGTGGAGTAAACAGGCTTTGAAACACATGATGGAAGGAAACAATCTTCTGAGGCTTCACCACACTAATAAACACTCAGGCAAACTTGAGAAATATTCGGACCTTCATCAAATTACATTGTTCGCCACCGCGCCAACAACACATGTCGGCGAAAGCCGCAAGAGACGTGAAGAGGCGCAAAGCGACCTGTTTCGGCTGGTACCCGGTTTTCCCGCTTGGTGGCGCCCGTTTTGCTGGAGTCGCAAATTGATTTACACTTCCTTTTTTTTTGTTTTTTTTGCTGCAGATTCCAGCCACTTGAAGGTCGGTAGATGTGCCCACCTTCTAGACATATTCCTCCCGCAGCACTGTTGTTTGTCTACCTTCTCATCCTTGACCGTGTCTTTGCTCTGCTTTTTAATTTATAACCATGAAATACCATGACTTGTTACAGAAAGAAAAACAGAAAGGACGGACAAGGACGGACATCTTTCGTCCTTGTCCGTCATGTCCGTCCTTGTCCGTCCTTTCTGTTTTTCTTTCTGTAACAAGTCATCAAAACCAACGCGCTCACGTTTAACTACATGAAATACCAACTAGCCGAAATGTCAACGTTAGCCTCCTTCTAGAGCTGTATGAACTTGCACCACCGGTGATAGCCTTTTCATGCCCTGCCAGAGCCGCTTTTAGGAAGTGCATCACACCCATGCCTGGACAGCAGCTTCCAGCTCATCACTGACCACGCTGGGGTTGTTTTCATGATTCCAAACAGACAATAATCACTGGGGGCCAGGACTGGTCGTATGATGCTCTGAAAAGATGTCTGAACCTTACCAGGCGCCGGTCAATCATGGTGTTGCATGCATCTACATGAAAGGATGACTGATGCTTGTGAGGATGACTGGCTGGCGCCTAGTCGGGTTCAGCCGTCTTTCTGACGCGTCGTACGACCCATTGGTGTTTGGACATGGTGTGTATGGTGGCGTGACCTAGCCCCCAGTGATTATTACTTGCTTGGGGCCATGGAAAACCACTGCAAGAATGTCGTTTTGTGATCATTGATGAGCTAAAAGCAGCTGTTGGGCTGCTTTTAGCTTTTAGTGTTTGGCAAAGCACTTCCAAAACATGATTTTGGCAAGGCTTGAAAAGGCTGCCGCACCAGTGATGCAAGTGCATTCGGCTCCCGGCAGAGTTTTGTGAAGGTGGACATAACTACCGACCCTGAAGTGTCCAGTATCTGCAGCAAACAAATGAAGTGTAAATCAATATGGTAGGCCCTTCATATATATGTTGGTATCTGTTTGGAGAGACAAACGAGTTTTTGTTGAAAGATGGTGTCAGCTGATCTGGTTAAGTAGGTGTGTTGTGTTAGTTGGTTATACTGTTACTAATAATTCGTTTCCAGTTTCTTTGCTAGGAGTTGTGTGCCTATTGACAGGTGGAGGGTCACTGCATTGGTGCGAGGCACTTCATTCGTATTCGGTCTAAGTATTCCTGTGTGTGGAATCTGCAAACTTAGATGAGGGTGCCACTTGTTAGAGGAGCCCTTTCTATGTTTGAAAAGGACAAGCTTCTCAAGGCTCATCCTAGGGAATTCCAGAAACTGATCACCTAAACCGGTCTTGCTCACATTTGGTTTCTAATTATGCAGCCAGTCCATTACGAACAGCAAGATCGCCGCAGCCTCCTCTGACAACAGCATCTACCTTTATGATGAATACCTGATGCAGAAGGGGATCCTTCAGGGTACGTTACTGGCTAATCATTGTCTGATGTGCACATTGTGTGAGCATGTTGCACACTTGTACATAAATTACAGGGATGTGAGCTGTACCTGCCTCAGAGTTGATTCTTCTCACTATACAAAGTTATACCAGAGCTTGTTATGTGCTTGGCTTGTGAGGTAGTCATTAAAAAAAAAAAAAAAAAAGGACTGATGTAAAGCATCTTCTAACAATTTTCCTTGTTTCCTTGATTAACCTTCTTGTTCAAAGCAATCAGTCATCATGGTAAAAGTTTTGAGACTTTATGAAGTATTTTGTCTTGCAGCTTGAAGTAATGTTTTCTCTGTTGCACAAATCTGTATTGCTTGTGTTTTATATCTGATACTTGCAAATCGGCTGACGCACTAGACTTGCATGGCCTGTGTGTTTAGCTGGAATGCAGACAGTTCCTTTTTGTGTTGTATATAAGAATAAATCTTTGTTGGTTTTGCAGCAATTCATAATTTTTTTTTAAAAACATAGGTATATTTTGATTTGCAATTTAAACATGCTAATGATCTCTTGTCAGTTACATTTCTTTCTTTCTTTTCTAAAAGATCATATGAAGGTCCGCATTTTCCCCAAAACTTGGAGGATATCAAAAGTCTGAATTTCATTGTCGCTCAAGGTTCAAGATATGCTAGGTGAAAGGAGACACAAGAAATATACCAAATTTATATTTCAAGTTATTTTAAACTCTTTACGCCTCATGTCCTAGTAGTTCTCGTGATTTTGCTATTATCAGTGAACAGTGAGCTGAAGTGGAAAACGGTGGATGATTGAGTGTGTCGGAGGGCCAGTGCATTGTGTTCCTACAGTGATTTTAGTCTGGACATTGCAAAGTGTAATGAAAGTTTAAAGTGAAGTCTTTCTTTTTATGTGGTTAAGCTGGTGGCATTCTGAATTATCACTCCTGTGTATAATTGAAGCTAGATATTTTAATTTCTACTAGGTCAGCCTTGTGTAGTGTGAACGTGCAAGCTGCGGCCACTTTTATAGAAGTGTCATTTAGCTAAGTGATCTTCAAAGTTTTTAATGCATGTGAGGATGACAAACGTGCCAGTCCACAATTGCTGCTTCTGTCATTTTGTGCTCGGGTCTAACTTTACTAATACTACACAGAGCAGCTGCAGTGTATGCGTTGCCAAAAGCTTGAGAAGTCTTTAGACTTCGGCAACACCTTGCTCAGTGTTGCTTCTAAACCAGGAATTTTTACACATCAAGTACTACACTTCATCTTGAAAGTTGCGTGTGAGATGTTGGGAGGCATGGAGCTTAAACTTTGGTCTAGCATGTTGTGCAGTATTTGGTGCCCTCCTTTGACGAAGGTAATGGGCGTTCTATTGTACGGCCACCTGCTACAATGATGCACATGCATAATCAATCAATATTAAACTGAAAAAAAAACAACAGACAAGTGACTAAATAAATGTATACCCTTCGGTAGAAGCATCCGCATTGTTCTTGCAGGTAGCTCTTGACTTGAAGAGCCCGTTTCTCAAACCCAGCCAAGAGCCAGGGCAGTCGTTTTTACTGCACGCCAAATCTCTCGCAAACACTCTTTGGGTAGGTCCACACTATGGACTTGTACAGCACATTCTCATTTGGTCTGTGCGGCAGTGTGCGACGCTTTTCCCTGGCATGGTGTGGGGTTTGTGAGACGGTGCCCTGCGCCATCTGCCCAGCTGGTGGTTCGCCCACCTGAAGGTGACCCTTGGGAACTTTGGTGCAGGACAGAGGCGGTCGATTGCCCCCCTCCCGCTGATGCCGGAGCGGAGTTTGGTTGCGCCTGCTCCCTGCGTAGAGGGAGGAGAGCGGGGTGCAAGGGGCGCTGGGTGGGGGGGGCTCGGGAGGGGGGTTGCAGGGGACTGGCCCTTGACTCTGCTTGGGACCCTCCACAGACAAGATGAAGGAGGTGACGGGAGTGCGGTTTAGCATCTCGAACCCGAACCTGGTGTACAACTCGTGCAGGGATGGCAGCGTGCGTGTTTGGGACCTTCGCAACATTCGACACCCTGTCTCCAAGTTTGTTGGTGAGGTTTTCTTTCCTCCCTACCCTGACACAGGCCTCGGACACCGAGAGAGCCTGTGCCAGGGGGTGCTGTTGGTTGCTAGGGCGGTTCTGTTGTGTAACAAAAACTAAAATGACTAGAAAAAAAAGTACATTCAGTTTTTATTATAATGTGATTACCTCAGTTTCTGCCGATAGTGATCGTGAGACTTTGTAATGCACTCTCTTAGAGTTGCCAGCTTTTCTTCAGTATTGCCCTTTGTTATGCTAGGTTAGGGTTTAACGGGTAGTGTTTGGGCTTGCCTTGTTGGTTAAATTTGTGTTCTCCTTTGTGATCAAGTTTTTTTTTGTGTTGAGTGCGGTACTTTGAAGAAGAGGTTTGGATTAATTTCATTTTCCGAAACCCACGACAACTCAGTCTGTGAAGGCATTTTCATATTTTTTGTCTGAGCCCATGATGAGGTTCAAGTGTTGCAACCAGAGTTTCGTGATTGCATGAAGTGGTGCAGTGCTCTGAAACTTAACGCTCACATTTGACTGATTGGTTAGCTCAAGCTATACAAAGCTTCTCAGCTTTGTATAACCGCATGTGGCCATCACAGTGCTGCCCTAAACACCACCGTTCGTTATAGGCTACTACTATATTGATTGCCCAGTGCTCATAAAAAGACAAGAAAAATATTTTGAGTTGAATAGAGGCACTGTCCATATCACAGAAGAAAAAAAAAACCTTTCCTATAGCTACAGGTTTATAAAAAAATATACTTTCTAGACAGAAATCGGAAAAGTAATGTAGAATTGGAAGAATAAATAAAATTAAAATCAACAACACTGAAATTCACATGTCTTGGGCTATAGTGTGCTTCAGGTCAGCTTCAGTCTGTGCTACCTAGTTGCATTTCCTCGTGATCTTCGAAGGATGAGCAGGTTGTTGACCGACTTTTGTCTCCCAGCCAACACTGACGGCAAAGTGAAGCCCCTCTCGTGCTTCGACTTCAACTGCAATGAACAGTTCCTTTGTGCTGGCACTGACCTCTATGACGACAATGCCTACCTGCTCTTCTGGTGAGTGCTTCATGGGTCTTGCTTTGCTTGCAAACTTTTCTGTCACTATGTCCACCCCAACCTGCGTTCCGTCGTTTTTTTTTATATGGCCAACTTGCACTCAAAGTAAACTTTATAGGAGCTTTATTTTTATGTCATTTAATAGTTAATAATGCCTGTTTTGAAGCCATGTTACAATCTGCAATGTTGTTCACTGAGAAGAGGTGCAAGATAATTCCGATGACTCCAATTACGATACCCGATACTTCGCCGATGCCTTTGTGCAGGCATCACACCGTTACCAAATACCGTTATCGGACGTATTGGAATGGTCTACTAAGACTCTCTAATGTCATCTTTTTAGCTAGGTAGCTTTTTTCTGGAGTTGTTGCATTTTATTTGTGTTATAGGTACCGAAAAGTCACATTTCAACAGTCCAGGAAATTTCGGGTTAGTTAAGAATGATGACAGTATATAAACCTGAGGTGTTTGTGTAAGTCTGTATGCTATGAGAAATAACTTGGCTGGCATTCTTTGCAGGGATTTTCGAAGTAACAAGATCCTGGGTGGTTACTGGGATTCTCACAATGATGACATCACGCAGGTAGGAAATGGTGATTGAGGTGGTGTCAAGGATAGCGAGTTTGTGAAAGATAAGCCTAGGAAAAGTGTGCCCAGATGTGCTCCTTTTAATCCTCTACTAAACTGCACATACCCAGGTGTACAGATTAGTAGAGGATGTGCACCTTCATTGTTTCAAGGTTGGTTGCTTTGTGGAATTGGTCATGGAGAATAGGAGCATGGAAGGTTGTGCTTCGTCTCACCTTAACATGGACTAACTGTAAGGCTACAGGCATAAGCCTATGGCTTTGACTAGCATCCTTCTGCATGAGCGCTCATGCAGCCGATGCGCCATCATACACAAGGAACTCGCTCTTGTAGCTTTTGTTGATTCTCCATGTTAAGGTGAGTACATATAGGTGTGCATGCTCCTAAACATTTTTCTGCAGTGCTAGAATTTTTTTTTAATCACAAAAACTTTTTAGGAAGGCAGGCTTTTCTAAATTATGTTAATGCTGCTGATAAGTTAAAAGCACCAGTCTGCCTCTGCTAGCTGTCTCCCCTCTCATCTTAACATACCACTCATATTGTTTGCATATGAGCTCTGTATGGCAGCTTGAGTTCACATTCAGTTGTGTTCCTATACTGGATGTTGAACAGCCTGTTTTTTTTTTTGTAACCTCCCAATCAGTAAATACGTTTGAGTTCATATCCTGCCCAATTTCAACGTGATAACTAAATTCAGGTGACAAGAAACTGTAGGAGGCAGCCCCTAACTTCTTTTCTTTTTAAAAGTGCTACAGCTTCTCTTTAACAAGCTTTTTTGCATTTGCATATGAAAGATGCATTTTTGGAAACTGGGCATTCATCCTCATGTTTCACTGAGACGAAGTCACGCTTTATTACTTTTCCCGTTGTAGCCAACCAGTAAAATATGTATAAAAAAAACATTCGGGATATTTGCCAGCGAGTCTTTCTTCTTTTAAGATGTTTGAACTGGTTATCATAGAATACCGAGCATCCGCCGATTCCACATTAAGCGCCCATTACCAAATTTGTAAGGTCTGAGAAAATACTCGCAGTACATTTATATGTAAAATTGATGACAGGACAGGCGCCCATCCCCCATTTTGTTTTTGCGATTATCTCCAAAGTTTGATTGGGCTCTTCCCCGATATTTTACGGTAGTGAAATTCTAACAGAACTTTTTCTTTCAACATTTTTGTATCGCAGTTTGACTGGCAACCGGAGTTATTTCAAATTACTTTGCACGGATCCGTCACTTCTTCTGCAACGTCTCGAAACCGTAATCCAACTTTAAGGGGAGCCGAACAGGATGTGTGTTGCACTTTTGTCGCCGAGAAATTTTGTTGTGGTGATCGCGATGGGGCAGCATGTGCCAACGGGACAGGAAGTGACCGGGGTGGGGCGGGTGCCCGAGTGTTGGGCCCGTACAGAAGGCGGCCCGTGTGCAGGTTACAAACCCCCTTTTCCTGGGCATCAGATCAAGTTCCACCCGTCGAAGCCGAACCTGATGGCCTCTGCTGGCCTGGATGGCTTGGTCAACCTGTTCGACATAAGCCAGACAGATGAGGACGACGCTCTTCAGGCCACGCTCAACTGCGAGTGTGCAATTGTGAGTGGACCTCCCTCAGTGTGTGCACTACTCTGGTTTGGTACCGGGGTCACTTTGTTTCCGGTCATTACTCGGAAGTGGGTTAGTCCGGCATCATTGCCTTGAGACGGAAAGGAGGTCGGGTCCCTTCTCGTTTCTCTAGCTCTAGGCCCGCAGTGCTTCTTAAACTTTCAAATCTCAAGCAACCCCAGTTTCTTGAATGATAGCCGAGGCACCCTTCTTTGTCTAAACACTGATGCAGTAAAGTAGTGCAGAAGCCTACAAACATTGTAAAATAATGTAGATAGTACTAGGGAATGTTTGGAGAATAGTCATGCTTCAGCGGATGACACAGGTCTTCTAAAACTGTGCTTGAACCCTCTTTGTACGACTGTAGCCAATTCGCGACATATCAGTTATATGCATTGAATAAACCTGTGGTTCTCAGCCCCTTATGTTTTGGGGACCCTTTCTGGATCGGCAGAAGGGATGGGGGATCCACAGTGTGGGGAGAGGGGAAATTGGACTATTGCTATAACAAAAGTCGGTTTTGAAACGACTTTGAAACTCTGAAACAGAAAATAATCAACCCTATAGTTCGTTGCAACTCAAGAAGGTACAGGGCGAGGGTAAGACGGGCCGGGGAGGAGAAAGCAGACAGAACGCTGGAGAAGAGAGGAAGAAACCTTCTCTCTTTAGCGTTCCGTCTGCTTCCTCCCCTGCCTTCCTTTCCCTCACCCTAACTTCTCGAGTTGCAACGAACTGTAGTCACTTGGCACACATGGTTTGGTCTATTTAGCTTTGGGGGATATCCAGAATCAATAAAAAAAGGTTTATTGCTCGCTTGATTGACATTCGGAGGCTTCGGGTACCCTAACGAGACCTTCAGGGACTCCAAAGGGTCCGCTGACCGCTGTTAGAGAGCCACTGGTATAAACAGTTAACTGCATTTAAGTGACCGATGCCGACTGTCGCAAAATCTCGCGACATACACCCCAATGTGCAGGAGATGCCTCGCTCCAGCTCTTGGCAGCATAATATACTTTGGGTCAGAATCAGCTGTCGCCGGCGGACAGCAATATTGAGCACATGATCTGCAGAGTTTCAGCCGTTTAATCTGTGAAACAGAAAATGAGTTGTTGTTTTAAAATTCTAAAATATATATCTGCAGTCCTAACTAGTTTTGTGCACTGCATTTTATGTAAATTTGGAGCTTCCTGACAAATAAAATTGCTACGCTCGCTTTGTCGCGAATTCGTAACATTCGGCATTAGTGACGTGCACGTTGAGTTTTGAATGACTTCGAAAACAATCTTGGTAACTTCTAAACAAATTTTAATGGTTGGTAACTTCTAAACAAATTTTAATGGAAGATGAGTTACGCGGGGGCGACCCTCAAGCTCTTACTAATCTCATCTCAAAATAAAGGAATTTTGCCGGCCCATGAACGAAGACGTCCACGTGAACAATACAGGACACTGACCTGTAGTGAATGTTGCAAGACAGCAGTGGAAGATACAGGGTTGCAAAGGGGCAGACCGTCATAAAGTGTAGCAATGTTCATTCTTGCTTGAACAGGCATCTGCTTTTCACAAATTTCCCCAATCCTAAAGCTCGACCCTCGATGCTTTGAGCTCTTTGCTCGTTTGTTTTTAGCAGATAAAGAACACACTCTTGTTTTATGTCAAAATTTTTATTTATTTTTTATTTTTTCACATTTATTTTTGAGAGAAAATTAAACTCTATGCAGCTGTATAATAGAAAAATTAGTTATTCTGTGGCCTGTTGCTGCGATTTTGCGACATACCTCAATTTACGAAATGGCGTTCTCATCACAATCACCGATGTGGCTATCTTTCTTGGGACACTGAGAGCAGCACTTTATAGTAAGAAAATGTTTTTTACATGATTTCTGAATAGTTTTGGTGTTTCAGGGTTAAGGGGAGAGACCCTAGCCTGGAAAGACAAAAATTATAATAAAAAAGTGCATTTTTAGAACATTTCTTCTTATTATCGTACAAGTCACACAAAAAATGTTCTCTATTTACTGCACTCAGGAAGCGCTCACGTCTAGATTAACTCAGTTTTCAGTGAAAGTGGGTTAAGCGTTCCCCCGGTCTTTTTTTGGTAGTTACATTGATTCAGAGTTTCATACCCAAGCTGTTTACGAGCATGTTTTGAAAAACGTTTTCTGATTTCTCAGAATTCATTCTTTTGGTGACAAAACAACTCAGTATCAATGGATTCTTACTTGGATTGTAGTGCTTTAAAGGTAGAATACCTCATAAGCTAGAGAATGCAACAAACTGATATTTCTGAAGAATGTCAACTATAAAATTTCTGATTGGTAAGTCATCAACAAAATAATTTCAACTTGCGATAGCTTTTTCCAGAATGAAGCCAAAATTATAGGAAAGTAGAGGAGTTGGGCAGAAACATACTTGAAAAAAAAAGCTGGCTCTATCTGCTGAGTCGTAACTACAAGGTAGGCCGAGTGACAATGTTGTGTACACACATGACCATGGCCTTCCCTCTAGGTGACTTTGCTCAGAGTCCCGCTCCTGTGGGGAGGGGAGGAGTGTGAGAGGGAATGGAGAAAGGAAACTGTGTACCGGTTTTCTGCCTGGCAGAAGACGATGCTGTGGGTTGGCCTTTAGACTGAAAGAACACTTTGTTTAGGGGCAGGTATGGCTGAAAAAATTTTGGACCTTGGGGGAACCTTTGGGATACTCTTGGACACCCCTCGGTTCCCAGGAAACCAGATTGAGAACCCATGCTGTAGGGCAATAATGTTCAGCGGCAGTAGCCAGTTTGATTTTTATGATTCTTTTAGTTACCGTATGGCTGTGTGTGTGTGTGAAGGCCAGTGCACCGACTGCTGGAGGGCGTGCAGGGTCAATAATTGCAACCTATAGAAGTAGTCCAGCAAAGGATGATGCAGGAATACCTTTTCAACCCAAAAACACAATCTGCTGGGTCTCTAAGCATCCTCAAACCAGGCATGTAACCAGAATTTTGATTTGGGGGGTGGGGGGGGGGGGGGGGGGGGGGGGAATGGGGAAGGGAAGGGAAGGGGGGGGAGTGTGCACACCAATGGCAAAATGCTGTATGAGGAGGAGGGGAACAGCATGCCCCAACAAAATGGAAAATTTCGGAGGGGGGGGGGGGGCTGGGCCCTATGGGCCCCCCCCCCCCCCTGGCGACGTGCCTGCCTCAAGCTCTCTCAAGTCTCTTCTTTCGTTACCCTAATACTGGCTTTAACGGTGGTGTCCCTGTTCACTTCCCTTTTTTTAAATAAATATTTTGATCTGCATGTTGATCACTCGGGATTTTTTTAAGAGATCTTGTGCATCTTCAGTTCTTTATCAAAATACCAAAATTGCGCATCTACCAACTGAGTTCACTTTGACTTGTGGCTCAGTTGTTGTGTTTGTGTAACCAAAGCTCCCATTAGGCATGCAAGAGGACCATCCACATTTGCATTGTTGCAGTTTGTGGTTTGTTTGGTTCCTGTAGACAGTTAGACTTATCTAAAGCTTAATGTCTGCCTTTTGGCTGCAGTTGGTGACTGACTTGTTGGGTTGGTCTGTCTGTTTTTTCTGCTTTTTGTGTGCAGAATAAAATGCAGTGGGTGAGGCAGCGTTCTGGAGAGGAGCTGATTTCCTGCATCACCACCGATGAAGTAGTGCAGATTTGGAGCCCCGATGAGGTGAGCTACAATATTATTCGGCACTTTCTATGAAACAAGAAAACTTTTTGTGTTGCAGCACAGGCTAGCTAGTCAAAAGGTGGTGATATACAGTAGACTTCCATTAATTCAATTCCACTTCATTTGAACCTGTTCGGTGGTCCCGGCAATGGTCCATACATTTTACTAAAGAAAAAAGTCAACTATTTTCTTGCTGAAACATCAAATATTAATTAATTCAATCTAGAGAGAATCGGCGGCGTACAGATTACAAGCGTGACTGACTGCGTCCGATGTGCCAACTGTCAGTCTGATCGAATTGAAACTGTTTCCTGTTTTTTTATTATAGAATTTTTGCAGCATTTGGGATTGGTGGAGTGCAGCATGCGTGACGTGCATGCCAGGCAATGTTTTGCGTTGCCCATGGCTTTAACAATGAACATGCACATTCCATTGACCGCAACACCAGTAGACTTGTACACTACCCCCAGCTTCTTGTAGTGGCTCTCACCATCTCGCCTTTCTCTCGCCTTAGGCCTGCGTTCCCAACACTCATCTGCTCTATTAGTGGGGCACCAAGATTGCTGCCAAAACATGTAGCTCCTCTCATTTCTTCGCATTCTTTTTGTCTTTCTGGTGGTCGTTGCAATGTCTATCGGTCTCAGTGTTCCTCTAGGCTAGTTGCATTATCCCTTCGCCATGACGACCTGCACTGTGGCCCAGGTGGTGCTTATCTTGCCTTGCAAAGCGGTTTTTCGCTTTAGAGCGTATCTCGATCTTGCAAGATCGTCTGTACACTGCCCGCTTCCAAAAGAAAGTGCAGACTACCATCACAGCTCATTTCCAGTAAATGAAGGTAAAATTTCATCCAAATTTCGCACGCACGCACCCTTTATGGGGGATTTCAGATAATTTGAACCGATTTTGCGTGTCTCGTCTAGGTCAAATTATTGGAAGTCGACTGTATTTACCTTTTACGGCTGTTGGCGGCCTGCTGTAATTGGGCACATGGGTGGGAAGAAAGGCTGACATGTTATGAAATGGGGTCACATTTTTATTTATGCAAAAGCATTAACTGTACCATGGAGCGAGCCGACATCATCAGCTTTGAAGCCGCGGCAAACGCACCCTTCCTTCAAGTGAAGCCAGCTCCCAGCTATGAAACCACGCGAAAAGCCTAGCCAAACGGCACCTACTTCCCCCGATCCCAAGGAGCGGAGTAAAGCTGATAGATTTCGGCTGCAGTCCCATTGGCTGGCACGCGTGGACGAGGCTCCCATTGGCCGCTGCACGTCAGTTTTAATGACCGCCACCCCTTGGCGCTGCGTGTCCACGAGGCAGCCGCTCCACGCCTAAGGTCAGCGCGCCGAGGACAGCGCGCGCGCTCGATTGTCGACGCCAGTACGCTGCAGACGAAAGAAGGGAGTGGAAGAGCGGCGTGCTTGGCTTTCGTATTCACAACTCGTAAGAAGTGCTTAGGTGTACCTCGAGCCTTTTGTTGCCGGCCTAGCTTTTTTGCTATTTCTCGCATGTGATCTCAACCTCTTTCTTTTTTAGGTGACACCGCGGAAGTTGATCACCCGTGCAGATTTGAGCTCCACATTCACTGTGAGTTTGATCTGTCTGAATTGAGTAGAGAGCCTGCTGCGTTTTTATGTTGATCTGAGTGTCCTTGAAGAATGGTGCCATTTAATTGTGGTTATGATATCTTCCTTTTTTTTTGTCTTCTCAGGAACATGTGCAGATCGACCACATTGTTGACAACCTCATGTTTGAGGAGAAGATGTATACTTGTACTGGATCCTCTAGGTAAAGTTTCTTTTTGACCTTTGGCCTTTAAGGGTGTTTATTTTGATTCACCTTGCTATTGTTTTTAACACTTCTAGCCTCTGGAATTGATTGCTTCACAAATATATGGTGGTTCGCTTTTGACAATCTTGAAATCAAAGGACGCCAGTGTGACCCTTTCGCAATGCGATCCCTTCGCAAACTTTTCCGTGCATCGTTTAAAATTTCAGCGCGTGGGCATGTAAAATGAATACCATGGTAGTTCTCATGATGCCACTGCGTTAAGACTGTGTTTACCGAACGAAATGTCCGAAAAATTACTTTCTCGATTTTACGAAGTTTCTGATCTAATGAAGTAATTTACAGCTCCCCTTGACTTTGTATGATTGAGTTTTGACTGTAGTACCAAAATGATGTGTGTGCATCTTGTTAGGTAATGCGGTGCAGTGCTACAAACCCCTCAGTTCAACACCTATACTCCCGTGTCACTAGTTGCATGCAGTACATGCGAAGGTAATGCCAAGCGAATGGAGGAAGGGCAAGCTCTAGGACGGCTGGGGAGGAGGAGAGATACGTCCTCTCTCACATTCCTACTGCTCTTCTTTTCTCTCCTCGCCCTCTATTTCCCTTCTCTCCCGTCTCGCCTTCCTAGTGCTCATTATTTTTCTCTTCGCCTGGTGTTGCCTTCCCCTGCACTGCACACAACTAGTGACACGAAGTATAGACGTCCCTTTTCCTTAGTTGATTGTGTTAGGGGAGCGAATTTGTTCTGTTAGATGCCTTCCAACTTTTGACGGAAGCCTATGTTAACCCAAGAGCAGTAATAAGTGGGGTTCCGTGTTTTCGGGGTTTATTTCTCCTTGCATTCAAGAATGTTTTCCCCGAGTTTATTATTTTTTTTTTTCTCTACAGATTCAGTATTTTTTTATGTCAGTCGGTCTCGAACAAAAGAATCTGCATTTATTGGGGATTACGTTGCGGAAAGTAGGACACAGGCATGGAATTTCTAAACCTCCAGGCAATATGTGCGAGACACAAAGACTTTGAAAATATCCCATAAGAGTACGAAATGGGACAACAAACATGGTTCTTGTAGAAAGAGGCAGTCTTGGGGACAGTTCAGTGCATGCTGTGTTCTGGGTCAACTTGAGATAAAGCTCTAGACAAATCGCCTCCCCATAAAGCTTTTTTTTTTTTTTTTTCCTCAATTTAAAGACGGTTATTTTTTTTTTTTTGATAAAACGGGCTCGGGCCAGGTAATTCACGGGGTTTATTGGTATTCACTGGAAACACGGAATCCTAGTTATAAACTGCATCTAAACACTGTTTTGGTGGCCCTAGTGTATTGAAGGGTTTCTGTCGTAGATATGAGTCGACAAACAAACGGGATGTTATATGTTCCAGGGGCCTGGGCCTGCTTTGGAATGTGACCGAGGACAAGCCGGAGCTGATCTCCGTCCTTTGGAAGGGTCACAAGGACCTCCCCAGGGTGGCTACATTGACAAAGGTCTGCCCATCAGACTTCCCTGTTTTTATCAAATTGGTAATCGTCTTGCGGACTGAAGTTAGGTGATGCCATACACTAGCTTAAAGCCCGACCTACAAAAAGTTTTTTTCCGCAAAGTAGGAAAATCCTTCTCGCCGCCCTTCACATTTCTCCCTCCCATTGCCAGCCGGATGGCTGCCTCTTGGGGCTGTTCGCTGCATTATTTCAAGAGTATGAGCGGACTATTTTCTTATTTCTCTTACACAAAACTTGTTGACGCAGTCGTGGGGATCACAAGGTTACGGAAGCAAAGGATCTTATCCCGGCTAATCCAGTCCCAAGAGGCAGCAACAAAAGTTGTCCACCAACCGTCAAGATAGCAGTGGGAAAGGGAGAAATGGGAAAGGTAGCAAGGAGGATTTTTAAAAAAACTTTTTGTAGGTCGGCTTTTAAGAACCTTCCTGAATTGACAGCGAAAACACCTCCGTACTCTACGCTTATAGGCTAAGAAAATTAAAGTAACTTCCTTGACGTTTCCGAGGGGAGTATTTCCATCATAATTCCAGTGTTTCCGAGCTAAAGCAAATATTGCTGAGGTGGTCATACTTAATCCGACCAAGGTCTGTGCTTTGCATGCATCCACTCATGGTCTGTTGAAGTAGGGGGAACGTTGTCGCATATTGACATTTTGTCGTTGCTTCATTGCAGTACTTTGTGGTGACTGGGGCAGAAGATGGTAATGTATGCATCTGGAGGCCAGAATCTGAGTGTCCGCCCCAACCCGAGGAAGAGGAAGAGGAACCAATGGAGGAAGAAATGCCAGAAACGCCAGAAAGAGTGGACAAGTCTGACAAGTATGACAAGGACAAGTCTGACAAATATGATAAAGACAGGCGTGACAAGTCTCGTGACAAGTCTCGCGACAGGTCTCGCGACAGGTCCCGGGACAGATCATCTCGTGACCGGTCTCGTGACCGGTCCCGCAACAGGTCTCGCAACAAGTCCCGCGACAAATCCCGTGACAGGTCTCGTGACAGATCTCGCAACAAGTCTCGGGACAGGTCTCGTGACAGGTCTGATCGGGATAAGTCGGACCGTAGCAAGTCAGATCGCAGCAAGTCTGATCGTGACAGATCCGACCGCGACAAGAGTGACCGTGACAGGTCCGACCGTGACAAGTCCGATCGTGACAGGTCTGACCGTGATAGATCCGACCGTGACAAGAGTGATCGCAGCAAGTCTGACCGCGACAAGTCTGACCGCGACAAGTCCGACCGTGACAAGTCCGACCGTGACAAGTCTGATCGCGACAAGTCTGACCGGAACAAATCTGACCGCGACAAGTCTGACCGCGACAAGTCTGACCGCGACAAGTCCGACCGCGACAAGTCCGACCGTGACAAGTCCGACCGTGACAAGTCCGACCGCGACAAGTCTGAACGCGACAAGTCCGATCGCGACAAGTCTGACCGCGACAAATCTGACCATGACAAGTCCGACCGTGACAAGTCTGATCGTGACAAGTCGGACCGAGACAAGAGCGATCGCGACAAGTCGGACCGGGACAGGGTGGACAAGAATGAAAAGTCTGACCGAGACAGATCGGACAAGTATGAGAAGTCTGACCGGGACAGATCGGACAAGTATGAGAAGTCTGAGAGAGACAGATCTGACAAAGACAAATCGGACAGACATGACAAATCAGATCGGGACAAGTCAGACAGGCATGAGAAATCGGACAAGTCAGACAGGGACAAATATGACAAGTCGGACAGGGACAAGTCTGAAAGATCATCTTATAAGGTGAGCCAAACTTCTTGTCCTTGGGGTGTCTTTTAGCATGGCACTAAAGAAAATTTTGTCAAAATCTATCTCGGATGGTGCAAAAATCTTAGCAAGCCGAATTTGACATGCTAATCATATAATGAAGTGACTAGAAATTGCTAGTTGGAATTGTTAGGAGGTTGCAGTCTGCAGTACCGTATTTACTCGAGTAATAGCCGCACTGTTTATGAAGAAAACCTGAGGGTTCTCTTTTCCGCAGAGCACGCGGATTACCAATCGCCGCAGTCGACTGCATGATTCCAGTGGTTTACAGGACAGATAACGTCTTGGCGCAAGGATACCATCTCTGAAGATTGCATTTGTTTGGAGAATCGTGTTCTCGATCGAGTTATTAACTGTGTTATCAACACGATGATTGGCTGTATATGTGTTTGCGGGAAAGTAGACACAAGGGCCTTGTTCATAAATAGTGTGGCTATCACTTGAGTAAGTACGGTATTCCCAGAAATACGAAATGACCCAAATGGAATTGCGTGGGAACCACCCGTTCCCACGCAATTCCATTTGGTGGGAACCACCTGTTTTCATGTCCCCAAGCAAAATTCAAAGTAATAGGCAGACCGCATTCCTTTGCTACTTCTTTCAATTGCATTCCGGTCTACCAGTGATTACGGTGGAATTTGTTGTCAAAATTAGCTTTGTACATAAGGTAGCGTTCTTTGGGTGTTATCAGTGGATGGCTGAGAAAAAATGCTGATGTGGGGAACACAGGAAGCGGCGTTCAGCTATAAGGGGGCAACTCCGCTCAATTCCGAAGATTTCAGGATAATGAGTGATTTCACGTTAAAAAGCCTAATAAAAGACACCACGTCATTTGCTTCGCAAGAAATGGGATATATATTTTTAAATCTAATTTTAAACACAATCAAAAATCGAAACCGAAACTTCAGCTCTGACTGGCAACACAGGCCTCGGGCCCCCAAGAGCATGGCTATCACGTGGTGCGAGATGTCACGTGATCCTCTACGCAACGACGGGCGGGATTGGGGCAGGCGTGTGCCAGGCACAAGTGTCGTCTCCATTGCACTCTTCACGATTTGGTGTCAACGACATTGACGACGTCTGCACAACTGCGGCAGAAGTCTGCACACATAGTGTCCGTAGTGTGGACGAAACTCCGATAAACAATCACAAACGGTGAGACAATGATGGCGGGACCACGGCGGGGCAGCTGGACGACTCCCAAGAAGCGTTCTGCGCAAGCACGTTACGCCAATCACGTGGACACCGCTGAGCGCCGGGAGGAAACGTTGCTGACGTCTTCCATTACGCTTGCCCGGAGAAGTAAAAACAAGCAAAAGGGGAAATGTTGATGACGTTAAGCTCGGTGTTGACTTCGCCCACGCCGTAGCCTTGACTGCGCTGTTGATTGCGCCTCAATTTGCCCGCTCGAGTCAGCCGATTTCGCCGAGTTGCAAAGTTTGCCGGACTGTTTAAGAAACATTTAAACAGAACTCCGTTGTAACATTTGACTTGTGGTGTTCCTAGGTGATACTGAAAAGGACTGCATTGTTTTTTAAAAACAAAAATGAAGTAGAGTTGCTCTTTAAGTTTCTTTTGAGATAATATATCTTGCTTTTATAGTACTATCTGTTTTAATTATTTTTTGTAACAACTCATTCTGATCCTATGAGATTATATCACAAGGCCATAAAACTATCCATGAAAGCATGCTGAACATGAATTTAAAGGGAAGCTGAAGAGGTTCTTGAAAAAAACAAGTTCGAGATGAATTCTAAAGTATTTTTATCCTGTGAAACAGAATATCACGTTTGTTTTCCCCGAAGATGTCACTAAACGCTAGAAAACACGAAATATCTCCGACCAGTCATTAAGTCATTAAAGGATCTTTCGGCCGCCAAGCGCGTGTCACTCATGTGGACAGTGCTTGCAATTGAAGCTTGCCAGGTATATTCCCCCGCACTGACACCAGTTGTGACGTCTTTCGCTGACCTTTTTGAAAATAGCAAGAGTGCGCGTGCATAGCTTTGATAGGTGTTGAAGATGCGCGAGGGCGGTGATTCCTAGAACTCTTTCTATGACGTAACACTCTGGGAAGGCGGGGCTTCAGCGGTACTTTGAGAATGATTTTCTGCAGCCTCCGTGCACCAAATTGAAAAACAATCTTGATATCCGTGATACTGGAGGCTAAATGAAGACTATTCAAGTGTTTTTGCTCAAATACAGAACCCCTTCACTTTCCCTTTAAATATATAAACATGGTTTCGTATCAAAGTTATGTGAAAGTTTTTTTTTCTTTGACTGAACTTCGGCTGTTTCTCATCTGAGCATGTGAACTCGCAATATTTTTGTGTTCTAATAGATCTCTGAAAGGAATGTTGGTTGGTGTTTTTACCAACAGGTCTTTTTTTTCACCCCTTGATACGGGGTAACGGGAGGCTTTTGAAATCGGTGACTACAGCAAAACATGGTCCAATTTTCACATGGATAGCATCAACTCGGGCAGCAAAGTTTGGCGCTTAGTTGTAGCCTGTAAGGTTGAAGTGCGAGGATCATGGATCTATGATTTATGCTGACCATCTAGTGCACCTTACTTGGAGGGGTGCTGATGCACAGCTTCATTGTTGCTTTGAGAATTCCATAACAGTCCAAGAAAGAACAATTATGTAACCTCCTAATACAACAGACCCCACATTAGAAGGACACTGCATTCATCTTAAGCAATATATTGCTTTAAACTGCTTGGATGAGACACATGTAATTCAGTGCATTCTCCTCTGAAAAGAATGAATGCAGTATTTACGCCAAGTGGTGCAGTCCGGCAGAGCTGTACAAGGACTGGTTGATCGCGTGCCTTTTGACAGCACGAAAGAGAGTATCTGGCCTAACCGCAATGTGACTGTATGAGAAGCTACTTTGGAAGTGACATTGGCCTTGAAATAGAGGCCACTAAAAAGTCTCAAGTTTATGGGCTATTTTATTTTTGGGTGAAGTGCATTTTTGACAGGCACATTGAAGGGCCTAAAATTAAATCGCCGAATTATCAAAACGGTCAATATCGAAACGCAAAAAAAAAAGCAAAACGAAAAAAAGATAAAAAAGAACAACGAAAATTTAATTAGTTGAAGCATACAGCACCAATGATTGAAATTGACCAAATATGACGTTCGATACCACCCCCCCTGGTTCACTTGAGAAACCAGAAGAAACATTTTCTGTTTCTATCGTATTGGATAGGAATTTCTTGTTTATTGCAGTCCAAATTTGTTATGCGCATCTCCTCGCAGAAAGCCCAGGACATCTCCTTTCTCCTGGTTGCCCAAAGCGGCTGCCAAACGGTCTTCGCGTATCGTTTGCAGCTTGTGTCGAGGATGGCAAGGTTTTCTCCCAATCGCTGCTTCGATATCGTCTTCGACGGCCGCTTTCTCTTTTTTCTTGTTCGTAATCAGCCAAAAGACACCTACGTGGTGCCCGCATACCAGCATCTCCCATTGTCAGTGCCATGCCTCAGCGAAGTCATTGCCTCGTGGATATCCGTTCTCAGCAAGCGCGATTACATTCCATAGTGATGGCGGAAATGTCGGCGGGTTTCGGATGATCACGGTAGAGTTACCTCCTGCGACGCGGCCAATACTGCGGCGCGAGTTTCCAAGGACGTAGTTATCTTTCCACCATTTCAACAGCTCAGTTGCATCTTGTGGGAAGAGTGGTTTCAGCTATGCGTGCACATCTCGCACTTCTTCAATTGACGTACAGAAACAATAGAGCAGCAAGCTGCCTCACCTTGGCTCTGAAACCATAGACATTATCTTTGTAGAGTGCTGTTAGTCCTAAGTTTTATACTCTTCTCTTTATTGACTGGCACAGGTGGAACATGCAACCATGCATGTTCGATCATGGGAAAAGTGACCGAACCACGTTGATTCCTGCCAATACAAAGTCTTTGCTCACAATCCGTGGATATAGTGCGAGTCCAAGGTCGGCGGGGGGAATTAAGGGCTTATTTGAAGATGGCCTTGTACCGTACTTGGGTTCATCTCGTTACGGGGCAGTGGACGAGAGGATGCACGCGACCATGGACAAGGGCATGAGTTGTGTACATCTGTTTGAAGAGCGACGACACGGTCTTAAATGTTCCATCCATCAACCACATTGTAGCGTTTTTCAGTTGCTTCAGGACATTGTCCGTCAAAAAGATTAGGAGACAAGCTCAATCTTCGCATGTGTAACCCCAAAGCAGGAACTCTCGTCTCTCTAAGGTAGTCCGGAACTTGCCTTCAATGTTGAGCTCTTGTGCAGTATAGATGGCTCGTGTGGGCAGTCCGCTTTTCTCTTCTGTCTCACAAGCTGGCTCTAGGTTTCGTTGCTTGGTAGGTGCTGCGAATTTCGGAGAAAAGCTCGCCAGAGAAAAAAGCTCACCCAGTTTTCGGCGGGTCCGTAAAAATGCTCATTAGTAATTTGACGGACACAAAGAAAAACTCTCCTCGAATTAAATTTTTATACAAGGTGATCATTGTCATCTAATGTCGACTGTCGACTGTTTTTGTCCAACTCTTAATTGCCATATTTTAATCCGACCTAGGCTGGATGTAGGAAATATCTACTTTCTATTTTGCCGATCGAAACAGCTGAGAATTGAAATCATATACCTTAAATAGAAGGCGGAATATGATGATTTGGTAATTGCATTTATTCCATTAAATTATTCAGTGTCGGTTACCACATATAAGCTGATACATGCCTGAACGCCCAAAAATGGGCGACCAGAAATGTTCACACTATTCGGCATTTTGCTTTTCAGCGTTTTGAAATTTCAACATTTTGATTTTTCGGCGTTTAAATTTTTTGGGCGTCTGATGTTCTTGATGTTTCGATGTTTGGCCTTTTCACAATTCGGCGTTTTAATAGGGACCCCATGAAGGCAATTAAAAGTATTTTCTGAGTGAGCAGTACCCCTTCAACTGCAGTTAGATTTCACTTATTAAAACAAACTTTTCCACTCTGAATGCTTGCAGATGTCATCCTCAGCGAAGGAGAAGCTAACCTCTTCTCACAACAGCAAGCCATACTCAAGATAGCAAGTTTGCCCGTATCGACAGAGAAGACCACGGCGGTTTTTCACACATCCCCCAGTTTCTTTCTGGCTATCCGCACGTTCTTTCCTCTGTAGAGTTCATCATTGTTTTGTCACTTGCTCATGAGTGTAAAAAGTCATTACTCGCAATGCTGGTGCAGTTCACCCTATACCCTAAGTACGATGTCATTTTCGTTTTCTCTTTCTGTGATGCATGTACCTTTGAGGATCAGTAAAAGCGATTGGCTCTGTCACTCTCATTCCATGTTCGTAGTAGCCCATGTAAACAAACACCGGGTGGCTCTTTTTTAACTTTGTCAGCCTAATAGATGTACTTCGATGTACCTTTGGGGAGAAAGCAAAGGGCCAGTGTCTTTGTCGACCTGGAAATGTATGAATAGGTAATCTGAAAATAAATTCCTAGTGCCCCTGCAAATTACTATTGGAGATCCACATGGCAGGTGTGGGTTCAGGAGAGTCTTGTCTTGAGCTTGTGCATTAATGTGCCAGTCTCTGTTGCAAGAGTACTCTCCCAATTCTGAGGCATCGCACATTTACACTACATTGCTGAGGACCGTGTGACAATGGCATCATGCTTAGACATTATTGTGCATAAGGCTTGTGGGGCAAAGGTCATGGGCTTGCAGTTTTACATGAAGGTTCATGTCCCTTTAGTAGACGTTATTTTGCTCAAAGTACATACTTCGTTTATTTTTAGTCATGCACCACTGATCTCTATTATTATTTGCTGGATCACGTTTTCCCAGTTCCACCCATGCACTGGAATGTGGCCACGGTCAGCCATCTTTTTGGTAGAGTTATATTACCTCTAGCCTTCATGGTAATATGGCGGTCATCATTGCAACACGTGCAAGAAGCAGATGAACTTGCACTCCGCATAGGTTTAATTTTATATCAAATGCATTGTTTACTTGCCATCTCAATGTGGGCATTGGTTTTCTGAGGCCGATGTACTTAAATGTAGTATGTTAAAATTACCGTAGTTAAAAATAGTTAAGTGGAAGCTTGGGAATAAAGGCCCGTTCACAGTTCTGCAACCGAGTACGACCGAGAGAGACGTGACCTGTTAAAACCTCTTTAAATTTCTTGGGACGAGAGAACACGCTGGCGCCATCTGTGTGGTGACCCTGGAACTGCATTTCACAAGAGCAAAGGTTTTGTGGGATTTCAGAGGTCAAATGTGCGGATACCTATAAGAAAGGCTCGTTTATAACGTTGACAAAAGTTTTTCGAGCCAAGAAAGTATAATGTGCGAGAGAAATAGAAAATATGCCGGACCACCAAGTTTACACCGCTACCCAATAGATGGCGCCAGTGTGTCCTCTCGTAAGAGGTTTCAAGACACCTAGCTCTAAGAGGTCGCAAGAGTGTGAATGGTCCTTAATCTTCACGAGTTCTGCTGGATTATTGTTTGAGCATGGTGCAGTAGTGCAGTGCTTGGAGAAACTTCAATATTCGATTGCAAAATATTCGGTCCACTTTTCGCGCATACCTAATTTATATTAATACATTCAATTTTTAGGTTTCTAACGAGCAAGTTTTACTTTACAGTATCACATTTAAGAGACATTTAATGGATGTTCGTTAAGTGCCTGGTAACATTGGAAGTAGTGTTGGTTTTGTCCGGTTCACCATCTTGTGATCTTGCTTTAGTTTGTCTCTGCGGTTGGCAATTTTTCCGCTTCCACATGCGATTTGTTGGCTGCACATGGCTCAATTTGCATATGCTTTGCATGGTGCATGTGGATGTGCTTGAGGTTGTGATTGATGCCCAGGAAGTGCAACCTCCAATGTTTGTGTCTTAAAAAATGACGAATACAGGCGCCGTATCCAATGAACTTGTGTGGGGGAAATGCAAGTCCGGGTGAAAAACGTTCAATACCTCGTCTATGGGAAAGTCTGTGCTAAAAAGCCATATCAGGAATGTAAAACACGATGGGAGCATGAAGACGGTAGTGGATAGCTCCACAAATAACAACGCCATGCGTGAATGAGCCATTTGTTGACGTGGTCCCAGAGTCGTCGGACCTAAATATTGAGTGCAAGATGCTTGACTAGGTAATGCTTGACATTTGCAGTGTGGAAGCTATGCCGTTATAAAACTGCAGGTATAACACTATACGGATCCTTTGAAAATATTTTTACAGGACCTTAAACCTCCTGAAACCCCTCAAATTTTGGCCTTAACAATCAGTGTATGATAATTTTTACGTTCGGATTGTGCATTCAGTGCGGAATATCTAAGGAAACACTTACTTTTTACCCTTAAATTTGCCCCTGCGGATACGTTATGTGGGAAATGTGAGATATCTAATACCTTAAAAGCAAACCTTAGCTGATTGAGATTGAGGAATCCAAGGATGGCTTCAACTGACAGTTCCGTCTGTATGCTTAGCTGTTAACATCGAATTGACTATAGTCGCTCGCAGGTTAAGATCGAGTTCAGGGGAAGCTCCTCCTACCCTTTACCACTTTAGCAGAGTGATCGCTGGAGAAGAGGTAGCCTCCTTTCCAACATTCGCTCTGCTGAAGAGGTGGGAGGAGCTTCCCCTGAACTCTTAACCTGCAACCAACTATACGGCGAGCAAGTGTTCTAAAATCAGTGATGGAAGTGTTGCGCCGTTTGCACCATGAATGAAAGTCTGCTACATCTTGCGCAGAAACCCCAATATTTACACAAGTAGAAGCAAACAAAAAAATTGTGCAAATATACATTTTGCAGCATCTCTACTCACCGTATAGTTCGTTTCGTCTTAGGTCCAAGCAGAGTCGAAGGCTCGAACACATACGACCACAAATACACACTAAAAGTGCAAGTCGCGGGACATTCGCTGCACTTGATAGGTTTAGCCGATGAAAGAACACGTACAAGGAGGTGACGAATGCCATGACGTCGCTCTTTGATGCTGCGAATCAACCGGCCAGAGCCGTTGATGCTGGGCATCATCTGCTCTGGCCGGTTGATGCGCTGGCTGGTTGATCGCCGACATCGTCTTAACTTCTAGACGATGTCGTCGATGTGAGGAACTAAGAGACCCCAGAAAACTTTGCAAAATAGTAGGATCTCTGATTGCGGCTACTGCGATAAAACAGAACCAGGGTCTTGTACTTTTAATCAGGTCACTTGACTGTCATGCTTGCCACATGTCTTCATTCTGTGGCTGCAGAGCACCGTGGCACTTGCGCCGCTCGCATCAACCTTTACCGCCTTTCACCAGCGTGCGCGCATCGAGCTTCACCGCTAAGCACCGGAGTACTAGGAGCAGCGGCTGACCTGGGGGAGCGCCTGGCTTAGCGCGACAGGCACGTAAATTAGGTCGACCTTCTCTGTCCTAATTCTAGGTTGATATTAAAACAACAACATCAGGAACGAGAAAAAAAAAACAAAAAAAAAAAAACGGGATTATATACATTTGAATAAATACGGTAGTCGCGGTATAAGTCCAGTTTGGTAGGTTCATTAAACTTGCGGGACGCATTTTTATTAGTAGACGTTAGCGGATATGCTGGTTCATGCTGGCATTCTACAGAAATCATATTTACAGTCTAAACAAACTATCGAGTGTAAAATGGGGAGAGTAGAGAGGCTTTATTTCAATGAAATGTTCCGCTATGATTAAATTTTCAACTATTTTTTTATACCCATTGTGAATGAAACCTACTCTGCCTTATTTACGAAGACAGTGTTTTACTCTTACGCCCTATCTATTCTTATCACAAGCGGTGATAAGTAATATGAAAGAGGAACCCTTCATCACTCACAGATGAACTCATTTAGAGATTCGAGCACTCTTTCATTCTCAAGTGATGCGCCGGATGTTGGCATCTGCTCCACAAGCGTCAGTGTCTGCTCCGAACCAATATTTTGCCTGCTACAAAATGTGAAATGCTGCTTCCATCACTGTAAAATGCATCTGGCGCACCAAAAAGCAAAAGAACTCCCTCCTCCTCCCCCCCCCCCCCCCCCAAAAAAAAAAAAAAAAAAAAAAAAAAAAGGTACTATTGTTGTTCCTACCACAAAGCGAATGCACGCTAGCACTGCATTACGTTCCAGTGGAGCTCTGCATTTCCAAGTTGCATGCAGCACTATGCTACACCTTTTTTTCTGGCACGTTTTAAGCTTCTTCAGTAGGGTGTAAAGTTGAGCAAGCTGACTGAACATAGTTACATAGAGTGAACAGCGCCGAAAACACGAAGGGCAAGAAAAACGGGAACACAGAAACGTCCGGCCGTGTCTATTTGGCCTTCACTTTTTCAGCGCCGTTTACTTGGTTTACTCTTCATAGGCTGTTCCTTTTCAGAAGTGAGCGATAATGAAACACTAACTAGGTGGCGCAAGCCGCCGCCTAATTCACTGTACTCATTTCTGCGAAAGCGTTTTCGATTACGCTGGACAGACGGCGCCAGCATCGCAAAAACATATGATTAGAAAAACAACAACAAAACGAGCGCTCCCGCCAAAACTCTCGCTCCCAGGCAAGCCGGCATGCTGAGGACTGTCGTCTGCGGAAGTGTCAAGTTCGCTGGGCGGGACAGTTCGGTGGGGGGCGAAAGAAAAACAAACTTAGCAGAACGTGCCCGTAGAATCGCAGCGGCGGCGGCGTCGGCAGCGGCGGCAGAAGGTTAAGCCGAGTAAGCCGTTTTACGTATAGTTCGCGCGGAGCCCACTAAAATCACCCTGGGACGCGATGGGCTGCAATCTCTTTAAAGAGGCCAAAGTGGTCGAGGAAGCGGACATCTTCAGCACGGCCAGCCGCATCGAGCACGTCTTCGGAGGGCCCTGCCGGAAGGAGAAGCGGAAGTCGTCCAGGCAGCGGAACGCCGCTAGGAACGGCAGGCGAAGGAACAGCAAGAGCTCGCCGGAGCACGCGAGCCTGTCGGTGGATGCGCGCGTCACCGCCAAGTACGTAGTGAAAGCGGTCATCGCAAAGGGCCGCTTCAGCCGCGTCGTGCGCGTCGAACATCGCACCTCCAGACAGCCGTACGCCATCAAAATCATGGAGGCTCGCAACAAGTCCGACGTCTTCGAGGCCGAGCTGTCGGTGCTACGTCGCGTTCTGCACCCCAACGTCGTGCGGCTGGACGAAGTGTTCCAAGTGGGCCAGCGCGTCTACATGGTCATGGAGCTGGCGACGGGCGGCAATTTGCTGGACCGTATGGAAATCCGCGGTCCCTTTAGAGAGAGTGAGGTGGCCGAAGTGCTCCGCATGGTCTTGTCGGGCCTCGACCACATCCACAGTCTCGGCATCACGCATCGGGACCTGCGACCGGAGAACTTGTTGTACGCGCACCCGGGCCCGGACGCCAAGCTCATGATCGCCGACTTTGGGGTCGCCAGCACACCCCAGTCCGGCCGCAATGTGTACATGCACACGGTGTGCGGGACCTTGCAGTACATGGCTCCCGAAGTGGTAGCGAGACGGCCGTACACGCGGGCGGTGGACATGTGGGCTGTCGGCGTGATAGCCTTCCTACTCTTCGTCGAAGCGTTTCCGTTCGACGCCCAGCAGGACGTCGCGCTGCTCAAGCTCATCCTCAAGGCGCGCGTCTCCATGTCTCAAAAGGTCAGTGGAGAACAGTGTTCGTGGAGGTTGGGCTGCCGGCAGGCAAAGCCCACCTCTCCAGGGGCATTGAGCAATTTCGCGAATGTTTGGAGTCTTCGAAGGCAGTCTGCTTCTTTAAATGCATGAATCGCTCAGATAGGAACGAACGTAATTTGTTAAGTTCCGCTGGGGCAATGCGAGCAATATATTTATATACTTCATTTAATATTCGTACGATTGCAACCGAAACGCCAGGTGTTGCCGCCGCCTTACAATCTGTGCTGCTCCATATTTTATTTAATTGTAAAAAGATGCGAAATATTGTGCAAGCTCGTAAAGAAAGCGTGTAAGAGTCAAACATACACGGTCGTCGAGATAAATCCGGAAAAATCACCATATTCAGGAAACGCACAGAGGAAAATATAAAATGAATATCGGCCGTTTTTTTGTGCTTTGCTTCGTCTGCCGTAACGTGCTGACAGATTATCTGAACGTCCTGACAATGCTGAAAACTTGTTTCTGCTTGTAGCCATGCCACGTATTGATTTGCTTAGGCGACTTTCCGGCACGAAGCGACTCAAGTATTGCTGCCCTCCGGTCGTATAAGGCCGGTTAGCGCAATAGGCCGGTTAGCGTCACTGTATTGTGGGAGAGACGAAATCTGGAAAGCGTCCGGTTTATCTCGACGAACCTGTACGTGCAAAAATATTTCACGCGCAAGATTGGTATATTTATTGTATTTTCTGCGCCAGTTATTCGTTTTCTGGATGTATTAGCCAGGCGACGTTTGTGGCCTTCCGAATGATCGGCGAAGATGGGTCGTATACGAAGGCCAGAGTCTTCGCATTCATAGACATTTCCACCATTTACTCCGCAGGTATCAGGAACGTGTGGTAATTAATCTACTAGCTGCGTAAATTGACTGTGGTACAGAGCGCGCCACATTTAGCACGAACAAACCATTGGCGATGTTTTTTTTTTGTTTTTTTTTTTAAATATCAACAGTGCGGTGTTTGGTTAAAAAAAATACAGGTTTAGCGCACACCTTTTATGATATACCGGCTGCCGGTTAAACATTTCCAGCTTGGGTTCCGGTTTCGGTTCATCGCCTAATCTTAAATCGGCTTCGTTTCAGACACCGAAAACGAAATCTGCTCTTCATCGGTTTTCGGTTCCGGCTTGCGTTTAAACACGGATAGCACCATGCACACTCTATTAGAAGACTATTGGATAAAGATTAAAAAAGAAAAATCAATATCTTCTGTAATCTTTTTTTTTTTTTTTTAAGGGGGGGGGGGGGGTGCGGAAAGTTCCCCCCCGCCAAAAAACAAAAAAAAAACCCCTGCTGTTTACGTTTTTATTCTCCGATCCGATCCGATGGAGCCAGACAAGCAGCGACAAAGGTGCTTTGTCACGGCGCTCAGCGTTGTGTGTGTGTGTGCGTGTGCGTGTGTGTGTGTGTGTGCGTGCGTGTGTGCGTGCGTGCGCGCGCGCGGTGCGCGATTAGTCTAGCCGGTGACAAAGACAACGAGCGCCGTGACGATGCACTTTTGTCGCTGCTTGTTTGGCTCCGTCGGAGCGCGGCGTGGGCGCTTATGAGTCATGACCCGGGCGAAAAATGCTGGCTCACTGTGCTGTGGACGCATGCGCAGCGTCTGATATACCGCCCAGCAGAGCGACAGCGCATGCTCAGAACGCGTTCCACAGCCCAGCAGACTAAGATAACAGCGCGCGCACAAGGCGACTTTTTTTTTTTTTTTTATTTTTATTGGGGGGGGGGGGGGGGGGGGTTGCGGTGCGCAGGTTCGTCTGCTTCTTTTTGCGGGGGTTGTGTTGACGTCAGAAAGACGTACTGAGCTCTGATTGGCTCCGATTGAAGGGTAGTGGGTAGACCTCCAAGCAAGTTGCCTCGAGGCCTACCCACTATCTTTTATTCAGAACCAATCGGAGCTCGGCGTCTTTCTGACGTCAACAGAACCCCCGTAAAAGAAGCAGACGAACTTGCGCTCTGCATACGACGAGCGAGGAGTTCCAAAATACGTATTTGGCACATCGGGACGCCAGGAACGGCACGCCGATCAAATGCCAACATAGAGAACGCGGGATGACGACGAGGCAGCTATGCCCACTCCGTCTTTGGTTGAGGAGGGGGAAGGGTGCATGTGGGCGTATTTTGCGAATAAACACACGCACGAGGTGCGCAAGAAGCAGACGAAGTTGCACACACACACAAACACACACACACACACATAAGGGTGTTTCAAAGAACTCAGGCCAAATCGCTCCTGCGAAAACTACTCGTCGCAACGAAGAAAGACTTGTGCCGTTTTGGTCCTGGGCCAGGGGCCCATTTAGGAAAATTATTAAAGTCCGAGATAATTAAGTTGTTAATTATTTTTGCGTAATTAACTTTTTTATTATTGTGTTTAAGGGCATGGTTTCAATTAAAAAATTGCTCAGCATCGTCGATAAAAACTAAATCAACAAATTGCAGAACGATTGAAGGCACGCGAAGCATTTTACGCCTTCCTGAAAAACCGCACAAATTTGACGGGTTTTTAAGTTTCGGTTTGCTATCGGAGCGCATCTGGGCCCCGGCGGCACCGCGCCCCGTGGAGAGATAGTGCAACCAACCTCTGCTGCGCTGTCATCGCGCGACGCAGCAGAGGCTGGTTGCACTATCTCTCCACGGGGCGCGGTGCCGCCGGGGCCCAGATGCGCTCCGATAGCAAACCGAAACTTAAAAACCCGTCAAATTTGTGCGGTTTTTCAGGAAGGCGTAAAATGCTTCGCGTGCCTTCAATCGTTCTGCAATTTGTTGATTTAGTTTTTATCGACGATGCTGAGCAATTTTTTAATTGAAACCATGCCCTTAAACACAATAATAAAAAAGTTAATTACGCAAAAATAATTAACAACTTAATTATCTCGGACTTTAATAATTTTCCTAAATGGGCCCCTGGCCCAGGACCAAAACGACACAAGTCTTTCTTCATTGCGATGAGTAGATTTCGCAGGAGCGATTTGGCCCGAGTTTTCTGAAACACCCTGTATATATACGGAGTGTTCCAGAGAACGCAGGCTAAATCGCTCCTCCGAAAACTACTCATCGCAGCGAAAAAAAAGGCTTGTGGCGTTTTGGTCTTGGGCCGGAGGTTCATTTAGGAAAATTATTAATGTGCGGGATAATTAACTTGTTAATTATTTTTTCGTAATTAACTTTTTTAATATTGTGTTTAAGGGCCTGGTTTAAATTAGAAAATTGTTCAGCATCATCGCAAAGCACTAAATCAACAAATTGCAGAACGATAGAAGGCACGCGAAGCATTTCATGGCTTTCTGAAAAACCGCACAAAATCGACGGGTTTTTAAGTTTCGGTTTGCTATCGGAGCGCATCTCAGCCCCGGCGGCACCGCGCCCCGTGGAGAGATAGTGCAACCAACCTCTGTTGCGCTGTCATCGCGCGACGCAGCCGAAGCTGGTTGCATTATCTCTCCACGGGACGCGGTGCCGCCGGGGCTGAGATGCGCTCCGATAGCAAACCGAAACTTAAAAACTCGTCGATTTTGTGCGGTTTTTCAGAAAGCCATGAAATGCTTCGCGTGCCTTCTATCGTTCTGCAATTTGTTGATTTAGTGCTTTGCGATGATGCTGAACAATTTTCTAATTTATACCAGGCCCTTAAACACAATATTAAAAAAGTTAATTACGAAAAAATAATTAACAAGTTAATTATCCCGGACTTAGGACCACAACGCCACAAGGCTTTTTTTGTTGCTATGAGTAGTTTTCGCAGGAGCGATTTGGCCAGCGTTCTCTGAAACACCCTATATATATATATATATATATATATATATATATATATATATATATATATATATATATATATATATATATATATATATATATATATATATATACTTTTTTTCTTGTTTTGTGACCGCTATTAGGCGAGTTCTCCTCTTAAATTTCATTTTTTCACTATCCTCACGGGATCCAGGTTTGGTCGTTCAAATTATCTCGATATGTCGGCAGACTTCTTCCCTTTCTCCCGTGGCTCATACCGTGAAGTAACTATAAATCTTTATTTCGTCACTGGAATCTGCGTAGATAGTTGCAGTACTATGAAGAAGGGTATGTAGTTGGGTGAACTGGTGATTCGTTGTAACGAATAAAAGCGCTTTAAACGCTCTGCGGTGTTCGTTGTCCCTTCACTTGTCTTTCGTCTTTTTAGCGCTTTTATCATATACAGTTGCAGTTTGTCCCTGTGTGACTCTGCGCAGCATGTCCGTGGCTATCATTTTCCTCGAAAATCTGGTTGCAGAAGAAAAAATTCGTAATAAAAAGGACAATTTTTTTTTTATTTACTCTGATTTTGTGTGCACTCTTCATGTCCGCAAACATCTTTCGCCAATCGTTTTGGTACCCGTGGCCAGCCAAGTGAGGCGAATCATGGCCCCGCACAGTGGCACGCATTTAAAAAAACAACCTGGCATACATTTAGCACGTCCTGGTTGCCCGCGACGCCCTTGTATGTATATTTTTTTTCTTCGTCTACCTGTTACATCGCGATCTAAATACTCGTCCACTCCGTGTTCGACAGCAAGAAAGCCCCGCGTCTCGGTAAAGCCGCGGCCCTTGAACACCCTCTCAGAATCTCGCAGTTCCTGGGGCTGTCTCCCGGTTTTCATCTCGAAATCGAACGTTATATAATGGGGCACTACGACTGGTGCAATAAATGGCAGTGCGTACTCCATGTTAGGCTCAGCACAATCGCGCTTCGGACTCCCTGAACGTCATAAACACGCGTCATGTGAGAGCAGCGGCTCGGAAGTTGGTTTAATCCCATCAAAAAGTGGTTCTTCTGCTTTTTGATTGGTCCATCGGTCCCTTTACTGAAAGGCAGCTTCAAAGTAAGTTACTATGCAAGTATTTTGTGAATGTACTTTTCGGTTGTGTACATTTTGTGAATGTACTTTTCGGTTGTGTACATTTAGTGAATGTACAGGGTCCGATCGAG